TGGTAACTGAAAAGTTGGTGTGGTCTTGGCAGAGTGATCAGCTCGCCCGTCTGATCAGCTCGCCCGTCCAGTACGTTAGCATTATAGTAGTTTTCTGATCTAAGTATTTGATCTGGTAATTAACTGTTAATAACGTAATAGTAGGCAGCGCTAACGATCATAGATGCTGATAACTACCCGCTGAGATAAACATTTACCCGAGGTCTGCTCTTGACTGCTACAATATCATCAGATTAAATAGTAATACTAATGCTTTCTTTCCAATTTGCATCGGGACGATGTCAAGACGGTTTAAGGGCCGTAGCGCTATCGCTTGTCTAGCATGTCATAGCCAGAAGCTCAAGTGCAGTGGAGGTAAGCTTCGCTCTTCTTTTTGCCCAGTTTGTTCCTGACTCAAAGGTTGCAAGGGGACCCGTGCCAAAGGTGTCGCACGCGCGGACGGGAATGCGTTTTTCCAATCAGAGACCGGATATTATCTGTATCAGAGAGCTACATACGTGATCTCGAAGCTCAAGTGCATCAATCGCAACAAGCGCGTATGCAGCAGCAGGATCCTGCTTGCAGCAATCATATGGGTAATACCAATGAGATCGAAAGGTCACAGTCAATGAAAGACTGCACCGCGGAGTGTTTCGTTCAATCTGTAAAAGAACTATCGTCCCTTACAGCGGCTGCTGGGTCGTCTCCTACGGAATCTATGTCGAATGGCCCAGGGCGATACACATATGCTAAGCTTAAATTTGACTACATCCGTGAGTGCAATAACACGTCGATCTTTCATTCATCTTGGCTGATCTTGTTTCGCCTAGAACCTGAGATTTCGATACGGCTACCACCTAAGCCGTATGCCTTACATCTTCTCGAAATATTCGAGGAAGGCTTTTGCGACTATCACTGGTTCTTGCGGCGGAAGTTTCGCGAACGGCTAATGCTCTCTTACTCGGACCCCCAAACCCAGACTACTGATCGGAACTGGCTTTGTCGAGTTTCTGTGGTGCTTGCCCTTGCCGAAACGTGGAATCGTGGAAGGAGTGCAACTTTAGGGAATACCATTCCCAGCCAAGAAAATGCAGACCCTATCGCCCGACCCAGTCCATCATCAGATACCATCGATGTATGGGGAGAAACACTTCCAGTGCCACCAGGGTCAGAGCTATTCGAGCAATGTTTGTTGCTGCTCAAGATATCCCTCGAAGAACCATCATTAGAGGATGTTGAGGCACTTAATCTAATAGTAAGTTCTTGCAGTGTAGCGAGAGATAAGTACACAAAGACGAGCGCTAATCCACTTGAAGGCGTTTTACAGCTACACCCTCAACAGACGTAAAACGGCCTTTTTCTACGCAAGGCAAAGCTTATCCCTAGCGAAGCTTCTTTCCCTCGACCAGCCCAGTACTCATACCTTCGATTCTGAGCAACGTATCTTAGAAGAACATCGGAAACGGATCTGGTGGACATGCTACTGTATGGATCGAATGGTGAGCACTGAATTGGGAATTGCACCCATGCAAGATTCCATCACCAAAGGGTTACAATATCCTGATTCAAGTCACCTATCGCCGCCCGAGCGTGCAGACTTTTTCGAACCGTTCTTGCTTACGGCTCAGGTGCAACTCAGTATCATCAAAGGCAAGGTTGTTGAAACTGTAACGCAACAACTACAATTGAAGAGTGACACGGACCCAGTCGCTGTGCTTAAACCCTGCATGGATCTAGTTCAGAGTTGGAGAGAAGGTCTGCCTCCGGATCAATGCTTCTCATTCGATGCCGGAATTCCTAGTGCGATGTTTGCGCTTCCTTTCCACAGGGTTTTGGCATCACTGTATCTGAGATACCACCAGGTAAGAAAGTTTTCCAAAGGTTGAGCTCTAGTTGATGAGTCCAGTGTATTATACTGCTTTTCAGACCCATCCTCCTTCGCGATTTAGCTGCGACGGTAGGCGAGAGTGGTCCTTCAGGCTTGTCGCAATTCAACGATACCTTTGAATCAATGAAGTTGGAGTGCATAGAGGCCGCTAGGAGTAATTGTAAGATTCTAATGGATCTTTGCAAGATGGGCAAGATTGGTATGCATTATTAAACGTTTTTATGCGATTGAGTCTACCTTGACTGACATCTTAGCAGCCAAGTTTGGATACTGGGAGTCTCTACATCTCTTCTCAGGTCTGGCAATCCTGGCACTGTCTCGTTGCCTGAATCTCCCAGTGTCGCCCGCTTTAAGAGCTACAGGGAGCGCTTTCAATGACCGTGAGGTTGAAACAGAGGATGCTCAGCTATACACGGGGGCGCGATGTCTCCTCGTGGAGATGTCTCGCATTGGAAACCTCGCCGCGCAAGACTTCACAACCATGCTGATAGATATTGAAACAATGGCACGAACGATTTTAGACAATCGCCGAAAAGGTCAATCGAGCATCGTACAATCGGCGTCGAATGGCGGAGACCAAAGCATACCTGAGGACACAGCTTTTGCGCCCAAAAGCTCAGATCTCCTGGATAGTATTCTTGAGGAGCAAATGTGGTATAACATAGACTGGGAGGACATTCTCCGATATGGAGACGGTACATAACTAATTTAAATAGATACCCAGATGCCACAGCGTGTCTTGATGATGATCGTCATGACTAATTACTTGATGTACTTCTTCAAGCGGCTATGAACCAAGCGGTTCTCATGTTCAAACCTAGTACGTGCTTGTCTCATCAAGACTAACATAGAGTCAAATACCCTACTTCATTGCTTCAGCTATTCTCTTGATGCACTCCTCTACCAGTTCTTCGGGTTGTGTAAATACCAAGCGGAACCAGCCGGGTTCTTCGGCACCTGCTTCATCGCCGCTCACAACATACACTTGTTTCGCCAAAAGCAGTTTGTACACAAGAGCCGTGCTCGCATGCGGCTCCCCATCTACAACAGATTCCGGATGTTTCTCTTGCAGCTTCTTGCTGAGGTTGATGAACAGGAAGAAAGCGGCATTGGCATTGGGCGCGTACGGAATGTCATACTGATTGAGCATCTTGACTGCGAAAGCATAGGCTTTTGATATACGCTCTTGGTTGGTTTTAATGTAAAAGTCAAGAAACTTCTCATCGTTGAGGATGTGTGTAACTGCATTCTCAGCAAGTGATGAAGGAGCCGACATCAGAGAAGGTGAGCGACATGCAGCTAAGAATCTCGGGTTTGATTGCGAGATTATGGCCGAAAGTCGGATACCATTTGCGCCAAAGTCTTTTGAGGTGCCCCAGAGTACGTGAATCAGACCGGGGTCAATGATGCCATCGAGATCAATCGAAAGTACAGACTCAAAGCCTACTGGTTCCTTCTCAAAGTGATCCACGGTATTCTTCCATACGGTGAGAGAATAAATTTCGTCGCTAACGAGATGGATCTGGTATTTTTGACAGAGCTTCATTAAGCTAATGATAGTCTCCCTTGGATAGCAACGTCCTAATGGATTATGTGGGTGGCAAAGCATGAGCGCGCGCACTTTGACACCTTGTTTGTTCGACTCCAGCAGAGCCTCTTCGTACTTTCGCACGCAGTCGGTCGACAAGGGATTAACATCACCAAAGGATACCGGGACAACGTTGACATTGGGGCGCTGCGTAATATCCGGCAAGAACGCTCTGTAATACGGTCTTCCAAGTAGAATTCCTTCGCCGGGATTGGCCAAGGCCCATGCTACGTGCTCGATGGAGGCTGTGACTCCGTTCGTTACCACAATTTGATCCGCGTCCACGGGGGTGAAGGCACCAAAGCGCTCAGTGAAGAACTTTGCAAGAGCCTTTCTGACCGGAATAGAGCCGAAAGGACCATCGCCATATGTGAAAGCCCTCGCATTTGTGTCTACGAGGTTTTTTTCGTTGATGAAGTCTCGCAACTCTCCGTGCATAAGAGCATTTTCGGCACATCCTAGGGATACGTACCCCTCCGGATTCGTGTTCGGATCCCAGAGGTTTGCGCATACTTCCCACAAAGTTGGCTGGTGATATGTTAAAAACAAAGAAGCTATAATGGAAAAAACCAGGTACCCACGATGTCATTCGACCCTGACTCACTTGCACTGGCCCCGCGGGTGGAAAGACCAGTTGGCTTTGTGCGAATCGGTATCTCAGAAGTCATGATGAGATTGGATAGTATGGAGTTCCGAAAATGGCCGACAGAAAATGAGTTGTAGTTTTTACTCGGACTTGTAGCAGTTAGGTGCCATAAACAATCGCAAGTGTAAAGAGAGGCTTGTATATTTGTAGCTGCTGGTCAGGAACCCAGTCATCGCAGTTCTAAATCTAGGGGCGATAGCACCCCACCTAGTCACGCCGAGGTCGCGCCCTACACAGAACGTGTCGCGATCAGCAGCGCTTGAGAAGTCAAACCCGTCCCGTCATCTATCATTTTGAAGAATATGATTTAGTATGTCTAGCATAAGTGATCAATGTGGCAATTAGTTATTCAAATTTTGCTAACATGCTATTGCAACCTCTTTTGACTACGACGGATCTCTCCCTACGTTCTCACCAATGTTTCCTCGTCGCTGCTATAAACTTTTCCGACGGCTAATATGTTGATACGGAGTTCCTTTCAGGCCTTATTGATAGAATTCATTTATATTCCCAAGGAAGTCCAATCATCAGTCGTGATGGAACGTCTACCGGAGGGCCGAAAGTGGAACTGTTCAGAGAGGGCGCACGGCGCTAAACCGAGAGTGTTCGCAGAAGGCGCCAATTGCAACAATGCTGAGCTTTTCCGTGTTCACAGAAGGCGCTGGCCTTCCAGGTTTGATAACAAAGATTTGATAAGAGGAAGAGGATCTGAATGTATTCAAACACGAATCTCGAAGCGCATCAGTCTCGATTGACCTTTCGCCGATCAAGAGCCTTGGTACTGTAGAGAAACTATTTCTGTTCTCTTCGTTTCTTCTCCTAGACACAATGAGTAGTCTTGCACGCAAACCTCTATTCCGTCCACATGTGGAGTCATGGCACTCTACCCCAACCAAAAGTGTCGATGATGCCTTTCGATTTCATCAAAGTCTACCAGATTATAAACCTACACCACTTGTCAGCCTCGCCAGTGTAGCCAAAGAAATTGGCGTTCGAGCCGTCTATATCAAAGACGAGTCGTCTCGGTTTGGTCTACCGTCATTCAAAGTTCTCGGTGCCTCATGGGGTACTTATCGAGCGCTGGCGGAAAAGCTGAATCTACCGGTGGATGCAGACCTTGATACCGTCCGCCAGGCAGCATCAACGCAAGGCATCAAGCTTTATGCTGCCACTGATGGTAATCACGGCCGAGCAGTCGCATGGATGGGAAAGTTGCTAGGACTTCCCTCAGTCATTATGGTTCCAGCGGGCATGCATCAATCCACAATTAGCTTGATTGAGTCAGAAGGAGCTGATGTGATCGTTTCGCACGGGGATTATGATCAAGCCGTCCAAGAGGCTTATACTGCTGCAAATTCCGAGGGGGGCATCCTCATTCAAGACTTCGCTTTTGGTGATTACCAAGAAGTAGCTCAATGGATTGTGGACGGCTACCAAACGATGATGCAAGAGACACAGGATCAGCTCCAGGGCGACAAGGCAGATCTCGTTATTGTACCGGCCGGAGTAGGATCATTCGCCCAATCTGCCGTCTCTCATTTCCGCCAGCCGGGCAGTTCGACCAAGGTCCTTACTGTAGAGCCAGATACCGCAGCATGTCTACGTAAGAGTTTTGAGAGCGGGAAATTGACCGCGATCTCCACAACGCCTACCATCATGGCGGGATTGGATTGCGGTACGCCCTCATCGATCTCTTGGCCAATGCTGCGAGAAGGTGTCTGGGGAAGCATCACGGTGTCAGATTTTGAAGCGCATGTGGCGACTGATGATATCCAAAGTTTTGGTGTGTCTGCCGGCCCTTGCGGAGGCAGCACATTGGCAGCACTGCGACGGCTCTGCTCTTCAGATAAGACGAAACTGGGCCTTGATCATAACAGTGTGGTCGTATTGCCATGTACAGAAGGCATGAGGGAATACACCTTGCCTCTCGATGTGGCCATCGATGACCCTATAAAGCTCACCCAGCAGTTGGTTCAGATAAATTCCGCAAACCCGGGCATGGGAAGTATACCTGGTCCAGGAGAAACCGAACTTGCAAGATATATTGCCGCTTGGTTAGAACACCGAGATATTGAGGCACACTGGGTTGAACCAACCAAAGGACGACCTTCAATTGTAGGAGTATCTCGCGGGACCGGTAAAGGCAAAAGCCTGATGTTTAACGGTCATATCGACACAGTAACACTCGGAGGCTACGAGGGTGATCCATTAAGCGGCGAGATAAAAGATGGGAAGATCTATGGACGAGGGGCGGCTGATATGAAATGCGGCATCGCTGCCAGCATGGTTGCACTCGCCAAATCTAAGCAGCTTCGTCTTGCAGGAGATGTCATCTTTGCCGGCGTAGCAGACGAGGAGAATTTGAGTATTGGCACAGAAGACATACTCAAGGCTGGCTGGAGAGCAGACGCTGCTATTGTCTGTGAACCCACAAACCTGAGCCTCGTCAATACTCACAAGGGCTTCGTATGGCTTGAAGTAGACATCCATGGCGTGGCAGCTCACGGTTCACGAGCGGACCTTGGCATCGATGCCATTACTAAAGCAGGCCATTTCCTTGTGGCATTGGACCGGCATTCCGATGAGCTTCGGAAATCAAGAGACGACTCATCTGTTGGACCACCTACAATTCATGCCTCCATGATCAAGGGTGGTGAAGAAGCGTCATCATATCCTGCCATTTGCACATTGACAATCGAACGTCGGACTCTTCCAGGCGAGACCTCCACACTCGTAGAGCAAGAGCTGCGCAACATCCTTGATAAAATAAAGGGAAGTGTCAAAGACTTCAATTTCGACATCAGAGTAACATTCGAACGACCATCATTTGAACTGCCCCGCGACCATCCTTTCTGCAACATGGTCAGCAACATTCTCGGCCAATCTAGTGGGGAGAAGAAGGAGTTTGAAGCAGTGCCATATTGGACAGACTGTGCTCTCTTGGCGGAGAAGGGAATTTCAACCTTGCTTTGGGGCCCAGTTGGGGACGGCCTGCATGGAAAGGAAGAGTGGGCTGGGGCCGAGTCTGTTAATGTAGTCACAGCCGGGCTTACGTCTATCGCGGAGGAATTCTGTAAATAGATAGCATCAAGTAACATAGATGAAGGAGATTTGTCAAATAGCCTCGGCATTAGGATCAAAATATCAATGGAAAACAAAACGACCACTGATTTTCTCTCGCACACTATGCATGACTAGATTCTCGGCACAGAGTCACCATAAGTCGCCGAGCCTTGAATCTTTTTCTTACAGGTTTTGTGTGTTCGTCAGATGGATTGTACCAGAGCGCCCCACGGTTCATGGATGCCATGACCGCCAATCCAATCTGCTATCGTTGCGCCAGCTTTGAAATGTGATACGAGGTGTGAGGCTCGCTCCTTCCAACTGTTTAAATGCTGAAAACAAAACCCACAAGTACTATCCACAGCATCGCAGCTTTGCCGAAGTTTGTCCACGCTTGAGTCCAATGCCCAATGCTCCCACTTCACGCACCCATGGAACTTTACGAGATGTTGCCACAAGTGATCTTTCCTGTAAAAGGTTCGATCTGCGATGCTACGTTCTGCACAGGCGGAGAACTCGTGAGACTGGAGATGTTCCTCGCCAGGGTCTTCTTCTCCACAGAACGAGCAGCGAGGTTTGCTTTGGCCGACGCACCAAACGATGGGTTGCGCATCTAAAGGTAATAAATCGGAGCATACCCAGGCGTCCAGACCTGGGAGATGGACGGATCTTTCGTGTCGAACCCAATCGGACTTTTTGGTAAAACTGCGGCCGCAGAAGCTGCATTGCAGAAGGTACGACGAATGGCGCCCTCGTCGACCTCTTTTGCTGGACAAGGTAGTAATTCTAGATCGAGAGCTCCGCACCCCTTCAGTGGTGCCAGTATACGAACTATTCGAGTCTTGGGACAGGTAGACCGAAAGCTCGCTGGAAGAGTCATGAACCGAAAATGTACCAGTAGAAGATGTGGCTTCTGCACCTGCCGCTCCCACCGATGCGATTGAGTGATCGTCCGGTGTGGTTGAAAGTAGAGTATCCTGTGACATTTCCATCAATGCATTCTCAATATCTACCATGGACGCGGGCTCTTCCTCTGGTGGACTGTTGCGCCATCTTGACAACGGCGACGTTGACAAGCTGTCGCGAGGAGCAGGTGATCCTTCGCGAATGGCCTTTTTGCTCCTCGGCCGTCCTAGCCCAGCAGCATGGCGCTGACGTCGACGAGCATTGCTGAACCAGTTGAGTATTTGTGTCAAGCTTAGACCAGTAGTCTGCACAAATATTTCTTTCTCTTGATCGGAAGGATATGGATGGTCTGGATGATTGGCCATCCATTGCCGCAACGGACGCGTCTTGAGTCCAGAGCGTGAGTTCGACCGTTTTCCGGTTGGCTTCACCTCATTAACTTCAAATCTCTCGAGAATTTGGTCAAAACTGGGGTGTTGATAGTCTGTAGGGTCTCCTTCGTATACACCATGGAGATTCCCGACCACAGGCTGCGGAGTTTCAAATGCAGAGGCTTGTCTCTTTGAAGGTCCTGCCAAACTGCAGGGCTGAAAAAGTGCAACGCAACTGGAACAAGCCGTTGTGGGATTCGGATTATCAGGAGTGGTGTATAGACTGAAACATTGCAGTCGCAGACGAGAGCAATGTGTACATGGCTCGACTGGCCGGAATGCCCCATTGAGCCGAAAAAACTCGTCCATCGCAAACTCTTCGCTGCTTGGAAATTGACTCTGCAAATCTGTACTTGTTCCAAAGCTGCTGAATCCTTGGAATGCATCCCGTGATAAGCCACATCCTTGCTGAAGCATGTTGTCGTTCCAAGTTGGTTGGGGCGCTGATGAATTTTCAGGTACGATCCCTTCGGACGCTCCGCCGTGCGGTTGAGGCTCTACACCACGATCCAGGTCATCGTCCTCCATCATGTCTGTAGTGGCATACTCGTGGAAAGGGAAGGAACTCAAGTCGGCGCTATCGGCACATTCGATTTGATTCATTGCTTGGTACACGCTGCGGATTTGCCTCAAACGAGTTGAAATCGACCTGAGTGGCACCCCATGCTAATGAGCATGAAAGGGATCTTGGAGATTGGTGTCGGTTTTGTTCGCAATTTGAATAAATCAAAGCAAATTTGGAACAGATCAAGTGTTCACATGTCATTCGATTAGAGGATCACATTTAGTCTCACGGAGTCAAACTCTCAACGTCTTTTGAGCGGAGGTAACGCACGAGCCACCAGTCCAAATTACTAGCCAATCAGTGGCCGTAGCAGAAGATTTCCGTGGTAGGTACTTCCCCTCTAGGCACCAGGTACCATGTACATATTATAATAACTACCAGATTGATCTGTTACTTGCAGGATTATTTTAGTGCCACATTGTTGCAATATTTATAATGTAGTTAAATATTTGTAATTCATCGATTAGGCAAGGAAAACCAAGCAAGGTGTAGAATAATTATTGTATTTAATTCTACTTGAAATCTTCCTTATTCAGTGTTGAAGCGTTGGTATACTTCATTCGTGTATTCCTTCATGTAACGGCCTTCCTACAAAATTTGGGAGATCGAAAGTTAATCAATCATCAAATTGTTTGTTTGTTGATCAAACCCCGAGCCAACGAGACAGCAGGGTAGAGCACCAAGGAAAAAGGAAAGAAAACCCCCCATTGCTAGTTCACATATCGCCCCAGTTGATGATTCATGTTATTCACAGCACATTCTCCTGACCGCACGCCTCGTGGACGTCTCCGCTTGCCCAGTGACCTTTGCTTCATCAATTCATTGTGAAATGATTGGCTGATCGAACACTATTCGCCCCATTTTCGACTCGCGAACGTACGCCTCATGTAAATACTGACATAGTTGTATCCCGGGGATGGAGATATCCATGTATTCGTCTCCCAATTCTTTCTTGGCGAGGTCATCGTAGGCGAAATCGCTGAGGCGGAGACAAATGCCCGGGCTGTCGACGGGCTCTCCTTTGCCGTTACGAAAAGTCTGATAAAAATGTTAGAGAACTGCGCACGGTAGTACACGGGTTGAGCATACCTCTTCTATAAGCGATCCTACCGCACGTAATTCAAGTCCGTCTGTGGTATTGCGCAACTGCGGCCGCCAAGTTGATAGTGTTGCTTCGCGCAACTCATTGTTGTCGTAGTCGACGTTTACACAGACGACGGCCCGTATGTTGGATTCTGACTTGAGGATATACTCTTCAGCTAACCTGCGTAGGCATCTCTTATTCTGCGAGTATGCAAATTCGATGATGACGCCAGCATATACTGCATGGTCATGCGCGAACGATATGTCCGGGTCATGTCTCGACTTGCTATTGTCGAAACGTATTGTAGTATGTCCGATGGGAAACAAATCCCGTGCGAATTTTGCCCTCCTGTCCGATCCATTACCAATTTCTTCGAGCTGGCGCCAGATGTCCCTCTCGACTCGGACGATAAATCTTTCATTTATCCTAAAACCACTGCGTATTACTAGTAGACATTGGTCTTCGTAATGGTCATGCCTGTCAAACTCTCTGTCAGCTAAGTTCATTGTCGTCGGTAAATTCTCCTTACCGGACCTTTTCGTCCACGAATCCCCAGAGTTCATTGTCTTGTTGGAGCGCACTCTGTATCTCATCAAAGTCCCCTTCTTCAAGCTGAAATCTTGTCCAATGGGTGTTTGCTGGGTAGGTTCCTGCTTCAAGTTGTCTGAAAGCCTCAATAACGCTCTCTGCCCCCGGAGACAGCTTCGCCATCGTTGTCGAAGACATTCGATTTCGTCTCTGTTTGCGATATTGACATGTAATTGTATTTCTGTGCAGTATTATCAAGTCATTCGGGGCCGATCGCCAGAAGATTAGTGTTTAAATTCGCTCAGTGATAGGGCCAATAGTTGACGTTACCACTCATCACCGTGCCCTAGGCTTCCATGGCTTCATTCTTGGCACTATAAGAAAGAACGCATCTACTTTATTCCGAGATTATTGTTCCCATCCCGGGTGCTAGCTACTGACTCTCAAGCTAGATGAGCACATGCAATCTTGCAGCAGCTCTGTGACTATGAAAAGAAAATTACAACCTATCCTATTTGGATTGTTACGAGCCAGAAACAGTTACAAAAATATCAAAGGTCATGAGGTAAATGAGATCATTATAGCTTCCGTCAGACGCAAAGACAAAAGAACAAGGCCGTAATGTTGCTGCTCAAACAACAGCTACAAAATTACACACGAAAAACCCTCATCGTGCTGATCTTTCGAATCCTGCTGTTGATCCTCCCAACGCCGGGCGAAGTCGGCGTCAAAGTCAACGTCAACGTCAAAGTCGGCGTCACTGAAACCATCATCCGTCTCAAAAGAAAAAGACTGTTCAAATCCTTGACGTTGATATGCCGACGCGTTTTCTTGGTTCTGAAAGAACCTGGCCGAGCGGTACAAGAGACCGATCCATGGCCTGACTTCCCGTAGTACATCCATCCAAGACACAGAGGATTGCGGGACACTGGAAGGACCACTGGAAGGACCACTGGAAGGACCACTCTGCCCTGATTGAGCGGTTCCCGCGTCATTTGGAGGCGTGTTCGACTGCTCAGTGCGTGGTTCTTGATAATTTCATTAGCCATTGGAATGGAGAGACTCGTTCAGATACTGTCGTGACTTGCCTTGATCTGGAGCTGTGGCATTGCTGCTTCCCTTTGTTGCTGATCTGAGCCAGCGTCCCGCAGATGTTGCATCGATACTCTGGCCATCAGCGATTTCGGTGTAAATCTTCAGACGCAGCTCTGATGCGTCGTGATAACGCTCATGTATCATTGCTCTTGCTTCGCGTGCTCGTCCCTCGGCGTTCCTCCCTATATCAAGCCCTCGCTTACGGTCACCGTCCTGGATGAGGCCATGGTGAAATGACTCTGCTCCATTTAAGAGTAGAGGTCGAATCAAATCACTCTCGCACCATTGAGAATAACGGTCGAGCTTCTCTTCAATACCAGCATCATCCTTCCTATCCCACTTAGTAGAGACGATTGTAACGTTTGGCATGTAATCGTTACCGCAGAAATGTTGCAGCCAAGTTAGAACCATTTTCTGGGACTTAGTCGAACGGTCATCATCAAATTTATCAACGTATATAAGACCGCGGAACTTAACATATGGCTGTATTGTGGCCATGGCTGTCATGAGAAGATAGAAAATCTCCCGATCGTCCATGTCGGCCGCGCTGAATCCTGGCATATCCAGGAAAATGTACTTCTTCCCGTTGATGATTGTAGGTACAAGAGCGGTAGTCCGTGTTCCTAAATGACTGGATGAGCGTCTAAAAACATCCCACTAAGCAGGTATTTCTAGTTACCGGATTGAAGAGTAGATGAGACGTAGACATTCGAACCTGTCACGGATTTGATGAAAGCAGACTTTCCAACTCCAGTAGCACCCGTGACAATGATCAGGTCAGCTCCCATGCTATGTCTCAATTAGCTATCAATTCTGGGGGCAAAAACGGCAATACATCTTATTTTTCGATGAACTTAGCAGCTTTGTCGGACAGTGCATTGCAAACTCTGGAAGATAGTTTCCTCCAGCCATCTGCTATAGAGCGTAATGGGGTTTTGGAAGTAATGTCCATGTCTTAAGGAAGCAAAGTAAAACCAGAATTGATCAAGTGGTCTTCGAAAGACAAGTGTGGGGAGTGGAGTGGCAGAAAGGTTCCACTTGACCTGTTCGATCGCGAGCTTAAATATTTCAATTGATCAGGACGTTACCATGATACATCAACCTCATTCGTCGACGACCCATCCAATGGTGGGAACGTAGAGATGAGCAGGGATATACTTAAGCGAACAGATTTATTGCATACTGCGGCGTAACGTACAATGGTGGGTTGATCGAGAACATCACAGGTTATCAACATCACTGCCTTGTTGTATAGGCTGTAGGCATGCAGGTTTCATGCATAGTCCTCTGCCACGCAACATGTTGAAGCACAATCATGACGAGAGCTGACACATTCGGGACGACTAATAATGCGATGTAAGAGCGATCCGATGTTGCGTTCTCGACTTCCTTTGTATTGCTCCACTTTATTCACATAGTATCGTGCAAACTTATACTCTGTGAAATGGCGTCTCATTTGCACTCCTCTCTTTTTGAACAGTTTTATCCTGAAATCGTTGTCCATTACGTGATTGATGGACTCAGCCTCGCACAACTAAAAGAGATCTTGATCAAGCGAGACCCAAGGCTGCTGATGAGGTACGCCATTGGCACAATCACATGGACAGCTCCCTAACCAAGACTCTAAGTGATTTCCAATGGAGAAACAAACTATTGGAGTTTGGCATTTCAAAAAATAATAACTTGCCCGACGCTGAATATATTCTCGAGAATCTTAGAGAAAACGGCTACGAAGTTGATCAGTGCCTAGTCATAGCTGACGGTATCCTCGTCGATGTTAGAGACTTACAACGATATTGCAAGCGCAAAGGCATATCATCAACCAAGGGCGAACTATCACTACGCGCGCAACATATCTTTTTCATTCCTCTGCCTTTCACGTTCACAGTTCTCGGTGATTTGGAGTTTTTGAAAAGCTTCAGAAAACTCCTCTGGTACACCCGTTTGCATTTCGATAAATGCTTCACTACCGGTATATGGTCACCGAACAATTATGGTATATATGGGCGACATCCGATATTAATACCAGGTCTTTCGAATCTCACTACGTTGCATAACATGATATGTGACGCCCTCAAACACTGGAGAAATGGAAACTGTAAAAGATTCTGGGCGGAGATTGCCACAGCTCAGTCGTTGCACAGATCGATCGTCCAGACGTACCACCATCGTCAATTTCCCGACATTTTGGCAATTTCACTGCTTCTCGAAAGACACCAGCTGTCTCGTCTCCGCATTGGTATGGCCAAAGATCTGTTCGCTTGGGCGAATGACGACGCCGTTGGCCTCCAAAGCCATGACCCTAGGAGAAGAATTTTTGAAGAGATGATACATTTGCCAATGGATCCTCAGGGTCACTTGTATCTCGCATACGATGCTTATTGCCGCCATCTTTGGATGACTAGGACGACTGGAAACGGCCCTATCAAGGCATATTATGGATACAACCAAGCGAGCCTACCTCGTACTATTCCAGGAGGCTTTTACAACTTGTTCAAAGGCAAGAGTATCATCGAGATTCAAGGCATACTTCAACAAGTAGATCTGATGTTTCCCGTAATCGATCACGCGAGGGTCTGTTTGTGGCAGACGGCCATTCGGTATTTGCTGCAAGAACACCGATACGATGATGCGGAGACATTCAGCGCAAACCTGGCATCATCCCTTCTCTCAGATCCGTATCCACCAGGGATTTTCCAAGAGCGCCAACTCAACGCAGACACATCAATCACCTTATTTCTGCTTGGATCGGCTCAAATATCCCTGAAGAAAGTCCCCCAGGCTCAAAGAAGTTTTGCGAAATGCGTCGAGATAAGGAGTGTCCGGGTATCCGATTACTCCTGGATCCCATACTCGCAGGTGCACTAGAGAAGTTGCAAAATTTGTCAGAACGGATGAAAAACTATGTAGCGATAGAAGAATGCAAATGGCGGATTTCTCTCATGTATTCTGTCATGGAACAGAATCATTTGGCTGCATCAGGGGAACTCGTTAGGGATGTACAATCGCGCTGAGGAAGCACTGTTGATGGCTGGTAGCACGTTTCGGAGATGATACTTTTGTCTTGTTGTTCATGAACAATATGATTTGTGTCAGCCTTGCCTCTCGACTTCCTAGTCTACTATTCTTCTTTCGCTTTTCTCTTGATGAACTTCTCTCTGTCGTCACCGCTTGTTGATTTGAGTTTTTATTCTTAAATTTGAAATCATATTGGTCTATCCTATGAAATTGATTCTTATTATATGATAAGCCTAACAAAAGAAACAAAATGCAGGTTGGCGGTATCTACTGCAAAAACCCCATCTCCTTCCACGCTTTGATATATGACATGACGACCACATCAGGGACCGGTCCCTCAGCAGCCATAGTCGGAGAATGCTGGCTGACCATCGTAGTGTCAAGAACGATACCGCCTGTAGCCATGCGGCGGAAGTGTTGCTCTAGGAATGCAATGGCGCGGGCGGCAGGATTTTCTGAGTCGGGGAGATTGGACTCGCGAACACGCCTTACCCATTCCTCGAAGGGGACAATGTTCTCTGGAGAAATGCTCAAGGCAGGAGCGAGAATGGACGACATTTTGTTCCATGGCTGGCCGACAGGGTTGTCGATATGGTAGACTGGGTGGGCATCTGGTTCCGATATGTCCGCGTAGCAATCGAGTTTGAGCAGGTCGACCATGACGGCAGCGGATTTGTTGACGGGAAGCCAATGCAGCGTACCTGGCAGATCTGGCCAGGATTTCAGTGCCTGAGCGCTCTTGAGGATAAATGGGAAGTGTTCGACTGGGTTCCAAACACCGCTCTTGGTAGACCCTGAGATCTGACCTGGGCGGCAAGCAGACGCGCGGAAGAGACGGGGGTGCCGGCGCATAGTCTCGTCTAGCATCCGCTCACATACCCATTTGCCCTCATTGTAACCACTTGGGATGACCGAGTCCATTGGAACAAATTGTTCCGGAACATCGACCCGCTCACCGGAGAAGCCAACCACCCCGATAGATGAGACGTACTGGAATCCAATCTTACGGGGCGCCGCGCTTATGGCCATGTCGCGCGCAAGATCGAGTAGATTCCTCATAGTCTTAATTTGGGGTTCGAAGGCCCTGAGAGGCCGTATTGCACTCATAGGCCAGGCATTATGAATGAGATGGGTACCGTGCTCGACTAGCCAGGTGAACTCCTGGGCCGGAAGACCGAGCTGAGGCTTCGAAGTGTCAGTGTCATATACTCGCAATTTGGCCAACGCGGTAGGAGACAGTTCGATGCCTCGCGTGGTCAGAGCATCAAGTTGTCTCTTCCTCGCGGCCACATTGCTGACTGGGCGATTCATGCACACAACATGCGAGACATCTTCACGCTCGGCGAGAGCCTGGACAAGATGAGCCCCCAAACTACCAGAAGCGCCAGTTACGATGACCGCGGGACCAACATTACTGGAGGGACGGTTGCTGGCTGTACGGTGCTCCGCTGCCTTCAGTCCTGGCGATTCCCATCCTGCTGTATACAGGTTCGTTAGCCGTACTGCCTCTGCCGCTCGTGCAGCCACATCCGTCTTCCTAAGCACAGTATTTGTTTTTGCTGCTGCTTCCACTGCACTAGATGAGTTACTTGAAATTCTGAGCTAGGTGAGAGGCTGGAACTAACCTTTTGATGGAACCGTGCGATACGGAGTCAGAGAAAGAGATGACGGAAGATGCGTCGTCGCTCTGATCCGTGAACACATTGTCGTTGATACTACTCTCGTCATCATCTTCATCACTATCCTGCTGTTGCCCGTTCGGCACACTCTGGGTCTGTGCCACGGCACTCTTGACACAGTCGACAAATTGACGAATACTGGTAGCCTTCATCTGCTCATTCTGATCGAGCGTACATTTGAAGGTGTTCTCGATCTCGCGTGCTAACTCCATGCCCATCAATGAATCGATGCCTAGATCGGCCAATTCACTGTCAAGCTTGAACTCGCTGACGTCGATGCCGGAAACATTGGCGACAATGTTGCGCACATCGTCCGTGATGTCGTATGCACCACCGACAGACTTAGGCTGCTTGTTCTCGGACTTTTCCATAATCCTAGGCCGAACCTCTCGTGGCATAGGAGAATTAGCAGCCTCCTGGCGAATTTGGGGTGCAGAAGGGGGAAATGATGGCGCGGTGCCCCTGACAAACGATTTGTCTGCAGTCGTGCGCGCCAGAATCTTGCTCATCGTTGCTTTGGCGATGCGGACGTAGCGAAGTCCTAAGATGACCTCAGCGAGGGTGCGCGTTTCTGCGTCGAAGATGAAGACATCTGTGGTAAACGATTTCTCGTTTTCGCGCTGGTGGCGAGCGAGCACATGCCAAACACCAGAGCCGTGTTCCTTGCCGTCGGTCACAGTCTGGATCTTGGGCGAACGCATAACCATCTCAAGACCAGTAGCGACAAACATGTCGCTGGCAGGAAGATCGGTGAGTAGGTTGACATACATGCCTGCAACCTGCCCGAAGGAATCGGCTTTGGGTACATCGAGCCAGGTGTCGCCGGTATGTCGCTTGCGCACAATACCAGCACTCTCGCCATCGCGGCCCACCACGTACTTTACACCTTCGTACACGGGCCCAAAGTCGCAGACTTCCTTGAAGGCGCGGTACACGTTGCGGCCCTGGAGTGCATCGACGCCTTCGTCGCCGGGTCCCAAGTTCAAAACGGATTCGCACTGGGCGTAGTTGACAACTCGCTCGTACCGTGAGAATTCCCGAGTGAATGCCGGCGCAGAGGGGCTGGACATTGTGATACGTCCCTCGGCGTGTTTGTCTGGGTGGCCGGAACTCGAGTTACTGACACTGTGGATCATAAAACGCCATTCCGTCTCGGCTTTGTTGACTGGCTCGAGATCGAGATAGAAGGTACGCGTAGAGTCGGCGCAGATGGGTGAATGGCTGAGCATGTCCCGTACGATAGGCGAAAAACCATTCGCTTTCCAGTCTTGGTTCAAGCTATAGAGAGTCTCGATGGCCATATCAATCTCAAGAGTAGCGGGGCAAATGGGAGCTGTCTGGGCGATGACATGGGTAGCGAACAAGCTTTGATATTTAGCAGAAGTAGTGTTGATCCGGAAGCGGGCAAGCTTCGTGGGTTTCTTCTCGCTGCCGCCGTTCTGGAAGCCCATAAATGTCCATGGTCCAAGGCTCTTAAGTCCTTCCTGTGCGTCGGGGGCCATCTGTGTGGATTTTGCAACCACAGCCCCGTCTTCGATCATCTTCTGAGCAATTTTCTTGGCCTGCTCCAAAGGTGACTTAACCTCAAGCCAATGGCGCGATCTTTCGAACTGGTAGGGTGGAAGAAGAAGTTGCGCGTAGTTGTCAGTCTGCGTCGTGTGATGTGCCCAGAAGTTTACACGTAGACCCTGCTTCCAGAGACTGACAGTTGCATCTGTGAGCCCATCCATCCCCTTGGTGGTGTTAGTAATGGAGACGGACTGAAAGTGGTGAGACTCGGGAGTGGTGAGTCCTGCAGCCGCGAGTGCACGAGATGCCATGATGGTGATGGTCGAATTGGAACCGGCCTCAAGAAAGATGGCTTGGGGGTACTTTTTGACTAGGCGTTGGACAGCGTGGTTGAAGAAGACTGGTTGCCGCATGTGGGAACCGACAAAGCTCCAGTCCAAGGGCGCTCCAACTTCGTGCTCTGTGGCGCTTTCGATCGGTATGACGGGGTCATTAAATGTCAGTGTCTTGCCAATCTCGCCCAAGTCGGCTACAAGAGGCTGTACCAGGGACGAGTGGAAGGCATTGGTAACGTTAAGGCGCTTGCTCCTGACGCCTTGGAATTTGCTACCGTCCTCCAGAATTTTGGCTACTTCCTCGATAGCTTCAGTCGAACCTGCGAGAGTGAAGCTGCGAGGGCCGTTGTAGCAGGCAATGCTAGCCGAACCGTCGGATGAAAGGTTCGCATCCTTCAAAAGATCGTGGACAACCTCCTCGTCAGCCTCGACCGCCATCATAGCACCAGAATCAGATCCCCAGCAATTCTTGACAAGCTTGGCCCGGCCGGCAATGAGCTTTACGGTATCCTCGAGACTGAGCACACCTGATACGCAGAGTTCTGTGATTTCACCGAAGCTGTGGCCAACGACCGCAACCACCTTCTCAGCGAGACCACAATCTAACCAGGTTTTGGCCGACGCATATTGCATAGCAAAGAGACAAAGCTGAAGCTTGACGACATCCTGAACAGGTTGACATGAGAATATATCTGGCAAGATACTGTCAAGGCCTTGGGACGTGATAGCGTCGTTGCACTCATCAATATACCGGCGCAAGACGGTGACACCGTGGTAGAGTGTAGGGTCCAACCCCACGAAAGTGGAGACCTGTCCGCCAAAACAGAGGACGACGGGCCGTTCCGGTTTGGTGGGAGCAAGGCCCACACCCATGCTGTCAGAGGCACCCGAAAGCTTATCCTGTAGCTCGGCCAGTGAATTGCAACTGAATATCATTGCCTGGGGTAAATTAGGGTTCGACTGCCGTTTCATATTGAACGACACATCAGCGAGCGTTGCTTGACCTTCCTCAGGCCCGGCGCGAGAGCTTAGGTAGGGAGCTAGTACTCTGCTGTACGCTGCGATGCTGCGATGGTCGAGGCCTGAGATCCAGAAAGGGAGTCGTGGTGCTGATGGGGCGGATACGGGAGATATGGAAGGCTTGCAAGCCGTGTGGGAGAGTACCAAGCTGGCATTCGATCCGCAGGCGCCGTAGTTGTTAATGAGGGCGTACTTCCGATCCCCTTTCCAGGGTCGTGGTGTCGTGACAACCTCCATTTTGTCCGATGGCTGCGCATGGATGTGAGGGTTCATCTTGTTGAAGCTAGCCTGGGCAGGAATGAATCCTTCTCGCATCATCGTGAGCACCTTGATGAGGGAAATGAGACCAGCAGCACCTTCTGTGTGGCCGACATGACCCTTGACCGAACCAATGGGTACAACGTCGTCACGCAAGTCACCACCAACAGCCAGACGCACACTCTCGTACTCCGCGGGATCTCCAACGGGTGTGCCAGTGCCGTGGCATTCGACAAGGGAAATTTCACGTGGTTGCACTTGGGCCTTTTTGATGACGTCCTTGAAGAGGGTCGAAAGCGAAGGCACATTCGGAACGAACAATGGCGTCGAGTTGAGGTTCTGATTGATACCGGTGGCGCGGATGGTCCCCAAGATCATGTTACCGTCGGCCTTTGCAGTGGAGAGCTTCTTCAGGAAGACATATGCTATGCCATCCCCACGGCAGTACCCGTCAGCGTCAGCGTCAAAAGGTTTGCATTGTCCCGAGGAGCTGATAAAGCCGCCGGCGTTGAGGTTTTGCGTCCACTGTAGATTGGTCAAGACGTTAACACCGCCACAGAGCGCCGCTCTGACTTCGCCATTGATCAGATCGCGACAAGCAGTGTGGAGAGCGACGGTCGACGACGAGCATGCCGTATCTACAGTGAGTGCTGGGCCAGTCCATCCGAAATAATGTGACATTCTACCAGAAATGAAACTCCTTAGACTCCCGGTGCCTGTGAATGCAGTAGCTGGATGGCAGATGGTGTTGATCTCATACTCGAAAGAGCAGAGTCCGACGTAGCAGCCTACCTGCTTCCGCCTCTCCTGCTCAGCCGCAGTAATGGTCGACATTTCATTGAAATATCCAGACTGTTCGACCGCCTGGTATGCGCCGTGCATGGAGAGACGCCCCTGAGGATCGATGGCCATCGCCTCGCGCGGACTGCGCTTGAAGAACTTGTGGTCGAACCCGTCGGCGTCACGCATGAAATTACCAAACCACTTCCTATTTGGGTCGGCATCAGCGCCCTCGCGGAAGAGCATGTCGTGCGTCATGCGATCTTTGGTGATGACCTGGTGCTGCGACTTCCCTTCCTTGAGCATCTCTTCGAACTCACCAAGGTCATCAGCGCCAGCGACCTTGAGAGACATGCCGACGATAGCAATCGCGTCTTCAGGCTCGTCCTCTGCCTCTACGCTGGGGGACTTTGGCTCTGGGGCAGAAGTCTGTTTCGGGGCACTGGAGGTTGTGGGTGACAGTCGGGCACGCTTAGGGATCTGTTCTTCGATCTCTTCGAATTGCACTTGCTTTTGGCCCATGGCGCGTACAATCGTAGGTCCCATGGGACGGTCGAGGCCGAAGGCAATGAGCGAGACGTTGTCACTGTTAGCCGCAAGTTTTGAGACGGTGCTGGACCAGTTCAATTGACTCGTAAGAATAGATCGCAATACTTTGTCGACCAAGTTGGTTTCCTCACATGAAACCGACTTGCCCTCGGGGTGGTCAAGATAAGTCGGCAATGCGAGATTGGCAGCGTCGGGAAATTGCAGCTCAGGCATGGAACGGCATATTTCGATCAATGCTTCGGTATGGCGTGCGCGCTCTTCACCTGGGGTGTGCAGTTTGCCTTTGAAGGCAAGGGGGATTGCAGTTACACCTACTGCGCGAAGCTGTCTTACAAGCTTACGTGCAATGCGCTCCTGGGTGGTGATGGTAGCTCGGGAATCATCGAACAGCACAGAGATATAGGCGTCGGGCGACATGGTGGAAACAATACGCGCCATATCGGCGCCTTGCTTAGTTGTCCTCCACGCAGTCGCCAAAGAGACAGATCCTCCTTTTCCCTTGCTCTTACTCCATTCCTCAGTGGCGCCCACCAGAGCAGCCATCATGACACCGATGCGCAGTGCGGTGGCACCGAACCTCTCGAACTCCTGTCGATTGTGGGAGCTTGCTACTGCGACAGCAGCGATCATTCCAGCGCAGAAGCCCACCGTCTCGATTTTGCCGCTGCCCGCAACTTTCACCACTTCAGCTTGCAGGTCGTCGATGGGCTGTCCAGCCTCGCCGTCGAATCGGAATTCCAGGTAGCGCCAGTACTGATCGAGTTGAATCGCAATCATCATAAAACCAATCCAAATATCAGGAATTTCCTGATCCGGTTCTATCTGGTCCTCAGACTGGTCACCCAATCTCAACCACGACTCGAGATGGGCCAGAAGTTTAGCGCCATCCATTGTGCCCGTCATCTCGGGGATCTTCTGTACCATGGCATCCCAGTATTGGGGCATGCTGGCCAGAGCATCGAGTATCCATTTTGCGTTGGCACCGTCCAAGATCTGACGGGCTTCCTTCGCCAGCGTTTTCTTGGTTTGGGGACCGATGTGGCCGCCAAAGACGAAGCCGTTGGCCTTGCAGGCATGGTTCAAAGATTCCGGTAGCATTGAAATTGACATTCTGATATCTTTGATGTGAAATGTGATAGTGGAAGACGTGAAGGTTTGCAAAGATGAGGTCGCAAAATACGGACTTTTTGATGACGAGTAGGCGTGTAATCAACAGTAACGGGATATTATAGTATGATGTATATGCTCAGGTACTCTGACAGAATAGAGCCAGCGTTGCAGAAAAAGCGTGGAGTGAATTGTAATTCAGTCTCAAAAATGAGTAAAGGGTAAGTTATGGACAAGAAGGATTTGAAATTAACAAGAGACTTTCTGATATGTGGTGAAGATAGAAAGCTGTTTTGGCAGTTGCTGGTTTCTGTGACGAAGAAATGCGAGGCCTGCGCAGAACTATTACGTAGATGTTATCAAATGAACACACAATAGGTTGCTGTAGTCACAAGAATCAAAACAGGGCGCCGAGCGTACTCAATATAAGTCAATTCTGATATAGCGATATGCCAAATTGAAACGACAATTTGAAGCGATGGGAATGCCACAGTGTACGCATACTGACCTGCATATGCCGTGTGCTTGTCTCTGCCGCAACGAAGCATCTCCGTTCCTTCGAGGTATCCACAGTGCCTTAGCGAGCAAACGCATAGCGAACCGTATGTATCCTGTGCAAATGCTTGTCTGCGCAGCAATGAAGCTTGTTTGCTTCATGGAAGCACGCACAGTGCCATAGCGGTCTCTGTTGGCCCAACAAGTCCAGAACTGAAACAATAGATAGTCAGTAACACATCTAATCGCGTTGCAGGAAAGGGAATTGAAGGATACGCGGCCACTTGGTCTAATGATATTCCAAAAGGGGCGACGCCTGCTATCGAGTTGGCAATCCCTTGCTCATGCTTGTTCAAGCTGCATACGAGAGATAGTGTTCACTTGTTGGATTGATGGACGACGGACTTCCGCTGTTTAGCAGATCTTATGTTAAGCACACCCCAGGCAATATTGATCCAGTTTAAACGGAAATCGGCTGATTGTAGATCCTTCTAGTACCTGTTTCATTGAATCCCCGAAGTCAGTGTTCGCTGGATTTATATACTCTTTGATACGGCTGGAGTGTTGTATATGTTTATCTCACACGAAAGAACAAAATTGTTGATCAAAACAACACATTGATTGTTTCGTTCGGTTCTGTTTTGTTCGGTTGTCTCAAGTCGTCTTATCGCTTCTTTAAATTATTGTTGTGTCGGAGCCGAGGAATCCTTATCTTCAGCACTCATTTTTCGCATCAACGGCGTTGAGCAATCGTTATTGGGACGTGCAGTTTTCCATTATTATTTTCGACCATGGCCAGCGATTCGTTCGAGGTAGCCATCGTAGGAGGTGGTATAATAGGTGTGATCACCGCTCTCGGACTACAGCGCCGAGGCATCAAAACGACTATCTACGAGCGAGCCCCCACGTGGCACGAGGTCAGCGCAGGGTTCGCGTTTACTCGGGCAGCCCGGGAGTGCATGGAGCGGATAGAGCCCAGACTGGTAGAGGTCCTGGGCAGCATCAGCCAAAAGACGGACGCCAACACCTGCAACAGCTACTGGGATGGGTACCACCCGCGGACACTGGAGGAAGCCGAAGATGAGACCAAGTCGCTACTCTTTCGTACCCCAACCCATAACATGGACTATTGGGGCTGCGTACGTTCCCAATTCCTGCATGGCATGGCTGCCCTACTGCCTGAAGGATCGGTCCAATTCAAGAAGCAGCTCGCGAGCTATGAGGATGACGACAAAAATGGCAAGGTCGTCCTAAATTTCGACGATGGCAGCACAGAAAAGGCTGATGTGTTGGTGGGATGCGATGGCATCCATTCCGCTACCCGCAGAGCTATGTTCGGTGCCGATCACCCAGCTAGCGAGCCTGTTTACGCACACCAAGTCGCCTACCGAACCATGGTCCCCATAGATGTTGGCGTTGAAGCCCTTGGTAGTAAAACGGCTGTGAGCGCCTGTATTCAGACTGGACCGGACGCGGCCATACTGTCGTATCCCGTCATGAGCGGAACTGTGCTCAACATTGCTGTTTTTGCCCATGATTTCGAGCCAGATAGTTTCCCCGACCCCACCAGAATGGTTGCCCCTGCGAAACGCGAGGAACTCCAACGTCTCCTCGAGGGATTTTCTCCACACCTCGCCAACATCTGGAAGGTATATCCCGAAGATAGTCTCGTGAAGTGGGGACTATTCGATACAGCCAGCAACCCACCCCCAACATACGCTCAGGGACGCGTGTGTATCATGGGCGACGCCGCACATGGTAGCACTCCGTTCCTAGGTGCGGGTGCCTGCACTGGAGTCGAAGATGCCCCCGTGCTCTGCACGATGCTGGAATTTGTACAGCAGAATAAAAGAACGCCACAAAGCGCAAGTGGAGACAATTTATTGAGAGAGTCACTCCAGGCGTACAGTCGGGCGAGAATGGAGCGTGGTCAATGGGTCGCCCGGAACTCACGGGAGATAGGTGACTGTTACATGTGGCGATTTGGTCCAACAGGGCGCGACACCAAGAAATTTAACGAAAAGCTTAGCAAAGCGTATCATTACATCACAAACTACGACGTCTTGGGCGCAGTGGAAATTCCGGCTTGCTGATTTGAGAAGATGGGGTATGGACAAAATAAATTCCGTAGATAAATAGCATAGAATTGAAGGGTAATTTGATATCGGTTTACCATGGGAATTACTCTTCGCTCCGTACGTAGTCCACTTAGGTAGTTACTCTAATGGTCAGCATTCAAACATCGTCCATTCAAATTTCTACCATTAAAGGACAAGGTCCATATTTTCAGGAACATTTTATGAGAATTGAAAAATTGAGCTAAAAGAATTATGATCTATTCTCTTTCTATGAATCCAGCACGCATTATCTGAATGACCCAGAATATCGCCAACAATATGCCGCCCGCCAGGCAACGGTAAAGTCTTACTTGAATTTCATCCTCCAAATTTGTTCGCATGAGTATACACATGCGACTAGGATCAGTAGGATCTACTCCGCATTTTCGGGTTTCATGATTGCCCTGTTTCCTTCGCCCCAGACATGGTGGGACTGCATCTTCTTCAATCTCCATTCGTCGTCGGTCTTGACAGCGTCACACGCGTAGATGGCGCCGGCGGTGTATTTGTTGGGACCAGGTTCGAATCCCTTTTCGAGCACACAGTGCACGGAGGTGGCTGTGAAGGTGACACGTGCGGTGGTCGGTGTGTCTACGCTAACACGCATGTTGGAAAGGTAGTGTACCGTGTCGAGGTTGTTTGCAATGTGGTTTAAGACCTTCGACTTGAGCTCATCGCGACCATCACAGATCTTGTCCGCGATGTTGGTATATACATCCTCTGTGGTCGCCGAATCGAGGAGAGACATGTCGGCGTGATCGATACTAGCGAACGCCCGGTAGCATGCGTCGATAACGAGTTCGCGATCATTGAGAGGTGGACCAGCCAGCTGGGCGGGGAGGGGAGTGCCGTGCATATTGGAGGGTAAATATGATGGAGAAATTAGTGATTGAGGTGAGTAAGTAGAGTGACACTTGGGATTGGAAATAAGAAGTTTGTGACTTTGGTTTCGTTGCTCTTCGACAGTTTCAGGTAGTCGTATGTACTTCTCTCACGCCTCTTATTACATATAAATAGGGTTACTAACGTGATGATATTGAATACTACCCGATCTAGTCCGTATATTAACGTATGTGTAGCACTCGGTCTCCGCCATTAGAGTCTGCAAGGTAGCTATGCAATTCGATGAATGTCGATCATTCTGTAGCATACACATGCAATGTAGACCACATAATTTTAGTTTGGTGGAGTTATCAAAGTGGGATAGCCTATGACTGTGAAAGCGGTCGAAACGTAGTGGGGTCCCTAACGGTAGCGATATGCTATTCCATCGCCTATCGGACTTCCAGAAGGCATTCAGGCCAATGTGGATCAGTTGGATTATGAGGACCCGTTAACCGCCAATTGGAGTTCTGTGACTTTTTCATTGTTAGGTTTTGATGATCTTAATGCAGGTCGATGGCGATCCCGGCACAGTGGGAGATGTTAGAGATGTTGCCGGCTGCAATTCCAGGGGTCACGTCGATCTCGCCTTTGCTTGAATCCCTACAACCTCGGATCCTTTCATGGCACCCCCGAACCCCGGGATTAGTACTAGAAAGCCAGTCGCGTATTGTTCCTGTTGCAGATTATTTGTTACAAGTACTTTCTCCCTGGTCTGTTGTCTGCAAGGGCATGTCATGTAAGTTGTAACCAAGCGAGGCGTCAGCACCTAAAAGTGACTACATGCATGTTTGGTAAGGATGGGACCCCCGTACGATGTAAATATGAAATAATTGTTTTGGGCCTCTGCATTTATTATTATCCAACTCAAATGAATCTTCTTACTTGAATCTAGGAGATTGTATTTTGTACTTGAACTAGGCCGTCTCGCACTTTTTTACTTTATTATTCCATCTCTATTCCTCTAACACACAGAGACACAAACATATACACATACACATACGCACACATATACACACCAAAGACAGAGCACATCATGATCCAGGTTCAAGACCCCCAGAACAGAGCGGCGTGGATGACAGAGCCCAAAAAAGCGACCCTCGATATCAAGTCAACGCCCTACACCCCACCAGGCCCTGGCCAAATGATCATTCGCAATAGTGCCCTTGGAATCAACCCAATTGACTGGCTCAAGCAGATGCTAGGCGATGGCATCTTGGGATACGTGAAATACCCCATCGTCCTTGGAGAGGACATTGCAGGCACAGTCACGGCGGTTGGGGAGGGCGTGACTCGCTTCAAGGTTGGCGACAGGGTGCTGGCTGTTGGAGGCGCCATCAGCAATAATGATGCCACTCAGGGCGGCTTCCAGCTCTACACTAGAGTCAATCAGTCATTCACCACTCCTATTCCCGACTATATTACTTTCGAGCAGGCCTGCGCGCTACCGTTGGCTCTGCTCACCGCATCTCAGGGTTTGTTCGCCAAAAACCAACTCAATCTTGATCAGCCCACCGTCCCAGCTCGCCCTCGTCCTGATGATGTTGTCATCATTGCGGCTGGATCATCCGCCGTAGGGAGTTCTGCCATTCAACTAGCAGTCTCTGCCGGCTACCAAGTCATCTCAACATCCTCTCCTAAAAACTTTGACTATGTCAAAGCACTCGGCGCGTCACAGGTCTTCGACTATAAAAGCTCCACCCTAGCCGAAGACATCCTTGCCGCCGTCAAGGGTCGCCCGCTCTCCGGTTGTTACTCCATTGGCAACGGCACTGCCGACATCTTTGCCTCTGTCATCGCCGCCCACGCACAGGACGGTTCTGCACCAACCAGCAAGCGCATCGCTCTCGCCGAGGGAAAGCACAGCATCGAAAAGGATAATAGCGCTGGGGTAGAGATCAACTTCATCATCAATGACATCTCTCCTGAGGGTCCTGCCCGGCACGTGTTCGAGCAGTATCTTCCCGCTGCCCTTGCACAGCGCCAATTCGTGCCTAAGCCTGAACCTGAGGTCGTTGGCCACGGATTGGAAAAGCTGCAGGACGCTTTTATGATACACAAGCAGGGCGTATCAGCGAAGAAGATTGTTATTACCATTTGAAGAGCTGGGCCTTCGGGGGTTCGGTTGTATGAATGGGGCAGATTTACTCATTGCCTTTGGCTAGATAGTCTTTGTCGTTGAGTATCAATGTAATTTTTGGATCGATGCGTATAACTTTTGTTGAATAATGGTCACGTATAGACTAGCTCTGGGTAGTGATAGACTATGATGGAGCATTGCATCCTCTTGATGACATTTACATAACGATAGACTAGAACATTATCTTCTGGCAAGTTAGGAAGAATTGACTGATTGCATGTTAGCATTATTCTATTACATGGTAGTAGTCTCTTAGGAATAACTACATTATTACTTTATTGGAAATTATCAAGCTCGCAACACTATTATTACTTGGGTTCAATTTTGTACAGATAATTGTTCTATGTATACTAAATATGGACAACGAGAGGAACATAAGAAAAGCGGTAATTACAAACTGCATGAACCATTGAGTTATAGCGTATGCTTCATGCTTGCGAAGTGTCTGACGATGCTGTGGCCGGGCGCGTTACCCGGAACTCTATTGCAATTCGGGTGAATTGCCATGCCTTGGCCTTCACGGTCTCCTGCCCAGATGATGCATCAGACAAAGTTCTCTTCTCCTTCACCAGAGCTTCAGACGAGGAGTAAGACGGCGTTGGGGAGGCATTGTCCAAGTCGTTCGTCGCGAGCCTGATGTCCTTCCAGCCCAGGCCAGTAGCAAATACCAACGTGACCAAGGCCAGTGCGATGCCGAGGTAGAAGACCTGGCTGATGGCGCCGTTGAAGCATTCGAGGGCTGCGACTAACGCGTCACCTTGTAAGAGCTCTCGAACCCGGTGTTCGCCCGCTTGAACAATGGTTTCTGGGTCTATACCCAGGTCACCAGTGCGCTGTTGGAGCTCTAGACGCAGTCCGTTATTGAAGATTGCGTTGGCAGCCACGAGCCAGGTGGCAGCACCAATGTCCTGGCAGAAAAGGACGATGGTCATTGCAATAGGTATCTGGGTCGCAGGAACACAGTTTTGGACTGCTATGTAAGGCTGTCGAGACAGATAGGACGCAAAGTCAGCGTATCTGTGGTGAATATTGCTTATCACAGAAGGAACTTACGATCGATACCATCGCACCGCTGCCGGCACCGAAGAGAATCTGGTAGCCGATCCATCTTGGGACTGGTGTCGTAGGTGTGAACGTCGACATGAGGCCATAGCCAATTGCAGAGATGGCGGCGCCTACAAGGATCCAGGGAAGATAGTAGCCGAACTTTTCGCTCATTGTTCCAGCAAGAACGGCGAAAAGAAGCAGACCCAGTGTAGTGGGCAGGATATGTACTCCACTCATTAAGGGCGAGTTGTCGTGAATGGTTTGAAAGTACATGGCGAGATAATACTCGGATACGAGGACAGAGGCCAGGAGGAAGAACAAGGTCGCCGCTGCGGACCAAATTATCCTGTTTTTGAGCAGCGCCATCGGAATCATGGCTTCATCTTTCTGTCGGTACTCCCAAACGAAGAAAGCAACGAAGAAGAGGAGGCCGCCAATGATGAGACCGATGACTACCGAGCTACTCCACGAGTATCTGGTGCCACCCCACTGCAGGCCTAATAGGAGCAATATGGCTGCAGGTGCAATCAGAAAAATTCCTGGAAGATCTAAGGACTTCATGGCTGTGCCAATGATCTGACGAGGGGGTAACTTAGGAGTCACCTCGGGAATACGAGAGAGAAGAAGTAGTATCAGAAACAAGGCACCAAGTGGAAGATTGATGTAAAAGCCTGCAAAGTAGTATCGGCAAAGTTAGCGAAAGGAACAAGCAGTCTGCGAACAACAACCCAGGAGGGAGATTCCAGATCAGAGAACGAGATTCGGATCACTCACACCAACGCCATGACACATAGGTGGTGAATGCACCGCCGATAATAGGTCCTAAGGCAATACCCGACTGACCGATGCCCATATTGATTCCTAAGGCCTTGGCCTGCTTATGAGGCGGCAACACACTCGCGAGGATAGCGAGAGCGCCGGTCGAGATACCTGCCGCACCCGCACCCGCGATGGCTCTGCCGACGATGAACATAGCCGAAGACGTAGCTGCTCCAGCAATCACTGATCCAAGCTCAAAGATGATGAAAAATGTGAGGAAGGTGAACTGGATTGTGAGATAAAAATTTAGCTATACTCCTTTGTCTTTGGAATAGAGGTGACCAGAATGGATCGGATAAGGGATAACCCACCTTCGTGTTAAATTGAGAGAACAACTTGCCAGTCAGTGGCCTGATGGCAGCATTTCCAAGTTGATACGCCCCTCCATACCATCCAAGATCAGCAAGAGAATTGAACTCGGCGGTGATGGCTGGACTCGCGGTAGCGACGATGCACGTATCGAGAAAGAAGAGAAAGTAGGCGATGGTGACAGGTATCAAGACAGTCCAGAGTGCCACGCCTGAAGGATATCTCTGTTCTCCCTGGTTGTCTCCGGAATGCTGAGATATTGCGTCGAACCATCTATCGCTTGAGTCTGTATTGATTGATGTCGTGTCAATTGATTTAGAACTGTTTGACTTTGTAAAAAATGTGTTTGAATCGATTGACCCTGTCTCGCCTTGCGCCACCAGGTAGCTGTTGGGCCTTTCTGGGTAGCTCCTACATCTCTTCAAATGGCTCATGATTAAGGCAAAAACAATGGCAGATCTGGGCGTGCTGGGTGTTGGGAGTGTAAATGAAATTGTTCAGCACTTGTCGATGATATGAAGGCAATTCAAGCGTCTCCATTCAGGAACTTAGGATTGAAATCAAGATCAAGTTTGAGAAAGAGATTGGAAATTGCTGTTTGGAGGTGTGCGGAGTTTGTTGTACATGATACATCCGCTCTTACGACATAGATCATCACGGAGGAGTACGAAGCTTCCAGTGCCTGGGCACTAGCATCCCATGTGTTTCTCCATATCACATAAACACTAGTTTTTCTGGTCAAAGGCTGCCGTTCCAGCTAATCGATCCAAGTGTTGTTACCAGAAAAGAAAACGGAAAGATTGCATCCCAGCGATGCAGGGTCATTTGCTTCAGTTCAGGTACCGCACAGGGTCGATTGTTCCAAAATTTGTATCAAGAATTGTGAAAGAGCTATCACGAGCAGATCATTTGTTCCTGCATCGACATCCTTGTGTAACAGAGAGATTGGAGGTGCATATCTACAACCTGTGGGACTAAAACACCTTATCCAATCTGTACGCGTACTCAACATCGTGGACAGCCGAGAGATACCAGTGATCTACACCAACACGGATAACCACAATGCACCAGGGATATTCCGAGTACTAATTCTAATCACCCTTGTACCTAACACCCCATACTGGTGTCGGAAAGTTGAAACGAAATGACACAATAGAGGGCACTTCCCTGCACGCTACTATGTTCTGGCAGCTGAATAGCTTAATTGCCTTAAGCTTTGCTCTTACCAGGGAGATGGCTTAGCATCTGCTCGAAGCCCGATGCGTGTGCTCGTCAAAGGGCATGGTCCACAGTTATCGCTTAGGGCAAAATACGAGAAAATGAGTTGATTTGTTCGGGTAGTTGTGCCTTGCACCCAACAGCTTTAGTTAACTAGAACAAGCTTATCTCGGCATATACGAATGCGGCTAAACCATTTGTATTGCTCTTAACGCGATCTACGTAGAATTACTACCCGATCCAGGTGAAGGATAAACATGCAACAAACCAACAGCCCCACAGTCCAACGTGCCGGCCCTCTTTTGTTCGGAAACGACTCCACCTCGAAACCTGTCAATTACTTTGCTTGAAGGCCGACCCGGAGTTGGCTGAGGTCTACTTTCATCCCTCTTCCCATCCTCAATCACCTCCCGCATCAGCTGCTAAAGAGAAGTAGCTGTGCACTTCGGTGCCTATCATTCGGATACCAATGCATTGGGGAGATGGGTCAATGCTCCAGGAAAAATTCGTATCGTAATCAAGATATCTGTGCGCAGTCCACGCTAGCCTTGTGAAGTTGTGATTATGGTGTCGCCCCATTCATGATTCTTCTCGGGAAGCGTACGACGAGCTCCCATGCCAGTCCACATCATGGAAATCAGTTTATGGTAACGTTGAACTACAAGTATGTACGAGTGTTGCACGAAGGCCAACTAGACCCCATGTGGTATATATGTGTTCCGATCAGAGAAACATGCACAAGCCTTAATGGACGCTTCTCTCTACTATTCCTCACCCACAAGAACTCGCAGTTTGATCCATTTCATCAAGCTGCTGATTCTATCCAACACCCACCAGGTAGTTTTTTAAAAAAAATTAGAGTATCGTTGGCTCTATTTTCTTTGTGCAGTGCGCAATTGTTGCATCTTAATATTTTCTAACCACACCCTATTATATTCAATTTGTTCATATTATCTTCTTGGTGGATAGAGCACTATATAACTTTCCGTTATAATCTTATCAACTATGGACTACGTTGACGACGAAGAGTGGGCGAGTGAGCCCATTGCTATCATTGGCATGAGCTGCAAATTTTCAGGCGGCGCAAGTAGCCCAGCAAAGCTATGGGACCTCATGGCTTCCGGTCGGACTGGCTGGAGTGAAATCCCAAAAGATCGGTTCGACTTAAAGGGAGTCTACCACCCTAATCATGAGAGAACCAGCACGGTACGTACTACTGAATTACGATAGCTTTGAAAGCATGTTGACGAAGGTATCTAGTCACACGTAAAAGGCGGCCACTTCCTGGACGAAGATGTTGCAGCCTTCGACGCCGCATTCTTCAATTACTCGGCAGAGATGGCACAGGTCGTGGACCCACAATTCCGGCTCCAACTCGAATCCACGTATGAAGCCCTTGAAAACGGTATGTTGCCATTGATTCTTTGATGTCGAGTCATTGAAATCGTGACTGATTTGAAGTATAGCTGGCTTGCCTCTCTCGAAGGTGATGGGAACCCAGACATCTGTCTTTGCCGGTGTCTTCACACACGACTATCAAGACCAGATAATAAGAGATGAGGACCGGCTACCACGGTTCAACGTAGTGGGGACCTGGAGCCCTATGTCTTCAAACCGAATTTCGCATTTTTACGATTTCCGCGGTGCCAGTATGACCTTAGAGACAGGGTGCTCGACAACATTAGTAGCACTACACCAGGCCATACAGACCTTGCGCAACCGCGAAGCCGACATGTCCATGGTGACTGGATCCAACGTTATGCTCAACCCAGATACGTTCAAAGCAATAGGTTCCCTAGGCATGCTGTCCCCTGACGGCAGATCGTGGGCCTTCGACTCCCGCGCCAACGGCTACGGTCGTGGTGAGGGTGTTGCGACCGTGATTGTCAAGCGCCTATCAGATGCACTGGCAGCCAATGATCCCATAAGAGCAGTCATCCGCGAGACGGCCCTGAACCAGGATGGAAAAACGGACACTATAACAACGCCATCTGGCTCTGCCCAAGTGGACCTTATGCGCGAATGTTACCGTCGCGCTGGCTTAGATCCCCGAGGTACCCAGTATTTCGAAGCTCATGGCACTGGAACGCCTACCGGTGATCCCATCGAGGCCAGTGCAATGGCCGCCATATTCGCCAATAGTGAGGGCCGTGAAAGAGAGGCTAACTACCTGCACATTGGCTCTGTCAAGACCAACGTTGGCCATACTGAAGCGGCTTCTGGCCTAGCTGCCATCATCAAGGGCGTCCTTTGCCTAGAAAAAGAATTGCTTCCACCATCTGTAAATTTGGAGACGCCCAACCCAAAGCTCAAGCTCGATGAGTGGCGTCTCAAGATAGTCAGGGAATTGCAGTCCTGGCCGAAGAGTTTAGTCGACGGGCCAAATCGTTTATCAGTCAACAACTTCGGATACGGCGGTGCAAATGCCCACGTCATTATGGAGAGCGCCGATCCGTGGACCTCAACGCCAGAATTGGACTTTGGAGACACCAACGACCACGATAATGATGAGGAAACTGACGCTGCTAAAGTGCTCGTACTCAGTGCCCGTGACGAACGAGGTTGCCAGCAAATGGTGTCCGACCTCCGAGAGTATTTGAAGAATCATGAGTCGCTTGATCATGAGGCCTCAAAGGCGCTTTTGAGCAATCTCAGTTACACTCTGGGCGAGCGAAGAACTCTCTTCCAATGGGTTGCGGCATACCAGGTGCGGCTCAATAACCACGGAACACTCGACGCCGCCATCCAGGCCCTAGACACGCCTCGCTTCAAGCCTGCACGCCGACCAGCAAATAGCCCCCGCATTGGGATGATCTTCACGGGTCAGGGTGCTCAGTGGTACGCCATGGGACGCGAACTCCTTTCCTCTTATCCAATTTTCCGTCAGTCTATCGACGAAGCTGAGGCCCACTTGCGCGCCTTTGGCGCCAAGTGGTCGCTCATTGAAGAATTGAATCGCGATAAGGCGACAACTAAGGTCCATACCACGAATATCAGCATCCCCATTTGCGTGGCCTTGCAAATTGCCTTAGTACAGCTGCTCGAATCGTGGGGTATTCAGCCCACCGCTGTCACGAGCCACTCGTCCGGCGAGATCTCCGCTGCCTACGCCGTGGGTGCCCTTACGCATCGTCAAGCCATGGCTGCAGCCTACTGGCGGGCCGTCCTCGCAGCAGATGAATCAAAGCGCCCGTCTGGCGCTCCTGCGGGTGCTATGGCTGCTGTTGGCCTTGGGGCGGAGGCAGCCAAGTCCTACATCGACAAAGTCTCAGATAGTAACGGAAAGGCTGTCATTGCATGCGTCAACAGTCCCCAGAGTGTCACTGTTTCTGGCGATTCTAGTGCTGTCCAAGAAATTGAAGACATGTGCAAGAAGGATGGCGTGTTTGCGCGTAAGCTCAAGGTCCAGCAGGCCTACCACTCCCACCACATGGATCACTTCGCTGAGGCCTACCGCGAGCACCTTCGACTCGAGATGTTCAAGGATGCAAACAAACAGCAAGCTCCGAAAGAACTCAAGGCGATCTTCTCGTCGGCAGTTACAGGGAGTCGTATGACCAATCTAAAAGACATCGCGCATCCGGACCATTGGGTCGGTAGTCTAGTTGGAGCAGTGGAATTCGTAGACGCCTTCACAGATATGGTTCTAGGTGATCTTGATGATCCATCGGGCAGGAGTGTCGATGTTTTGCTCGAGGTTGGCCCCCATACCGCACTGGGAGGCCCCATCCGGGAGATCTTATCACTGGCTGAGTTTGAGGGCATCGAACTTCCTTATTGGGGCGCACTTGTACGTGACGAGCATGCCGGAGACAGCATGCGCTCGGCTGCCTGCAACTTATTCCGCGAAGGGCTGCCATTGAATATGAGCGAGATCAACTTCCCTGTCTCTGCTTGTGACGATGAAGGTCCTCGAGTTTTGACCGACCTGCCGTCATACCCCTGGAACCACACTATGCGCCACTGGCAAGAGGCACGAGTTAATCGGGCAATTCGCGAACGCAGCCAGCCACCCCACGAGCTACTAGGCATGCCCGTTGCTGGCAATGACCCCAGCATGGCTGTATGGCGCCGCGTCATGCGGGTTAGCGAAACCCCCTGGATTCGTGACCACATGGTGCAAGGAGCGATTGTTTACCCCGGGGCAGGTTCCATCTGCCTGGCAATTGAAGCTGCAAAGCAATTGGAGGTGCAGAAGAGTGAGGCCTCTCAGCACATTTCAGGATTTCGTCTTCGTGACATCAAGTTCCTTTTTGCACTAGTGGTCCCTGACAACGCAGACGGCGTCGAGATACGCACTATGCTACGGCCCGTTCCTGAGCGCGAGATTGGCGCCTCCGGCTGGCAGCGATTCGAAATCTCCACAGTCACATTAGAGAACCGATGGACTGTGCATGCTCAGGGGTTGATCAAAGTCGAGCGAGAAGCTATTTGCCCAGAGAATCTAGCGGAGCGCAGTCCGATATCTACTTACACACGTCATCCAGATCCCCAGGACCTCTTCGCCAACCTCCGAGCACGCGGAGTTTATCATGGGCCTCTTTTCCAGAACACCACCAAAATCACCCAGGATGGGAAGGAACCGCGATCCATTTGCGATATTACCATTCAGTCCGAGGCTTCGTCCGACACAGATCCAGTTCTGGCGGCGAACGATACCTTGATTCACCCTATCACATTAGATGCTGTTGTTGTGTCGTTCTATTCCACGCTCCCGAGTGTTGGCGCCCTGCAGCAGGACCCTAAACTGCCGTCATCTATAGCATCGTTGTGGCTGTCGAGCGACATCAGCCACGAAATTGGGCACACCCTGCGCTGCGATACATTACTACAGCACGATGATGCCCAAAGCGGCAGTGTTGACATCAATGTCCTCGATCCCCAGACCGATGCTACGGTGCTCAAAATGCAGGGTCTTCAATGCTCCTCTCTGGGGCGTGGTAGTGGAGCCACAGCACGCCAGGACGCTGCCAACAAGGGCACCACTATTACCAGCAAGTGGGAGCAAGATCTTTGCGGAAAGTTGGTTTGGAACACTGACCTATCTCTCCAACAGCCCCAGGCTCTAGAGTTTATCAAGAAGCAATTGATTTCTGCTCAGTCTGGTGTCACCGGCTCGGAGGACATTGTCAAGGGCCTTGAACGTGCGTGCTTTTACTTCGCACATGATGCACTTCAAGCCGTGTCAAAAGAAGACGTATCCCAGCCATACCTCGTCAAGTACTATGAATGGCTCATTGAAATGGTCAATAAGGCCAACAGCAATTGGGCACGGGATAGCATTGAGGAGCGACAAAATTGCATCGTCGATGTGGCCTCCCAGAGCTTCGATGGCGAATTAATTTGCCGCCTCGGTCCCCTCCTTGCGAAGATCCTCCGCAGTGATCTTCCCATGAAAGAGGTCACAGAGATGCTCCATGAGTATAACGCCAGATCGTTGCGTCAAGAACCAGCACTTGGTCAATTCTCCACGCTGCTTCGCACACTTGCCCACAAGAACCCCGAAGCCAAAGTCCTCCAGATCGGCGATGGTTCTGGGGTCCATGTCACACGTCGCTTGCTGGAGGCCCTCGGAACGCCCAGAATGCCTCTGGTGGGCAGCTGGCACGTAACTGAACCCAATTCAGAGGCCTTGGACGAAGCCCGAACGCAACTTGCCGACTGGGCTGATCTGCTCGCTTTCGACCAACTCGACATCGATCGGAGCCCATCCAAACAGAAGTTTGACCTTGCAAGCTACGATATTGTCATTGCACCCCAAGTTCTACATGCCACAAGTGATGTTGCCCAGGCCACAGCGAATATTCACAGCCTCCTAAAGCCAGGCGGTACTTTACTGTTGGGCGAGACGACCAGCGGTCAGATCGACACAGATTTCGTATTTGGTCTTTTACCAGGCGGGTTGGTTTCTCAGGCATCTTCATGGGATGACTTGCTTGTGGGTACTGGATTCACTGGCGTTGACCTTAAGGTCGGTAATTCAGAGAGCGACGTGTTGCATTCCAGCACGATCATCATGTCCACGGTCCCAATTGCCGAAGATCAGAGACCTGATCTGAACCGAGTCAAAGGCCAAGAGGAATTCGCCGTTGTTACAACCAGCATGACACCTCCACCAGCAGGCGTCGTTGACCTGCTCTCTCATTCCATTCAAGCCTGTGTCGGTACCAGGCCCGAGCATCTCATCCTCGAGAAGAGCAGCCGTGACGCCTACAAGAATAAGATTTGTGTATTCATAGGCGAGATCGAAGAATCCATATTGGTGAACCTTGACACAGTGCGCATGGAGGGTATTCGCTCCATGGTCACGCAGTGCAATGGCTTGCTATGGGTCACCAAAGGCGGTGCCGTCGACAGCAAGACACCCGAACAAGCTCTCAGCCAAGGGTTCTTACGCGTGCTCCGCAACGAGTACGTCGGACGTCGCTACATCTCTCTCGACCTGGATCCCACTCCTGAAGCAAGTGTATCATCTCAGGGCAAAGATATCGTCGTTGCGACTATCGTCAAGGTTCTCGAAGAAGCATTCGGCCGTGCTGGTTCCGCCGAGGCTGCACCAGCTGAGTTTGAGTATGCTGAGCGTAATGGCGTACTACTTATTCCTCGTGTCTATAAAGACGAGCAGTACAACAATATGGTCACGGGTTTGACCGTGCCGACTTGGAGTGCAGCCTCACAAAGCAAGGATAAAAACGCAGGCGACGATTCCCCTGTCGGTATCCCACTGGAGCCATACTTCCAAGAGAACCGCCCTCTGCGGCTTGAAGTGGGTATCCCTGGACACTTGGATACAATGGCCTTCGTTGATGACATGAAGCACAATGGAGACCTGGCACCTGAGCAAGTTGAAATTGCAGCACACGCCTATGGATTGTGTTCGCGAGACACGCTTGCTGCAATGGGCCAACTCAAGGATCGGTCCATGGGCCTTGAGTGCGCGGGTGTCCTTCGCAGCGTTGGTTCTGAAGCCAAGTCACAGGGCTACAACGTTGGTGACCGTGTAATGGCACTCCTACCAAGCAGTAACTTTGCCAGTCACGCGCGTGTCTCCTGGCAAAGCGTCGTCCCCATTCCCGATGGCATGGACTTCAACACCGCCTCATCCCTTCCCCTAGCCTACACGATCGCTTATCACGGACTCATCAATGCGGCACGACTCGTCGCTGGACAGTCGGTTTTCATCCATGCCGCCGCCGGTAGCCTAGGTCAGGCCGCCATCATGCTGGCAAAGCACTTGGGAGTGACGGACATCTATTGCACCGCTGGCTCCCAACAGAAGCGAAAGCTCCTCCAAGATGAATATGGCATTCCTGAAGAACGGATCTTCAATAGTCGTGATACCTCCTTTGCTTCTTCTATTTTAGCTACCACCAAAGGCCGCGGTGTCGATGTCGTCCTGAATTCGTTACCAGGGCCGTTCTTGCAGGCCACCCTCGAAACAATAGCACCTTTAGGCCATCTGATCCAGGTCAGCAAGGAAGAGCAGGAGACCAACAGGCTAGTCGCCCTCGAGTCCTTCTCTCGCGGTGTTTCGTTCGTTACGATTGACATCCCCATGCTCTTACGCAGTCGTGGACCTGATGTTCATCGTGTGCTTGGCGAGGTATCTCGTCTTGTCAATGAAGAGAAACTGAAGCCGGTGCAGCCCGTCGATGTTCATTCCATGAAAGATATTCAAGGTGCCTTCCAGTTCGTACAAACTGGTGCACAAATCGGGAAGGTCGTGATTTCTGCTGGACCTGGCGAGCAGGCTCCCGTGGTCCCACGGCCTAAAGGTGTTACGCCTTCTCACCGATTACGTCCCGATGCTTCATACCTCATCATTGGCGGTCTGGGTGGTATCGGCCGCTCAATTGCTTATTGGTTATTCCGTCAAGGTGCAAAGAACATCATCCTAATGTCACGAAGCGCCAGTGATCTCGATCTCGAGAAGAACAAGAACACTGAAGGCGCGCTATTCATCAACGAGCTGCGTGCCGAGGGTTGCCGTGTGATGCCCGTCAGCTGCGACATCTCAATCGCCAGCTCGCTCGTGAAGGCGCTCCATGCCTGCGAGATGGAGGGACTCCCACCTGTGCGCGGTATAGTTCAAGGCGCCATGCTCCTGCGCGATGCTATCTTCGAGCAGATGACGCTCGATGACTGGCAGAGTGGCCTGCGACCCAAATACAATGGTACCTTCAACCTCCATACCGAGTTCTCGGAGCCTGGATCACTCGACTTCTTCGTCATGCTTTCATCTGTCTCTGGTGTCTTGGGAATTGCTTCGCAGGCCAACTATGCAGCTGGCGGCTCCTACGAAGATGCCCTTGCGCGATGGCGCCAGTCGCAAAGTCTTCCTGCTGTCTCCATCGACTTGGGCCCAATCTCAGATGTTGGATACGTTTCGAAGGAGGCAAAGGTTGCCGAGCGCTTGCGCAAAGAAGGCGACTTCGCCATGCTCGACGAGGACATCGTCTTGCGCGCGCTGAGCGCCGCTGTCCTCTACCCTCAAAGTTCTCAAACCCAACTCATCGTAGGCCTCAACGCAACACCTGGCCCACAGTGGGATCCAATGGGTAGCTCTCAGTTGGGTCGCGATGCTCGCTTCATGCCACTTCGTCCTCGCAACAAGATCTCGTCGAGGGACGGAGATGGAGATTCCGGTAGCGGCGGTGTGTCTCTCGCAGCCCAGCTTGCAGATGCCTCTTCTCACCAGGAAGCGGCCTCCCTAATTGGGGCCACTATTGCTTCCAAGCTCGCCGACATCTTTATGACACCTGTTGCTGAGATTGATCTCGCCCAGCCGCCGGCCTTCTTTGGTGTCGATTCCCTCATCGCTGTTGAGCTGCGCAATTTGCTGGTTCTTCAGGCTGCGGCTGACATATCTATCTTCGATATCTTGCAGACTGGTTCCCTAGCTGCACTCGCTACCACCGTTGCAGAGAAGAGTCGTCATCTCAAAATTGCTACTTAACATTTATAGCCCAATACATTCTATTCCCATCTCTCGGCGTTTCTCCACCTCTTTCTCCTGGCAGGACTACATCACATACAGTACATATATCGACCTTTGTTCAAGCCTTCCAGGTGTACCCATTTTTATAGAAACCATGTCTTTCTTCTTATCTTTTTTTCTTATGTTCCTGCCCGCTACATGTATTTCTTTCATAACGAATGTTTTATGGAGTACACTGTCACTACAATAAGCCCCTTCAATTAAAAGAACCCTTAAGACGTACAATCTGCTTGTTTGTGTACTTGCTTGCCTTAGAGTTGATGTATCTGACAAGAAATAAATCCCCTTAATCTGAAATATTACCCATTCTTCTATCGGAAAAGTTATTGGTTTAATTCTCCAATATTCATATTGCATAAATGACCTGCCCTTTTTTGAGACTCGCGTCTATCTACGAAGGAACCGAATGACCCAGTAATCGGCATAACTATCATAATTTCACATCCTACACGACATCTATTGGAGAAGCAGACATAAAAAGGACGGCTTCATTATCACTAGAGCTGATATCGGAGGACAGATGATTTTATCAATATAATCAAACATGTCTAGTAAAGATACACGGTAACACAATCCAATAGTCATGAGGCTAAATCTTCAAGATATGTAAACTGCGCAAACGATTCCTTACTACTCGCATAGCACCAAATCATAGGCAATGGATGTCAATCTACCACCAGCGTCCGCGCCATCCTCCCTTCAATCCTAATTTGATATTGACACCCCACCTCTGCCACCCTTGCAGCATCAACTCAGCAGCCCATGCCCCTCCAATCCACAAATACCAACCGAGTAGCTTCACGGCTCTGAAGGGCGCACCGAGCGCATGGACAGCTTCCCTTACGGCATCGAGGAGGAAGTACAACCCCACGAGAACGTAGATGAGCAGGCAGATTTTTAAGATGAGAGATGTAAGACTTTGGATTTGCGCAAACCCGGATTCGAATTTGCCTTTGGCGACGGCGGCGCGCTCAGTACTGGGTGTGGGCGTGTGGCCTCGGACAAGTTTCTTTGGAGAGGATGGGCGAGAGGTTGTTGGTGTGTTGGGGAGGGTGGGCGCGGGTGTTGCATGGAGAACGAATGGATCGACGTAGGCGGCTGCCTTTGCGGTCGTCGCCGGGGTGGCGGATGCAGTGGAGACAGCTGTTGGCTTGTTGACTCGTGGACCCGCAGGGCGGAGCCATGCCCATCGACTTATGGGTTTCTCTTTTGCCTTGTCTTTGTCTTTTTGCTTTTCTCTTTCCTTTTCCTTCTCTCGCTCCTTATCCGACTTCTTCTGTGTTGATCTTGACGCTCCTGCCACAGTGCCGGTGATATCGTGGCTCGTGTAACCGAAGACTGATGTTCCTGCAGAACCTGCATATGTGAAATTGGATTTTGTCGGACTTGGATCTTTTGAACCATTTGCAGATGACGGGTTCGAAGCGTGCGGCAAACGGGAGTGAGCACTCCACAACGGTTCCTTTGCGGTAGCGGCAGGCTCATGCGATGGACTAGGAGTGGTTGAAGGCGAAGGGACCTTGATCTTGGGCTTGATGCGTATCCGAATGGTAGGTTTAGTTGCAGATGGAGGTGGTGTGGCGGGCTTCTTCTGAGAGGTCGTGGCTATCGCACCCGTAGATGCGTCCGCTCGATGATATTGAGGGCGAGTATGATTGGAGCGAATGCTACCAACTCCGACCGGCTTCCGCGGGATGGATATATGGCTAGAGTCGCTCACAGCGCGGGTGTCTTGAGCTTTTCTCCAAGTCTTCTCCCAATTCTTCTTCCATTCTTGATGAGGTGTTGGGGGCGTGATTGGGAAGGCTCCCGCTGGCAGTGCTATAGGCGGGCTATTAGGAGGGCTGACTTCCAATTCAGACGGCTGAGCATCTGTACTCCTATACGCATAGTCATATGAGGCTATCTTAGATGGTACTCTCACACCCTCATACTGTTGCCTGTCTCTCATCTCTTGGCCCTTGACCTTGTATGTTTGGTAGGCATCGAGCTGGGCCTTGGAAGGCGAGGGCAGCTTGGCTCTGAAGATTGGGGCGTCGAGAATGGGCTCCCTCGTTGTAGGCATATGAATAGCAAATGCGTCGCTCTCGAAAGCGGGCTCCGTCTCAGTTGCCTCCGTCCGAATCGTGGCATCTGTTATTTTCCTACTTCGGGGCTTTTGCTGGGGAGTAGGACTCTTCCGAATTTCCATCCAATAGCTCGATGACTCCGAACGCTCAAGGCCCTGGCGGGCAGGTGTGGAGTGCTTGGACGAGTGCTTGGACGAGTGTTGTTGGTTCATTGACAGGCTATCTGAGCGAGCCAGAGCCTCATTGATAGACTCTGGCGTCCTGTAAGTTGAGATAGAAACATTGCTTGGTGACAGATTTCCCAGCTTGGGGTTGGGAAATCGAGCTGTGATGTAGTTGTCGCTGGCTGAGTGCTGACTGAAATGCATTGCGTGGCGTTTGTTGGAAGGAAAGACTGGTGTGGATTCCATGAGGATAATTTAAGATACACCCCATTAGCAAAAATAGCGAAGTAAATTGAAGAAATGTCGTTTGCGGGCTGGAGCGACATTATGGGGGCTTATCTTGGTATGAAAAGAGGTGGCAGCAGAGGCATGCGGATGTGGCTGGCGCAACGATGTCTGGAATGTCGCTTCACAGGGAAGTTCCTCGACCCACTCCGGCACCGACCCTCAAATATTGCCACAATCCTCGAGAACGTCATCCTTGACGATAGAAGAAAAAGAAGATCAAGTTCCAACATCTCAATTGCACGCTGTTGATATGGCGGGTTAGAGCCGCTAAACAAGATGATAGCTTTATTGTGAAATTTGCCCTGAAATCGAGCGACTAGCCTACCCGATAATAGTCCAATGCAAGACTGCTCAGAGGGTATCTATAATGCATTGAGGGCCCTACGCCAGGGAGAAATTGGCATAATGGCCTCTTCCAGAACCGAACGCCGTTAAACAAATACACAAACATCCACTTCCAAATAAACACCCATGTCGTCATACAAAACGGTCATACATTTCACCGGTCGTGGGCGGTTTCGATCTCGGAATACTCAGCCCAATGTCCGTTCACGGCTTTCTTCCAGGTACGTATCGAAGCATCGTCACCAGTCGATACCAAAAGGTCGCCTACGTCATTTGTTAGCCTTTTGCCCCTTCTCAGACCAGGAAACACCTGTCCAGCTTACCCATTTGCGAGAAGGCAACGCGCCATACTGCACCGTGGTGGTTGGTGAGCTCATCTACAAGTTTCACCACTTGCCTGATGTGACCTGGATACTGCTCGTTCTCCTGGGCATGCTCGGTTGCTGTGGAAGCGCTTGCTAAACCTGCGCCTATGCCGGACGGCGCATTTTTGCGCGGCCTGTTTGCTTGAGGGGAAGAAATTGCTCCTGTGACAGTGGAGGTAGAAGATGTTCCGGTGGTAGATGACTTGTCGGAACGTGGCGTAGAGAGCTCGTAGATGCGAATGGCACCATCCTTACTGGCTGTCGCAATCACGTCGTAACCTCTCATAGAGCCGTTCGCCCAGGCCAAGTCACGAATGATCTGTCGTGAACCCTTTAGCGTTGCTACGCGGTAGAACCGCTTGGCTTTGTCCGTCCTATAGACATAGACATCTTTCATCGCTGCTACGGCGAGGGATAATGATTTTCTGTCCAGACCAGCCATAACAGCTGTCCAACAAGGCAGCTTCTCTTTGTGAAAGACAACCTTAAAGCCGACTTCATCTTGGCGCTCCGGGGGATTTTCTTCGCAGATCCAGCTGTGAGATAATATGGTCCACTCATTAAGGCTGCTCTGATCGACGGGTTCATAGACACTCAGGCGTCCGTCACGTGTGATGAGAGCTAGCCAGGTCTCTTGCATGATGTTTTTGAAATCCAAAGACATGAATGGTGCATTTGTTTGGGATGCGAGGTTTGTGATCAATTTGAAGCGACTTCCAGAGAGTGGTACTTCGGTAACGTCCTCTTGCCATAACTTGCAGCGGCCATCTTCGCCAATGCTTCCGATCACCTCGCCCATGAATGGGCCATTCCACTTGACCTAAATCACGTGTTAGTCAGATGGAGATGGAAGTTGGTAGTTAATGTCTGTTGCAATAAATATGAGCCAAAACTTACATCAACAATCTCAGCATCGTGAGCTTTCCAGCTGTCGACCAAAGACCAAGAATCATCCTTCTTGTCCCAGACTTTGAGACGGTGATCCGAGCTTGCCGTGACCATTCGAGTTCCAAAGTAGTTGAAGTCTACAGCAAGGACAAGATCCTGGTGACCATGGGAAAAGGTCTGGAAGGAGCGCTCTGCAGCCATTTTTGCGTAGGCGTGGTGAGCAGCAAGGAAGTTTGAACGCAGATAATGGACAATGCGGTGATCGACGGTGGTGGGAATTCCGTCTGGGGAGGGGTCCTGGATCAAAATGGAGAGTAGGTCGTAGTGGTCTGGAACATTGAGATCATTGTCGACCTCCTTTTCAATATCCGTGTCGTTGTCGTTGTCGTTGTGGTAGGATGCGAGAGTGTGGTTGAGATGAGATGGACGCTGGAGAGGGAAGTGCTGGCCGAAGGAGCCCCGTGCTGAAAGTGGGGCTTCACCTGGAGATAGAGAAGTGTCGGAGGCAGCCCTGCTAGGAAGTCTAGAGGGAGTGAGATGCTGCAAGAAGTGAGGACGAGCTAGACGACGGGTGACAGCGTCGAGGCTCAACTGTATAGGGTCGTGAACATTCATGGTGTTGTGTTTACGGTCGAGAGATGGTTGTGCATGCTGATTGCCATGGCCTTGATAGTGACCCAAAGAGGATTAGGGCGAGTCTCTGTAAATTATTACAAATTAGGTAAGGGTCCAAACTCTACCGACGCGTAATTGGCCACTCTGTCCTGTTCCTGTGGACTGACGTTGACACGCCCTACAGGACGTCTAACTGTAACTACAGTATTATTATTATTTACTCGGACCTACACACCGCGCCTCTCACAGTGGTTGCAGTATCACTCGTACTACCACTGTAAGTAAGGTATACATGCCATGTCAAACAACATACAATCCTTCTCCATAGATCCATCCGTACTCGTTCCATCTCAGGCCTCCGGATAACATTCATCGCCGACTCAATCTTTTTCAATTCCCCCCCCGCTGTACTGGGGTGGTATCAATTGGGCGATACCATGTCCACGTCCACTAGCCTCACCACCACAGAGGTGTACTCTTTGCTCTCACTATCCTTAGCTTGCGTCGCCATCCTCGCAAACACCCTACAAGGTGATGGGAACCCATTGATCGCGTCTATTGCCTTCAGTGGCATCGCCTTCTCATCCAGCTATGCTCTCATACGATGGTTGGGAAATGCATTCATCCGACGGGGTTTCAAGGGCAGGGACATGAGCAAGACGAAACAGACAGAAATGTACGCCAATCCATACATGGAATATCTATGCCCTCTATTCTATCCTACCCCGTTCTCATCTAACTCCACATGACATAGCCCCGAGACCATGGGCGCGGTGTGTGCCATGGTCTATCTCTTCGTACTCATCGTATTCATCCCTTGGCCATTCTACAAGGACATTGTGGTCGCAACCTCTGGCGGCGGCAATCGAGATGTCATGCAAGAGCTCGAACTGGTGGAGACGGGGAGGTTTCTCCACAGGTTTCCCCACAACAAGGTAGGCACAACCCTTTCCCATGCATTCCTGCTCTTTCTCTGGTCTCGGGGTAGATGCTAACAACGTCCGACTGGGCACAGCTGGCATCTTATCTGTCCGCACTCCTCTCCCTTCAAACCATTGTACTCCTCGGAATCGGCGATGACCTCTTCGACATCAGATGGCGGCACAAGGTGCTGATCCCAGCGATTGCTGCCATTCCCATGCTCATCGTCTACTTTGTCGACTTTGGCGTTACGAAGATGGTAGTGCCCACTCCACTTCGACCCTATCTCGGGGCGCTCTTTGACCTTGGTATGCAGCTTCCTTCATATTAATACAGCCTCCCATTCCCGTTACCATTTCCCCTGAAACTCTTGGACAACCAGTATTGACGGCAGAAGGTTGGCTGTACTACGTGTACATGGCCCTACTGTCCATATTCTCCGCGAATAGCATCAACATTCTTGCTGGCATCAATGGCATCGAGGTGGGCCAATCGCTGGTAATCGCAGTCCTGATCGTCTTCAACGACGCTCTCTACCTGTCCCCATTCGCTCCCTACCCGCACCCAGCGACTGACTCGCATCTCTTCTCACTCTATCTCTTGCTTCCCTTCATTGGCGTGTCCCTCGCCCTGCTGATGCACAACTGGTTCCCGGCTAGGGTGTTCGTGGGCGACACGTACTGCTACTTCGCGGGGATGGTGTTTGCCGTGGACGGGATCCTCGGACACTTCAGCAAGACGCTGATCCTGCTGCTCCTCCCGCAGGCCTTCAACTTTGTGTATTCAGCGCCGCAGCTCTTCCACCTGGTGCCGTGCCCCCGACATCGGCTCCCGCGCTTCAATGCACGGACGGGCCTGTTGGAATGCTCGCGGGTGGAATTCGACAGGCCTCTCGCTCGACCGATAGCGGAGGCTTTGAAGCTGTTACACCGGCTTCGGCTGCTGGACGTCGAGACTCATGATGGAGGCGAGGGCGAGGAGAAGGGTCGCGTGGTGAGTTCGTCCAACTTCACGCTCATCAATCTTTGGTTGGTGTGGTTTGGGCCAATGCGCGAGGATCGGCTGGCGTTGGGGCTTCTGGCGCTCCAGGCGGGTGTCGGCGTGCTGGGCTTGTTTGTGCGGCACCGCATGGCTCTGCTCATCTTCACCCAGGACAATTGGTAGATTCCAGCAAACATAAACACATCTATCTACTGCGTACCCCTTCGGACACTGTACATTGTCCATAATTTTTATGTACATTTTCTCTGGTTATTCTTAGTTTCATCACATACAAGCTTTCTATTATTAAAAACCTAGCTAGCTTGAAAAAAAAGTCTACACAGGGACTCCATACACGTCCCACCGAATAAATATTATCTAAAACCTCCAAAACAAATAACCCACATCGGACAACTATCGGCCTCCCAGGTCCGCTAATATTTCAATTTCCGCATTATAGAAGTAGTCAGAAGAATCATATGAGTCAGAAAGGAAAGAAAGAAAGAAAGAAGAAAATAGAACACGTCCGAAATCCGGGGTGGATTTCTGAATAATTGACCCTTTGTAAATCACCCTCCGACTCTACTACCTAGGTAGTTGCCTAGGTACCTACCAAGGTAGGTAATTTTCATGACTAGGTTTCGGGACATGTGGAGGCAGACTCCTGCTGACCGTTAGGTGGCGGAGAGAGCGATGTTACATCTGTATCTCTCAGGCAGATCACCTTACGACGAGTGAGAATGTGCATACGAATCGACTAGGGGCTAAAATGACCTCCGCTGCAACTTAAGTACTTCTACTAAGAAAACACCTACTTCATGTATGATGTATTGACCGGCCTAGGTACTCGTATCTATCGACAAAACATGAAAGATCCGAAAGTCGGGGTCGCTTGTGGCGTTTGGCATGTGGCGTGTGGCGTGGCTTATACAGCCATTTCAAGCGAGTTGAAAGACGCCCAGGTAGTCTACATCCTACTGGAACAGATAAATAAGGCGTGGGATGCGGAGACAGCGGTAATGTACGAGGTAATACGGAGGAATTGAAGCTGCGATGCACGGCGTATGCGCTGCGCGGCGATGCGATGCGATGCCGATACCGATGCTGATGCTGATGCAATTTAGAGATGCTGCGGGGAAGAAAGCGAGGGGGAGGATGAGGGGGAAGGACGGGAGAGAGATGGGATCTAGCGAATAGGATGGGTTGGGAGGCTGATTATGCAGGTGGGAAGGATGGAGGATGGGGGGACGCCTGTCTCACGATTGTGTACCTACTTCGTACACCGGGGTAGATACATGCCCAGGTTGGTACCTGGTAACTACCTAGTCTATACGGAGCACTCTGTCCCCCAGCTAGTAGACTACACAGTATTCTTCTACTCGTGGTACTGCTATCTATTTCGAACAGTAACTGGCTGTGTTCGCCGATGTTACGGGCAATCTATAACCGCGGCCGGTACCCCTCTCCCAACTATTAGGTAGATTAGAACAAACAAAAAGGGCGAGGATGGATGTGTCGTCAGAGCGTTCAATTATTGCTCAGTAAGATCGATTTACAGTACTCCGTAGTGGCATTTCCATAACTAGTATCTTTGTGTCTAAAAAAGATTTTTTGATAAGGATGGGAAGGAAATCAATGGCCTTGCAATTGATAGCAATGAATGAACATCTGTGTTGGAAATCTTCAAGAAAACGATATGGGATACCTGCATCCTCAATCGCCCTCTCCGCATTAGCGGGGATTCCTACAAGTTGGTTCTTTGTTCCATTATTCGTATTCCTATGTCTGATACCAAGATATACCGGCACATAACGCATGTAGCCGAAGTGGCTACATGGAATCGCAATGTATGATGGCCTCCGGTGGTTGGTCGCTCGTACAATCGTTGGGGCTAGGTCATCAGCGTCGTTCTGATTCGCGGTGAGGGGAAATCCCTCCGATCTTCGGCCCTGGAGCTTTTATTCGCCCTCAAACTCTCCCAAATCCTACTCGTAATTACTCCTCCCTCCTCTCACCTGAAATCATATTTCAACTGCCACTAACTCCTCCTCTCTTCCCTTTCTCTCCGCTTTGATTCTACTTACTCACTCCTCCATTCTCCTCGTCAATTTCTTTTCTCCAAACCCTATACCCAATTCCCCATCTATTACTATCATAAACAATTCGTATCTAACCGAGCCGTATATTCGCCAATCTCCCCCCTCAAAGATACACGACCATGCCTTCCGCTGTGAAACCCCCGCAGACCCTCTACGATAAGGTCTTCCAGGACCACGTCGTTGAGGAAAAGGAAGATGGCACAGTCACTCTTTACATCGGTGCGTTGTTTCAATCATCACCTCTCTATATTCTCGCTTCGCATCACTAACGCCACTCCAGACAGACATCTTGTTCACGAAGTGACATCACCAGTACGAGCCCTCCGACGGAAGCCGCATACAACCCCCCTACCGAAGTCATTACTAACACACGCCATAGCAAGCTTTTGAAGGCCTCCGAAACGCATCAAGAAAAGTGCGAAGACCAGACTGCACTCTCGCGACCGTCGACCATGTATGTTTTGCACATGCCCTCTTTCCGGGGTTGCGCCTATACGAGTACTGACAACACGCCTTTCTAAAAGAACATCCCCACTTCTTCAAGAAAGAACCTCACCACCACCGACAAATTCATCGAAGAGGCCGACTCACGGACCCAAGTAACCACTCTTGAGGACAATGTCAAGGCTTTCGATCTCACATATTTCGGCCTCGATGATAAGCGACAGGGCATCGTCCACATCATCGGCCCCGAGCAAGGTTTCACCCTTCCCGGAACCACCGTCGTCTGCGGTGACAGCCATACCTCCACCCATGGCGCATTCGGCGCTCTCGCCTTCGGCATTGGTACCAGCGAGGTTGAGCATGTTCTCGCCACCCAGACCCTCATCACCCGGCGGAGTAAGAACATGAAGGTGCAGGTCGATGGAGAGCTCGGCCCAGGTGTAAGCAGCAAGGACGTCGTCCTCCACATAATCGGTGTCATCGGAACTGCCGGAGGTACCGGTGCTGTCATTGAGTTCTGCGGTTCCTCAATTCGTGCGTTGAGCATGGAAGCCCGCATGTCCATGTGTAATATGTCCATCGAGGGAGGAGCACGAGCTGGCATGGTCGCTCCCGACAACACTACCATCGAATACCTCAAGGGCCGTCCCCTTGCTCCCAAGGTTGACTCTCCGGAGTGGAAGAAGGCTGTCAACTACTGGCTCAGCTTGAAGACTGATGAAAACGCCAAGTTCGACATCGAGGTCTACATTGACGCTAAGGACATCGCTCCTACGATCTCATGGGGAACCTCGCCTCAGGACGTTGTTCCTATCACCGGAAAGGTCCCCGGACCCGAGGATTTCCAGGACGAGGTCAAGAAGGAGGCTTGCGTGCGAGCACTCAAGTACATGGGTCTCACGGCCGGAACTCCCATGCAGGAAATTCTACTCGACAAGGTCTTCATCGGATCTTGCACGAATGCACGCATCGAGGATCTCCGTGCCGCCGCACGTATCGTCGACGGAAAGAAGATCGCAAAGAATATCAAGCGCGCCATGATCGTTCCCGGATCGGGTCTCGTGAAGACGCAAGCAGAAAAGGAGGGTCTCGATAAGATCTTCGAGGATGCAGGATTCGAATGGAGAGAAGCAGGTTGCTCGATGTGCCTTGGAATGAACCCTGACATCTTGTCCCCCGGCGAGCGCTGCGCTAGTACCTCGAATCGTAACTTTGAAGGTCGTCAAGGAGCTGGTGGCCGAACCCATTTGATGTCCCCAGCCATGGCGGCCGCTGCAGCCATTGTAGGAACCCTTGCCGATGTCCGCAAGATTGCTCCCCAGTCCATCGCTCCAGCCAAGGGATCTCCAAAGATCGAACTCGATGCACACATGGAGGATATCAGCAGCGACGAGGACCTTGACCGCATCATCGACGCCCCTGTCGACCCGGTGTCTGTCGCCCCCAAGTCCGCACCCTCAGCTTCTGCCTCCGCAGGCATGCCCAAGTTCGAGGCCCTCCGCGGATACGCCGCCCCCATGGACGTAGCCAACATCGACACAGATGCCATCATCCCCAAGCAATTCCTCAAGACGATCAAGCGCTCAGGTCTCGGCTCCGCACTCTTCCACGCTTGGCGCTACGTCCCTGGTGGCGACCAAGAGTCTCCCGACTTTGTTCTCAATAAGGAGCCGTACCGCAACTCCAAGATCCTCGTCTGCACAGGTCCTAACTTCGGCTGCGGTTCGAGTCGAGAGCACGCTCCTTGGGCACTCCTCGACTTTGGCATCAAGTGCATCATCGCCCCCTCTTTCGGTGATATCTTCTTCAACAACACCTTCAAGAACGGCATGTTGCCCATCCGGATAGACGACCAGGCTGTTCTCGAGAAGATCGCAGCAGTCAGCAAGGAAGGCAAGGAACTCGAGGTTGACCTCGTCAACCAAGTGATCCGCAACGCCTCCAACGGCGAGCAGCTCGCCTCTTTCGACGTCGAGGAGTTCCGAAAGCACTGCCTCGTCAACGGCCTCGACGACATCGGCCTAACCATGGCCAGCGTCGACAAGATCGAGCAGCACGAGGCGAGACGCACGCGCGAGTGGCCCTGGCTCGACGGCAGTGGATACCTCGCGCGTCACCGCAAGGGCCCAGTCAAGATCGAGGCCCAAAGCGTCCCCAAAACGAACAGAGGCGAGATCGTCAAGGAGCCGCTTGACTGGTAAACTCCAGCCACCTCTTCCTTCTCTCTCCCCCCCTCTCTCTCTTTCTTCTTCGACTCTATCACGAATAACTCTTATCATGCAAACGGTTCTTCTAAATGGGTGGGGAGATAATGTTCACAAAAGTTTCATATGATGAAAATCAAAGGTTCTTATCTTTTGGGGAACCTCCAATGGCGTTGTTTTTCTTACGTAGTCCTCTCTTACACACTCACGCACGCGCATGCCTGTTTGTTTGTCTGGTTCGAGATACTCAACAATATTACAATATTGCCATACGTATAATCATTCCTTTGCTTGAACTGTGAATGTTGTGTAGTGTAGGTTCGATTGGGGTAGCTAGGCATCTGTACCCAAACATTTCACCGGACAGCTTAGGTTTCGCAAGGGAACGTCATTTAACCCAATACTGAGACCTAGAAATCCCATCCAGGACGGCCGGGGCGCTATCTACTGGGCAACAAGGCCGTTGTATTATATCCTTCTTGCGATATGAAGCGGCGGTGCATGCACAGTGGGATTATATACGACCATCATATATCAATCGAGCGGTCGTGGCAGAATATCAGGATAGACGGCGCATTGTACAACTGATTGGTTATTTGGTGCTATGTACTTAAATGATAAAATGATGCTATTCTCAGGCCTACCCAAAAGATCCAAAGACTATGGCCTTGCCGGACGTGTTGTCCTCCTGAACCATTGACTTTTCGAGCGTGAGAAGTAGGTGCGATGTACGTATCAGAAGTTCTTCACAGGTTTATGTCAGAAAGATCATGGGGAGTTTGTATGGGTGAAGATCACGTACCAGAGAATTCGAGCTCGTAGCTGACAGGTAGGTCTGCGTCTGGCTCGTCTGCACGAATGAGGATGGGGATATGCGAGTGAAGCAGTTTTCGTTCTCTGACGTTGAATCGAATGCCTGAATTGCGACTAGGGCTTACCCAGAGGATGTTCTCGTCAAGTTGCACTGGACGTCGTGTGCTACTTCCATTCGTTGATGTATCAGTAGACATGGGAGGAAGCACAGACGAAGCTTTCTTCAACCACTCCCTCCATACCCTTACGACACCTTCTTCGACGTCAACGAAACAGCTGAATATGCCACTCGCCTCGCTGATCTTGACTAGGTTCGTCTGCGCCACGAGCTGGGTGAAGAGCTCATGGGCTTCGAGACTGAGCGTTTGCTTGACCGTCTCGCCTCCTTCGTTGAGATCTGATGCCGTGCCCGGAATGACCTTGGAACTTTGGGAGGACGAGGATTGAGAGGCATCATACGTCCGTGAGCCCGGGATATCGCCTGCGGGATGGGGTCGTTGTCGCCGCACGACGCGCCGACCTGTGGGGTCAAGTTCGCGGCGATGAGGGCGGAAGCGCGAGTACAGGTTCTTCATCTCTCCCAATCGAGATGCATCGTCGGATTTCTTGTCGTGTATGCCAGCCGTGTATGCCGATAGTCCATCTGTCCCTCGGTACGCACAGAAGTAGGGCGGTTCAGTCAACTTGGCAGATGGGTGGTAACATTCTAGAAGCAGAGAGTGGGAATCTAGGTTTGAAGCAGCAACAAGGCGATTCTGGAGGATCCGTAAGATTAAGGTGTAAATTCGGTGACAAATTACTGTAAGTGGGAGGAGCTCGGGTGTAGGGAGGGGTGTGAGGATATGTAGAAGAAGCTTTCGCAATGGTTAGTGAATTGGTCTCTCCTTTTTCAGAGAGTAAGGAAGTTAATAACCTCATTTGGAAGCTTGAATACATGGCATTGATCCATACTGAAGCTGTGAAAATACTCGGGGCTGCTCAATCAAGGGTATTCGGACAAATGGACCATCATTATATCTAGTGTTGATAAAGGCAAGTGGAATCAGGAACGACCGGTGACTTCATCTCATAGGTTATCGATAACGAATTGCCGCCAATCTTAAGTCAGCTAGCTGCAAACAACGAATTGCACCTTCCCCACTCCAGCGTCCTGCGATACTTCACAACTATTCATTGTTTACCATTCACTTTACTCAAAACTTCGCTTCGCTCAAAAATTCACTTCACTTCCCTCACAACTTCACCACACTTCGCCCCAAACTTCACCTCACTCAAAACTTCTACACTGATAGTAAGCCGACACACTTCGCAAATAGGTCTGAGGACAGTAGTACCGCAGATCATCCATTCTCTGCTCTGCTACGGCATCCGAGATCTCTAGCGAGCAATGCAGCAGTTTGTCCATGGCAAACAAGGCGACGGTGCCAGTAAAGCGTCCTCCCGTAATGCTAGTCGCAGACGTATGGGAGAAAATGCCAAAATTCCCGTGACGACAAGGCTTGAGAACGCACAGCAAGCTGCTAGTCGTTCGAATTCTCGGTCATCCCATCACTCACGACAATTAGACCGAGGCCCTATGGCCTATAATGCACCCGATCCATATGGGACTGATGCAGAAAGCATCGATACGACTCTGCCAGGAGCGTCTATGGTTCAAGTCCTAGATAGTCAGAGAACAGATCCAGCGAAGCCAGGACCAGATTCCACTAGTGAAGCCGACTCGGGAGATGACTCGGGAGACGAAGGTGCAGATGCCTATGAATTCAATGAGGTGGAGCAGCAACTTCTTTCTGACGCTGGCATGCATGATGCCTCATTCGAAGAGCAGTGGGAATACGTCAGGGAGCAGCAGCGTCATCCCGATAGATACGGTTCCCCGTATCCTACAACAACCTCGGGACGGCCAGGGAGCTCTGATGATTTCGAAGGAGTACATGAATATGACGAGCCTGACAACCATGCCAATGCTTCTACCTCACCTCCATTGCCCGTTCCTCAAGACAGAAATACAGAGGTCATTCATCCCCACCCAGCCCGTCGTTCTCACCGTTCCCCCACTCCTACCCGTACTCCCAACATTCGGGATCCGACCCAGTTGTACATCCAGGCCGCTGGCATTCGCAAATTAAAGGCGTCCGCAAACAATGCCGTTGTTACACCTCGATATCATCAGGAAGGCGTTCGGGAGCTATCAATCAACCCTCATTCTCAGCCTGGCCAGTCTGGTACATTCCCGGAACCAGTTATGGCGTCAGGACAGCATCGTAATACGCATATTCAGATGATCGCTTCAAATGGTAATTTGCACAACGAAGATGCTCATCTTAGACGAGAGATACCACTTTTGAGCGCAGAGCAACGCCTGCCTTCCCAAAATACCAAGGCTACGGAGTTGCCTATTCCTCGGTCTACCACGCCCTATCAGTATTATGATACCGGAAAGGAGGACAGAATTGAAACCCAGCAAAAGCCTGTCGAGGACTACGATTTAAAAGATCTGTTCCAGATGGACTACGAACAGTTGTCGAAGGAGGATTTCGACACCAACCCTCGCGCAGATGCGCCCGTGCTGTCCGAGAACATGCAACAGAAGCCGCTAGCGGAGCGACTCCAATATGTTCAAAAGAACCTGGACCTTAAGAAACAAAGCGAGTTCTTCACTGGTTTACCAACAAACGAGTGGGAAGACGCTGGAGACTGGTTCTTGGAACAGTTCACCAATATCATTCAGCGCACGAAAGAGGCAAGGCAAACCAAGCGTAAATTCGCTCGAAAGCTCGAAGATGAAATCGAAGAACGACACAAGCATGTTGCAAAGAAGCAGCAAATCGTCAAAGCTGCCATGGACAGCATGAAGAGCAAGGGCAATCAACTCATTCCTAACAGCCCTCGGCGTTCAAAAAGCAAGAGTCCGGCTCCCAAACGCCACTAATTGATAAGGATACCATGCAAAGATGGTACAAAAAATCATGATCACGATGTCATACGCAACTTTGCCTTCTGTTTCGATGATTGAAAATGGCGACGCAATATTGCTGGAGCATTTGTACAGTGTTAACGCTTAGTCTTTGTTATATACCCCTATATGTAAGCATGATTAGAAAGGAATGCAGCCATACGTAGAGTTTTCCCCAGATGAGATGAGACTTTCAGAAAATGAATATAATTATACTCCACACCTTGCTTCCTTTGAATAGATACCCTTTGGTCATCCAAGGCCGGTGATGGGTGCACAGACCAAGCTTGGCGCGTTTGTATAAACCCCAAAAATCCACCAGCTACACCAGCCATCCTCACTTGAGAAGCTTCGTGTGAAACCCTGAGAGCTCAATCGGCCATTCTCTCAACAGCCCTCATTCGATCCAAAAATGGCGACCCAGGTTGAACTCGAAGATCCGCTTTATAATTTGCGCCTTTCGATAGCGAAGAACGAGGAACCTACCCTTTCGAGCTCTCCGAATCCAACGTCTGCCGCAGACACGGTCATCGATCTTGCTCTTGCGACGCACATAACTTTCAGCAATGCAAAGACCTTCGATCTCACGACCGAGACGCGTTTTGCCCCCGGCGATGCTCCCGTCACGCTTCGCAGCGTATTTTTCGCATGGAAGAACAAAGACGCCTCAATCACAGACTACGTTGCGGCGGTTCAGACCTTGAATGAGGAGTTGCCATCGGGCGCGGGAGGAAGTGTACAGAATCTCAACTTTGCGCAAAAGATCGAATTGATTGCGTGGCTGAGCGGAGATACTGAGAGTTCAGAGAATCTCAAGCCTCTGGACAATGCGGCTGCGACCGCAGACGCCACGAAAAGTGCGGCAATCGCGAGCGGCAAGACTGGAGGCGTAAAGGTTGAGCAAGGATTAGCCGGTTCGAAAGTTGCAGATGCACGTTTAATGATCATATATGATGGTGAACGGAAGACAGGAGATCACAATTCGATTTTGAGAGGCACAAAGGCCACGGTACGTACCTACAAGCCATTGGAAAACGCCATTCTAACATTTGTCACAGGACTTTTCGACCTATCGCAAATTCGCAGCTCAATTTCTGCGTTCGCGATCCAATCCCAACGGTCCTTTGGCAGTTCCACACCCGCATCCATCACCCCTCGTGTCAAACCTCCAGAAGAAGCCCAAGCGGCGCGAAGAGCCTATCATTCTCCTCTCTCCCTCAGCATCATCGTTGCTGCGCATGTCGAATATCAAATCATTCCTCAACGACGGCGTGTTCATCCCTCCGAATACCACAGATACTACCTCCGCAAATCTTCTCAATCTTAATCGAGTGCTCCCCTCAATATCATCATCACCCTTGCGCTTCATCCTCGTCGACAGTACTGCAAACTTCAAGCCTCCATATTGGTCGCGCGTGGCGGCTATCTTTACCACGGGACAGACGTGGCAGTTCAAGTCGTACAAATATCCCAATCCAGCCGAATTGTTCGCTCATTATCCCGGTGTGCATGTAGGATGGCAGGGAGAAGAGCCCCCAGAGAACATTCAAGCATGGGGACGAGGCGTCCTCAGTGTCAAGGTGGACAAGTGGACCGGTGGAAGTGCAGGACGATGGAGGGACAGGGAGATCGTGGAGACCATCTGGAGCAGGATCGAGGAAGGCATGAGAAGGAACGGCTGGACACGTGACGGGCCTGGTCTAGCAGGAAACACACGATAAAATATCCATCAACAAACCGCTGTATATTCGATCTGGGACGACGGCGCAAGGTGTTATCTGGTAGGCTGCTTCATTTGGGCTTGCATAGCGCGGAATACCTCAATATTTTTAAAGATTACACATTCGGATCAAACCAGTCACAATTCTAATCATCATTGGTCTTTTTTTTTGGCCCCCACACGTGTTGATCAGGTTGTGCTGAACGCTAATCATTTGCTTGTTTATAATGGTCTACCTGTGTAAGGTAAGCTTAGCAACCCTGGAAGAAGTCGCCTGGCGCTGCATTTCCAAGCACCCATATGTAGTCGTGAGCAAAGGTTTGTTGGGGCATTCAAAACTTGCCCGTCTTATCACCTTGAAGCCCAACTTGTTCCATTGTAGAGACATTCAGGGGCCCTTGTCAACTATTGTTCCATTGACTCAGACTACGACTTGCAACACGTAATTTCACTAGCATAACGTATGATACTTCTCAGTCCTGTTTGTACCATGGATTGAGATCAGCGAATGGGTGGATTTCGAATCCCAGCTATCCTCCAAAAGTGTATCTCCATGCACCCATAGTCTCCTTTCACTTCCGCTAAAAAAAATGGGCATCAAACTACGCAGAGTGCGATACCACAAAACGCTGTTTTCATAATTTGCATAGCTTTGCAGGACACTCATAAGGGCAAATATCGATATCAAACCACACAAACTATAACACAATGCATGAATTGCAGCACAATACGAACTAAATGAGGCTGGCCTCTGAAGTCATTTCAACCGCTAGACTAACCCTTTAGAACTTGACCGATCGAACATCCCGTACCGCAACAGCTCTAGGCCCAAAGACTACAACTCTCCCCCGTAATACGGAGCGTCCGTCGAACCGTGTAACCTTCTTAGCAAAACAACAGATGCTAACTAAATGCGAAAGATGTCTTGCTGTCCTACGCTATCGGCGACCATGACAGGTATGCATGCCACCCAATCTGTATAATGCGTCCGATGCTGCATCCGTCCTATCAGAAGCTTCGTCAGCCTCATGCTTTGCTTTCAAGCATGCAAAAGATATTCAGACACCAGACCCAGGGCACAGGGAACTGGGATCAAACACAGAAGCGTTATCACACCATGTCGACATGCTAGCGTTCCATAGGAGTATTGTCGCCGAACAAGCATATGGGCTCGCCTATCAAAAAGACCTCTCAGCCCTAAGCCTCTATCACATCGGTTAGCACTGCTGGCTAATCTCCCATTGAAGTTCGTGCCGACATACGCGTACATAGTTGCGTCGACGACATTGCTGCAAGTGGGGTGCTGCACTAAAATTTGTTCCGTTGGTAGCGTTCAAATATCTACAGGGGGTGGCCTTTTTAGCTGTGGAACCTAAAGTATAATTTTCGGATGCCTTTGATCTTAGAGCTCTATTGTTACCGCCGCGATGGTAGGCGCAATCCAATACGCGGGTGCATTGATTGTTGCACTTCTTGTTTTATATCGTCTCTTGGTACTCTTCTCTGCCCGTAGGGCTTCAAGGTTCTCTCAGTCTCTCGATGAGAATGACAAGAATGAACGCCCCTTATCGAAGGAACATGATGAGAAAGAACATCAGATGTATCCACGCTTGGGCCGGCCAAGCAGCTCTATGGACTTCGAATACGATGTAGTCGTCGTCGGCTCAGGTTATGGTGGCGGCGTTGCTGCCAGTCGACTGGCTCGAGCTGGGAAGCGCATTGCAGTCCTGGAACGGGGATCAGAAAGATGGCGTATGTAACGGTATCGCAGATGTTTGAGACCAGGCTGACAATGTTGATCTCTCATGTAGCTGGAGAATATCCAAATACTTTCAAGGACATAATGTCACAGTTCCATGTGACTCGAAATCCTACAAGTCATTGCAAAGCAGGTCTTCCACTACGGCGAAGTTGTGGTCGCCAAAATGGATTGTACCACTTATTCAGGGCGAATGAACAAGACGTTCTCACCGGAAATGGTAAACTCAATGCTTCTGATGGTAGATATTTCACTCAGTCATCATAGGGCTCGGCGGCACGTCATTAATCAACGCAAATGTCTTCCTTCGCGCTGACCAGCGAACACTACAACTACCCGAATGGCCAGACGAGATTCGAAATGACCCCTCATCCCTCGACCAATGCAAGTATCAAAGAGTGAAATCCCCATGAATTCTCCACTCTAACAAGCGTCCCAGTTTTCGATCGCGCAGAACACATGTTACAGCCTACGCCATACCCAAACGACTATCCAGACCTGAAGAAACTGCATGTTCTCGAAAGACAAGCACATGCGCTCGGTCTCGACGACAATTTCTACCGCGTGCCCCAGACAACATTCTTTCACGATGGCTTGAATGCAAGCGGTGTGGAGATGAAAGCATCAACCGGCTCCGGACAAGACTGCACAGGAGTCAATGATGGATCTAAGAACTCGGTTCTGATGACCTATATCGCCGATGCGTGGAACTGGGGTGCAGAGATCTTCTGTGAGTGCGACGTGAAGTACGTCAAGAAAGACCCAAGCGGCCATGGCTACATTGTCTACTATGAGGCGGTCGATGAAGGGGGTATTAAAACTTCGAGATGGGTCCGTTGCGTAAGTTGTCTTGACCCTCGAATCCTTTTCCAGAAAGCAAGTAACCTGACACATTGGCAGAAAGATCTTTGCGTACTTGGGGCAGGCTCCCTAGGTACTACTGAGATATTACTTCGCTCCAAGGCCCATGGTCTGGATATGTCTCCCGTTGTGGGACAGAAGATGTCCGGTAATGGGGATATGCTCAGCTTTTCATACAACGCCGAAGAGGTCGTCAATGCTGTTGGTCACGAGAAACCAGTGATGGTGGATCCATGCGGGCCCACCATTACTGGTGTCATCGATTGCCGCGAGACAGATGCATCATCGAATGTCTTGGCTGGCCATGTCATACAAGAAGGCGCTGTACCTGAAGGGTTGGCTCCTGTTATTCGATTACTTCTCGACTATTCAGATCACGGTTTCTTCTCAATCATCATTAAGCTCATCGGGAGTCTCCTTTTACGCTTCTGGTCTTTCGCACCAGGTATATCGGCCAAACAAAGCAGCATCTACAAAACGCAATCGTATCTGGTAATGTCCCATGACAGCAATGAAGGCATTCTCACGCTCGTAGATGGCAAACCTAATCTCAACTTCCGAGGTGTGGAAAGAAAGGCACAGTTGGAGCAGTTGCATCGGAAACTTGAAAGTGCTTCGGAAGTCATCGGAGGCACATTCATCAACTCTCCGCCAGTATCTGCACACCCTCTCGGTGGCGCTAGAATGAGTTCAGATGGGACAGGTCGGAGAGGTGTAGTAAATCACGTTGGGCAGGTTTTCGTTGGGGACGGAAAGGAAACACATGAAGGACTTCTCTGCCTAGATGGGGCAGTTGTCCCGACGTCTTTGGGTAAGCGAAGTGCTTACAATTGTCTTTGGTGTTTCACTGACAGATGAAGGCGTAAATCCACTGGCAACAATCACAGCACTTGCTGAACGTTCCATCGACCTACTGATCGAGAAAAATGGATGGACAGTCGACAACGCACCAAACGGCAGACTGGACCTCTTCGGATTGCCGAGCAAGCCAATGGGCCAGACGAGCGAGAAAGGCCCAATCAGCAAAATAGTTACAAACCCAGGAACGGTCCAATTTCACGAAACAATGGAAGGCCACGTCCACATCGGAGACGACATCCAGGATTTCTCCACCGCAGAGCAGGTCGCTCGCCATGCATCCAGCTCAGCACGTCTTGCCCTACATGTCATATTACAACAATCGGAAGATACCAACGCGCAATACACTACCGGTACAGTCACTGGAACCGTTTCATGCGGAGCCATCTCACAACACCCACTCCTGATCCGTCACGGGCAGATCGAACTGTTCACGGTAGACCCGACCGTGTCCGACTGCGTCAACCTCACTTACAAGCTCCACCTAGTGAGCGTAGAAGGACAAGAATTCCATCTCGAGGGGCAGAAGAACATTGACACTAGCATTGCATTTTCACCCTCACGGACATGGACTGCGACGACGGCACTGAACACGACTATTTCTCGACCAGATGGCAGTATCGTCGGTCGAGGCATCCTACGGATATCAATTTGGAACTTTTTATGTCAACTCACTACCCTTCGCTCCGACAGCTTTGGCTCTCTCTTACATTTCGTAACATTCTTCACTTGTAACGTCCTGCGTTATTTCCTCGCGCCCTTCCGAAAACTCCAATATCCCAACGACACTGTAGAACACACCTTCGAGAAACCAAAGCCGCAAGAGGTTCTTCTCCACGCCGAAGACGGCGTCTCGACAACTCTAAAGATATGGGAACCAATTCCAGGCGTCACAAAACACGAACTGCCAATCATGCTCATCCCTGGCGCTTCCGTCGACGACCAGATATTCTCCCTCGCCACAATCCCCACAAACACGATCGACTACTTCACAGCCCGCGGTTATCGATGCTACGTCCCCATCATCCGCTTCGGCATCAGCCCCGCCGCCAAAGACGGATGGACGGCGTACGACAGTCGCTGGGACGTCAAAGCTGCTTTCGATTACGTGCGAGAGCAAGAGAACGGTCGGAAGATATACGTCGTATGTCACTGCCTGGGGAGTATCGCAACCGCCATGGCACTGCTCACTGGAATCGTACCCTCAGATTGGATCCAAGGCATGACAATGAGCCAAGTATTCTGCAACCTACGCTTCAGCGCCGACAACAAAGCAAAAGCCCGCCTGCCCGTGCTAACATCCATCTACCGCACCCTATCCAACAGCCCCTGGCTCTCCTGCCGCGCAGCCCCCAACACCAGCACCTTCCAATCCCTCCTCGACGCCCTCCTCCGCCTCTACCCCGTCGGCTCGCGCCGCGAGCTCTGCAGCTCCTCCACCTGCCACCGCTGCAGCCTCGTCTTCGGCCGCTGCTTCTCGCACGGCAAGCTCAACCGCGCGACGCACGCGTACCTCGACAGGTACTTCGACGGCATCCACATGAACTTCCTGTCGCACCTGCGGAGTATGGGGGCCGTGGCGCCGTACCATGTGCGCACGAACGAGGGGGAGGGGGAGGGGGATTTCGTTGACTTGGTTGCGCAGGGTGGTAATTTGAAGAGGCTCGGGGGGTTGAAGATGTGTTTTCTGAGCGGGGGCGCGAATGCGGTGTTTGATCCGCTTAGCACGGCGGAGTCGTACGATCTTATGAGGAGTACGTTTGGGAGCGAGGGGTATGAGAGGGTTGTTGTTGAGGGGTATGGGCATTTGGATACGTGGATGGGGAGGGATAGTCATAGGGATGTGTATCCTAGGGTGCTGGATCATGTTGAACTGTGTGAAGGCGACAGTGGGAGGACGTAGATGCAGGTTGAGTGTTGTAACTAACTCCAGGCGTGAGTATGACTTGTGTTCAATTTCCATAGCTCGGAGATCAAACATTGATGCCAGCTGGAAGAGAAGAGCCAATTCGAGCAAGTCATGCGTGAGACGAAAAAGAAAGAAAGCTAAGCATTGAAAGAGCAGTTAGTGAGGTATAATGTATATTTCTCATCTCATGAATTACCTCGATCGCCTCGAAACCATACTGGCGTTGACTGGCGACATTGTGAAAGCACTGTTTGAGCATGTAGGAGATCTTGTAGTCACTGCATCATGCTAATCATTGATCCCAATCAGTACGTGCAATGACTGTCAATTGCTAGATCTAATCAAGATATTCATTTGGTTCCTTTACTTGATCAATCGATCGGGTCGTTCTCACTTCGACCTCGTTCATTTTTCCTTCTCGCTAAATATTCATCTTCGTAATCCAATTCATATGGATCCACGTTATTCGCGTACCCATACTTCAACGGCTCCTAGACCACATCGTCCCGGTCTGTCTGTGCGTATAATGACATGAATGAATAACAACAGCGCAGAAAAGAGAGAAAAGCAAGACGCAAATGTTCTCCTGCCCAGGGGTATAAAAAAACAAGAAAGGAAAAGCATTTCAAAGGCTCATAAGACAGACTGATAAGATGCCGAAAACATGAAAGCAAACAGATGGTGTGAGATGGGAATGATGAGCCCCAGGTCCATAAAACATTCCCGAAGGATGAATGGGAGCTAGATTTCCCGACTAGGAATTTTCAATTACTTCCACCCTCTCGCCGATAAAAGTAATGGTGACTGGCAAATGTGAATCTCCGTCGGTTGGAAAGTGGCATAGGAATTAGACCGAAGTCTTGCTGAACGCCTGTATCGCCTCGCTTGCTAACTCAAACCACCGATCAACGCTCCTCGGTAGTTCGCGGAAAGAACAAGTTCATCTACACAATCAATATGCAAGATGCCATGCCGTCATGAAGCATTCGGTTCCCCCGGTTACATACTCCCGGCGCCCGGAACCAGCATCTCAATGCACTTCGTCAACAATGTACTCGCTTCGTGGAGGAGCTCCCATCGCGTTCGCTTGAACATGTCGCGCATCAGGATCAACATGCCCAAGCATGCATTTCGATCTGCTGTCTTGGCAAGATCTTCTGGCGTCCGTACACCTCCGACGCGGTGGAGGAAGCCAACCATGTCCTTGACCTTATCCTCGTGAGTTGGTAGTTGGTATGCGGACTTCACGGGGCCGTCCAGTGCGTAACCGTAGGACCACACAATCAACGCGGCAAAGTAGAGGACCCAGGGTCGATTCAAGAGAGAGTCGTCGCGCGCGGAGTAGGCGTTGCCTTGTGAACGATCGTCGGGGATCATGACTGTAGACAGGAATCGTAGTGCGTAGAAGGTTGCGTCTCGTGCCTTCGCGGTAGGCGCCCACGTCTCCTTCATCCTCCGTTGGGCTCCATTGTAATCCTGGGGTGTTATTGAGCGACCCAGCAATCGATTGGCTCCGGCATAGATCTGACAGTCCACTATGTCGACATGCATCGCCATATGTGCGAGGTGGTGCAAGACCGTTCGCGACTCGTAGACGTTTTCGTCGTCGATGCTGTTGGAATACGAGTAGGCGTGGGGCCCTGACAGATCGTTTGGCTTGGCCAGAGACAGATCAAAGTCCTTCTTCCAGAAATCGAAAGCGCGCGTCAATGAGCCTCGCCATTTATCTCTTCCACCCAGGGCCTGCGATACGCCAAGTGAGCTGACTTGCAAATCTCGCTGGTTCATATGCCAAGACACGCTGAGTAACCCAGCCATGAGAATTGTACGACCGAAAGAATTCGTCCTAACGGTTTGGCCATTCAACGTCTTCTTTAGTCCATCAAGGAAGGTCGCCTGCTTGATGCCGTTAGAATGCAGGCTGGCTTCCACGCGGCCAACCTCAGAACTACTCGTTGCCGACCACAGTGCCTCGTCACACGGGAGCGGTAGCCTCATCTCGTGGGCAACCATCACGGCGCTGTGGCCGAACATGGTAGCATGGATGCTGTCCATGACAAAAGCCGCAAATGCGGCCCTCCTCGTCGCTTCGTTCGTGATCCAATGGTTCCACCACTCGTCTGGAGTGTTTCCGCGGCCATTTGCTTTGCCATCCTTCACGCTAGGTGGGGAATCCATAGCGGACCTGCCGATCAACGAGCTTCCTCTCCTCATCAGGGTGAGTGTCGTCGCATGGTGGATGTGTGCTCGCTCGTGAAGTGGGCGGGTAGAGTACATCTTCTCAAACACCTCCAACAATAAGAGTGCCTGGAATATCCACAGCTTCGCGGGCGGTCGGAAATCTTCGTCCATGAAGATCTCCCAGCGGAGATGCCATGCCAGGAAGTTGGACAGGTTTGCGCAAGCCTGGGTCATGTCCTGTCCGTAACTCTTCTCTAGGCATGATGCACCAAGGCACATGATAGAGAGAAGAAGAAGATTCGAGCATTGCGACGCGTTGAAGGTCGGCTTGTGCAGGATGGGAAGTTGAGGATGGAAATGGACCCAATACGAGCTGATGTACGTCTGCATCATATTCAAACTGAGCACGTGATGGTCATCGTCCTGGTTGCCCTCGAGGATATCGTCTTTCTGTCGCTTGACCGGTGCATGGTCCGTCTCATTGAAGCGGTGCTGGATAAGGTCGAGCAAGTCCCTGCGCTTCTCCTCCGACAGGGCAGACTCCGGGAGCGTTGTGTCCAAGATGCTATTGACAGCCATTGGATGAGCTGGAGGAGCGGGGTTGTTGAAGTAGCCAGCGACCGAGGGGTCGTAATTAAAATAGGGAGCTTGCAAGCCTATCTGCGAAGAAGCACCTGCGCTGGTCTCACTACCGGCGGCCGGATAGCCCATTGGCGATGCATTCGGCCCGAATGAGTTCTCGTTGAACAGCCAAGCAGTGAAGTCATCGGCCATGGCAAACGGAGACCTACTGTAGCCTTCACCCCCGAACATAGGCACGGCGTAAGACGGTGTGTTATGCTCGAGAATGGCTTCGGAAACGCCGTTCATGGTTGCATCAATCGCACCTGTGGACTCCACGCCATTCATGGGAGTATTTCCGCTTGTCCCAGTGTAGTACTGGTTATCCTGGTCCCGGGATACGGGCGTTCGGGATTGCTGGGGAAACTCTGGCGGCGGCAGAGACGAGAAGGGTGGGAACTGCTGTTGCGATTGATAGCCACTAGCCGCGCTGTTTTGATAAGTAGTGGACGAGGCTGATGGTGGGTAGGACTGCTGCGATGGCGTGGCTGCCGAGTAGGGCGAGCTTGAGCCGTATGTGGACAGGTTTGAAGTCTGTGCCCGCAGTTCTGGTCTTTGGAAATTGCCATTGTTCATGTGCGGAGAAGGACGGCCGCCACTGAACGACCCAAACGTGTTAGGTCGTGGTGGGGGTGCAAAGTTCCCGGACGCCTGGGACTGCATGTCATAGGGCTTGGTGTCGGAGCTGGCACGATATGATTCGTCGCTGGTGGTTCTGTTCAGTGAATCCTGTCGGGGTGCTGGTGAATGGAGACTGGGCGGCGACATCTGTGTACCTGACCCGGCCTGCGTCGAGACTGCCGATGCCGGGGATTGTAGGGCATATGGTCTTTCAAGTGCACTTTGTTGCATCTATGTCGAGTCAGCCAACGAGCGGGGAATTTGGAAAGCGCAAGTGATTGCATACCGTGGGAGGGGAGTTCTTCATGTTGCTGGGCTTGTTCGGTGACCCGTTCTTGGGTGCCATGGCAGCCGTCACGATGGGGTTGAGATTGTGCGGGAAGGTATCTTTGCGCAGTAGCTGCGAGCCTCGCGCGGTGTGCCTCTCCTTGTGCCTGGCGCATAGGTCCTGTCGAACGAAGGATCGGTGACATTCGGGAAAATCGCAGTGGTAAATTTGCTTTGGATTATCTGCATAGCTGTTAGGAACATTGTGTATATCGGGCAGTGCAAGTGTGGGCGTTTGCGTGAAGTCATATCGCGAGTAGCCAGCTGTTTGCGAAGCATGGCCCTCAGGTTGCTTCTCTTCAAGCAGCATGCATGATGCACTGTGTGTAGGGAAGATGTAACTCACGGTTCAACTGGTGGCGGTATAAATGCTCGGCCCTTGAATAGCTCTTGCCGCATCCCTCGTGAGGACATTCGAATTTCTTATCCAAGCCCTTTCTGCTCCTCCTCCGCTTTCTCGAGGATCCAGTGGCTTCTCCGTCTGCGCCGTCGCCATTCTGGTCACCATCTATGTCGTCTCTATCTCGTCGTCGACCTCTGTTATCGTCGCGATCGGGGGAGGCGGGGGTGGGAGGCTCAGCGGCGCCGCTGGTTGTGTCCATCTTATCGGGGAACTGTGTCTGTAGCTTTCCAAAATCGGACGAGTGCGCAGCATGGATGGACAGTAGTGCAGTCATAGCCAGAGCGACGGGGATCAGTCGGTGGAGAGAGGCAGAGGACGAAGCACAGGTCGAAGCTCAGGACGACCAGAAGGTTGGGCAGGTTTCGGAGTCGCGAGTGGACGGAGCCGAGTGTGGAGTGTGAGACGGGAACGCGCGAGTGCGTGTCGCTGGGGAATGGGGTGGGGATTAGGACCAAGAACGAGAGCGAGAGTGAGATGGCCTGTGTGTTGAGGATCGCGTGTTGAACTGCTGCAAGGGATGTAGAGTATTAGTAAGGGCGAAATGGGGGGAAAGAGCGACCGGGGGCGGAAGAGAGAGAGGAGGAAGAGAGGAGAGAGGAAAGGTGAACAAACGGACGAATGTGGCCAGGTTAGGAGTAGTGTTGTAGCATGCTCAGCGATGCAATCAGTCAGTTGGTGGTGACTACAAGCAGTTGTGCACGGTACAGAGTAGATGGGAGTTGGTAGGTGACGGTGGGTGGAGGTGGAGGTGGAGGAGGCGGCGGCGGCGGTAATAATGGGGAACGGATAATGGACAGGACAGGACAGGACGGTGGATGAGGATGATGGATGGTGGTTGGTGGATGGCGGCTGGTGGTCGGTGGTCGGACTGATGAGCCTTGGAGGGATTGGATTTGAGTGGGCGCGGCAAGAGAGAGGGAGAGAGGGAGGGAGGGAGGGAGAGGTCGAGGTCCACGGGTCGGGCTGGGATGCAGTGATGCACAACAGCGGCGACGGCGGCGTCGGCGGCAAAAGCAACGAAAGATGAGGCCGACAATCACAGGTGGATGTCACTCTGAGGTGCCAGGGAGTGGTTGAGATGAATCCCTCGACAGGAATAGTGACAGTGACGGTGACAGTGGTAGTGGTAGTGGTTTGTGGTCGTAGAGTCGGATGGTACTCGTCGTGTAGATTGGCTGGCGGGCGGGTGCGTGCGTCTTATAGTGTACAAGCACTACCTAGGTGCGTATGTAGTGTAGTGCAGTGTACGTGACAATTCGTGCACGATAACTCCGAATGCCTCGTGAGTGAGTGATCCGTACAGAGTAAGAAAATAAGTAGACGAGGCGATAGGTGGTATCTTTCAACTTGTAACTTGTACAAGCAAGCAGTAACGAGGTGATGATATGCTGTAGGTGATGGTAGGTGGTAATAAGTGGGTTGGACTGATAGGTGGGTGGAACTGGTGGGTAGTGGGTGGTACTGGGTGGGTGCGTTTGCCGGGCGTCGGCTGTCTAATCTATCCAGTCACTACCAACTAGCAACTAACTAGCTGCCTGTTACTCGGAAGGATTATCAAGTATGAAGAGACGAGGGTGCCGGATGGGATGAGATGAAGTTGAAATAAGGTGATTGATGATGAAGCAGGGGGACGATGACTGATGATGCGCAGAAGATCTATTGCTAGCGAGTGTGGTGGGGAGATTCGGAGGAGAGTGGAGTGGAGTGTAGGTTCGTGGGATGGATGATGGGCATGGACGATGGAGATGAAGATGAAGATGCGGATCAACCCTTTAAAATGGGGTGGGGTGGGATGGGATGGGGAAGCTTGGAGACGGTTACGGTTGTACGAGTAGGGCTAGGCATCGTTATGATGATACCTCCGTAGATGATACTAGGAATAGAGCAGTCTCCTACGGAGTACTTTTTACTCTTCTTTTACCTCCCTCTCTCTGTTACTACTACTCCGTACATACTATGCAGTAGATACTCAATGTACTCGAGATCCTCGAAGCTACGAGTGCTTGGGCTTGGTAGTGGAGAAGAGTCGAATCCGTGCCCTCGTGACCAATAGTGAGAGACGGACCCTCATCACCTGGGTAGAGCGGACACTACAGAATACACAGTTGTCCATACTTGATACTTGATATAGTTCCTAAAAGTATGTATTTGGATAGTGGTCTACCTACCTAGGTACTCTACCTTCATGTCCGCTTTACGCACACGACACAGTAGTTAATAGGGCTGTCGCTATGAGATTAGTTACCGGCGCGGGAAACCACCGGCCGGAACGCGATGCCAAACCGTGCAAAAGCTCCTACCACGGCATGGTATTCCTACCCGCCTCTAGTACAGTAGTCTTCTACGTGCTGTAGTTCAGTGTCCACCACCAAATACCGGCGGGCACTTGGTTCTCTAGGGGGTACTAGACACTCTACTCAAACCAGATACCTACGAGTGCAGAGATATAACCATTTCCTAGACTCCTTACAGTATGGTTATACACTTGCGTTAGGTGAGATATGAGAAGATACGGAAACCTCGTTAGTAGTACGATCATCGGAGCGGTGGTCCGCACACAATAGACGATCCCCTTGGCCGTGCTTGAATAGCGCAAGAAGATGTGCCATGATATACGGAGTACGTACATACCAAGCAATACTGACCCTCAGATCCCCCAGTCAGGCGGAGAATGAAGAAGATGACCTGCAGCAAGGCAACTAATACCTACCCACTCCCAATCGTTCCGTCTCACGGGGCAGTTGGCGGGGAACTCATCGCGTACCAATACGAGTAACCACAAATAGAGAGATGATTAAATGAACGAATGAATGAAGGAACGAACACACGGGGCGTCATTTTGGTGGACAAAAGCCAACACCATCTGTACGTCGGTGAAGAGCAGAGCAGAGCACCTCGTCAGCAAACGTCAATCTCGTGATGAACCTTGCCGCCATGGCCCGACATGGCAATCCGAACCTCGTCGGGGGGGGAAATCTTCCATCTGATAGGTGTCGAGGGAAAACAAATCCAGGAAAGGACGCCAATAGTTCATATCAAGGCGCATGAGGCGTACGTCGTAGATGGTGGTTGGCAATCATTGTGTATAGTAGACCGCAGAGGGAAGAGTTGATAAATCCTTGATGATTAGGACAATGTCCAAAGTGAGAGTAATGAATAATGATAATGATAATGATTTATGGAATACAGAGATCCTGATAGGTCAGATGGGATTAGGTATTGGATGGATACCTATCTATCCTCGAACTCCTAAATAGATGCCAGTGGTGTGTGGTGTGTGGTGGTTACTAGGTAGTGGAGTGGCACAGCGTGGTAGGGGGGACACGGGCAACGGGCGACGGCAAGGCAAGACCAGGCAAGACAAGGGAAGGGAAGGGAAGGGAAGGGAGGGAGGGAAGGCCCGAAATGAGCCTAGAGAGCTGGATGGATACTCGTACTACCCTGCCCTGCCCCTCCAACCACCGGTCCAATTCACCATCCAGTGTCCACCATGAAATTTGATATCTTCCTCAGGTACACAGTATATGCCAATGCCATGACATCGAAATAACCCTCATCAATCCAAACAAAACACTTCAGCAGGATAACGGCCGGCCTGATACCTAATGGCATTACTTAGGTACACTTGTATAGGTGTCCTCCTGTCTGATGTCGTAGCTACAAACATGCACTAGCAGACCACCACCACTTCATGCATAAACATCACCGTCCTCATACAATTGCACTGTACCTACCAGCAGGCAGCATTTCCGCTAGATCCCGAAATCTCAAAGCCTACGCTTTCCGCTCCTGATCATTGCTCTGCATGCATCGCCTTATCCCATCCCCGACTGGCTCGTCAAATCGTGACCAGTACAGCCCTGCACCACCACTAACTCCCACAACAGGATCTCCGCTATAGCCGCGACAGGAGAGAGGGGTAACATAGGGTAAAGAAGCAGCCATCTGGAACCTGCCTGGCTGCATGTCCCTACACGCCTACATAATGTAATGTGCATAGATACATGCCTACCTACACCATAGCACGCGCAGGACGGTACATGACCTGCACCACCTCGCATCATCTACACCATACTTCATACACAAACCCTGGCTTTGCTGCCTGTCCTCTCTGCACCCGTCACCCGTCGCCCGCAGCCGTGGGTAAAAGACGTTCCGCCTCTCACCGAGTCGGTCCCAGCATTCACTGGCGGGATGGCTGGATGGCTGTCCTGATCCCTGAGAGGGGGGGTTGAGTAGAGTGGTTGGCCCGATGACAATACCAACCGGTGGCTTATACCGACGCATAAACAAAGGCAAATAATATTCAAAAGCATTTGGTCGTGTTCACCAACCATCTAGCTACCTCTGTGCCTATAACCAGGGAAACGTTCACACGTACGGGTGAGACAATCTGAGTATGGAGGTTTGCATGTCCTCCGGGAAGCAAACACTTTCTAGGTAGACTGATACAACACCTAGAATACTGATCGGTCAAGGTACCAACCCATCCACCGTCAGCAAGGAACCAGAGTAGGGCAGCCAAGCGAGCGAATACAACAGCACAGAACGAAAGAAAGATACTTTTGACCATGGCCAGTCGGATACGGGAGCAGTCAGTGCTGCAGTAAAATAATGCGATGCGAATCCGACGGTCTAGTCCTACCCGTCCGAGCGCATATCTGCTCACACGCCTCTCTTCGACATAACTTTTACTGTACGTGTTTGTATCGACAACTAGGCCTGCAGCAAGCAACAACCTCCTCTTGATCATAGCCAGCCTGTGTCGCCCATGCCATGCTGGGCCATGCCATGCACCTGCATTACCTGTAGCACACACCAGGCGCAAAGTGTGGAGAAGCGTGGGGGCAGAAGGGGTCGGGCATTCTTGAGATTCGACGCGCAATTGAGATATTGTGTTCGTGTAAACGTGGCGCGTGGGGGTGATGGTTTATCCCAAGTAAGGTTATACATTCCATCTCACACTACCTACTTCGTACTTCCCATAGGTACATATATTCGTGCTAATACATAGCAGACACTCAGCAAGCAATTGGTTGGCCCGGCATACGGCCCATTGTCCCCGGCCCCGTGATGCTCACTTTACACATACATACTCCTAACTACATTGAAGGTGCATATCATTTCTTTTCTTTCTCACACGAATCAGAGTGGAGAAGTAACGCATACCAAGCCAAGGAGCATATTGGGAAATGAAAGTTGGCCATCCGCTTCCTAGATAGATGAGGCGAAGAGGCACAGAGGATACTGACAATGATACAGTTTCTCGAAACAAATAAGGAACCCATCATTGTAGCACAATCAACTAGCCATAGAACGCCACTCAGGAGAATTAAACGCCTCGCACGTGCTCTGCTATGCTCTTCCATCACAAGCTGGGGCAAGCCCATTCCCACATCTTGCTCGCCCCTGGGGAATAACAAAAGAAGCAAAAGCAATCAAGATCCACGAAGCAGGCACATGCAGCATACGCAACTCCCTCCGGTAGTCTCGTTTGTAATGAAACGTCTCCAGCCCGTTGTCGCAATTCCAATCCTAGAGTTCAGCCACGGCTGATTCCCACATGCCGAAAGTCGCACAAGATCGTTGACCGTGTGCGCTCGGACTGAAGTAAGCCGAGTCATGTCTACATCCACATACCTACATCTCCTTCCAACCCTGAATGGAAAGCTAGTTGTCATATTATACCCCAAGCTAGAAGTCCGACTAAAGCTATGCTCTGGCGAGCCGTACCTTGCGGACCGTACCTTACCTTACATGACCTCAGTTTACCCTAAGCCTTGGGCACGAGACATCTCTTGTAGAATATGCGGTCGTGTAGTACAATATGCGCGTGTTCCTCTTGCCACTTCGAATGGCATTGTATTGATATAGTACGATTAGGAAGTTTAGACAACCTCAACGGGGATCCTCAGGACTTCAAATCCCACAATAGAGACACAGATTCCACACTCCCTTCATCTTTCATTTAAGGATAAAGAAAGAAATCAACATAATGGGTAATATATGGTCAGATAGGCTAACTGTCGGTGGTCGGAGTGCGCGTACAGTACCAATTCAACGATCAAATCAACCCTTCTCCGATATCTCCTCACATATGTTGCATTGCATACTCCGTGCATGCTCCCTCTCTCCTTCGCGTTTATTATAACACGCTGTTCGTCATGGTGGGTGCTAAATAGATGGCCTTCCCCTTCTCTTGCATTGGAGGCGGGAGGCCCCAAGGAAGATACGGTGGATTTTGATGGTTTACCATCGTTTTATGGGTTAGGCATTTATCTAGATTTCCGTGGAGATGATATTCGATTTCACCAATTTGCACCATTGTTTCCTCACTGCATCGAGTCAAGTCACATCTATGCGTGGTCACTGTGGTGTGACAGAAAAAGAAACGAAGGAAAAATGCAGTGGGAAAAAGCAATATGGCGGGAATAAGTCGAAATTTTTCAAATCCAGCAACGAAGGAACAGCTCACGTGTCCAACGTTTGTACCTTCCAACCTTGGAAAGGAAGCATCCCATCCCATCGCCAGGTTGAAGAGATCCAAGTAAACATCTATCTCGGGGATTCTCTCGTGTCACAGTGTAGATATCGATCTTGCAATTGACGATTCCAGACTTCTCGTGCGATATCTACACGCAAAGTAGGGAAAATATCGATGTTACGTTACTGATATCCCCTCGCCACCACAAACTTATTTGCTTTGCTTTCCGGCTCGCTCACACGCGACGCCTCGCCCCCCATACGAATCCAACATCCCACGTTTTACCCCATCCATTCGACTTTCTCCAGAGATACCTAGGCACGGAGATCACAGGCAAGGCGATCTCTAGTGTGAAGAGACTTTTTAGTGTAGGAGGCGGATTTGGGGGTGAGGCTTCTAACCCATGCTGCTCTGCCGCAAGCGCGTGCCACGAGCATGCATGCCTCGCAGAGCAGACTGAACAAGCAATCTGCTACACGTTGTTCCTTTGGACCATTAAATTTTGCATTATTGGATATCTTCCTTTGCATAACTCGGAGGGGAGGTTCTACTGCCTGCAACAACTTGGTCGAGAGATGATGCTCTCTACAGTCCTTACGTTTCTTTTCTGGTTGGAATATGTACTGTATGTACATGTACATACGTGTGAGCGCAGCAGATTCGACTAATCCCTCTTTCCCCCAAAACGCCCGCTACCAGCCAGAGAACATTACAGATGAGTGCATTAATAGGAACCTAGCACCCTAGCACCCTGAATTCATCTCTCCTGCTCTACTCTTCAGATTTCGGTTTGGTAGCAGACTCTTCTTGCGCCTCACTAGTCTTATCTGAGGTCGATGTTGCTTCGTCCTTCTCCGATGTCTCCGTTGCAGGGGCGGGGGCGGCTGCTGGTGTCTCTCCTTCCTCTTCCGATGAGTCTGTCTCCGCTTCCGCTTGCTCTTCATTCCCAGTTTCTTTCTTCTCGAGCTCGGGAGATTGCTCCTCGGCCGAGGAATCGTCTTCTTCCTTCAGCTCGCTAGGCGCTGGGGCGTCTTCCTTCGGCTCATTTGCGCTTTGCTTTTTTATGCCTTCGGCGGCTTGAGTGGCGGCGCTTGAGTCGTCTGCACTCTTGTCGCCATCTTCGTCGGGCTTCGGCTCCTCAGCTACGGTATCGTCAGCATCCGCGGTCTCGGTACTCTGTGCCGCGTCGGCTGCGCTCTTCTTGTCCAGTGAATCGTCCTCCTCTTCATTCTCTTCTACGACAGTCGAAACGGCTGTAGCCCCAACAGATGGTGAGTGGCGGTGCCGTTTTGTAGTACCGGCCGTCGATAGTGTATGGTCTCCGACTTCGATTACAGAGGAATTCCCCATGTCTTCCGGACCTGGGCCTGACGGCTCCCGCTTCAATATCAAGGGCGTTGGTGCGTTGGATGTCGGTTCAACAGAGTCCCCTTCTGCCTCCGGGGGAATTGTGTAGTTGTCCTCCGGGATCAGTCCATAGACATCGCAGACCGTCTTGAACAAAATGTATAGCCCAGTCCGTCCTTCTACCTTCCAGAATACGTCCCGGTGCTGGAACCATGCGTGGGCGAAGATCCTGTACACGCGCCTGAATATGTTCGTTAATTGTCGTATTTGTTGGTGCTGCGTCGTCTGGTCGTTTCCGAGTGCCAGTCGCGAAGGAAACGTCTTGGGCGAAGTAAGAGTGTTGGCTGCCCAGTCCAACGTATGGCAACAGTAGTCGATTGCGCAGCACGATTTCGGCGGATCGTGCACGGCACATAGATATTGCCATTCCGATGCGCGCATCTCGGGGCAGGTCTGAGCCGAGCATGGTGGATTGTCGGAGAAGAGAGCGATTATGATGGAATTCACCTTCTGCGTGAGGAATCGGCAGAGCTCGTACAGCCAGAGTGTCTTGTCCACATTTTCTGGCGGTTGTGCCAGCTTGTGTGCCATTTCTCGATCCACTGCTATCGTAGCATTTGCGCCAATGGGGTGTGTGAGGAAATTATGTAGGGCTTTGAGGTGCTCTGTCAATTGGAAGGCCGAATCTATCTAGTCGTCCGTCAGTCCTAGTAGCATACAACACAGTCTACCATCTTTGTCTGCTCTTACTTCTGAGAGTTCCACTAATGGGGGCCCTTCGGTCATATCGTCCGCCTTTGTACCAGGCCGTATCCGTCTACCAGCTGCATGATCCAAGTTTGCGAATGATTTTTGTTGGTCGTGTGTTGCTGCGATGGGCGACTTGGGTCCAAGCTGATCTTCTGCGATGGGAGGGGGACTTGGAAGGCGAGGTGAGCTCGCCGGAGATACGGCAGACGCAGCCATCGTCGTCTATTGAAACCCGAGGCTGATTCGAAGGAGTGTGGTAGTTCGATATTTATGCTCGTCCGCGTAGCGCTTTGTTGATGTTGTGGTTGCTGATGTGCACACAAACACTTTGACTGGAGCTTGATGCAGGGCAGGCTGTCGTCTCAATACGCTAGTCCCAATCCGGGAACATAGCTTTCCCACTTCACCACGACCTGATTAAAACGTGATTCTGTCCTGAATACATCGATTTGCTTTGGAAACAGTTGAACGTAGCAAAAGGTACGCTAAACAACCCGCACAAGATACATGATGCGACTATGCCTTACACCCTAACGACTTTCGGCGCATCGTGGGAACACCGGTCTTCGGAATCGGTGTTGTCAATGAATCCGTTCTAGCTTTTATCATCAAGCGTTTTAACTTCCCAGACCCCGCAAGAATTTTATATAGATTGATATATTCTATTCTATTGTTATCAGGGACCAATTAAGAATCGATACCTACACTCACTAAATCTTTATTGTATAGTCAAATATCTGCCGATCTTTCTCTACATTTTTCATCAATTTCGGAGATCTGATTAGACTGGTCTAATGTCTGTCGAGCCTTCAGACGATGAGGCGCCAGCTCTCATACAGCCAGAAGACAAAGCTAAAGTAGCTATGGAGGTATCCGAGGAAGTTCCCCAACTGCAATCCGTCAACGATGACGATGCTGTACCCGACCTTGTTGCCGCCCCCAGCGACAAACCTACCAGTAAAGTACCAATAACCATAGTGACTGGGTATTTGGGTGCGGGAAAGACCACTTTGCTCAACTACATTCTGACCGAGCAACATGGAAAGAAGATCGCTGTCATTCTAAATGAGTTTGGAGACTGTGAGACAAATCACACTTCATTCGTATGCGTTGATTGACATCTAGTAGCTATTGACATCGAAAAGCAACTGACAGTATCCGATGCCAACGCAACGGATGCGAGACCCGTTGACTTTGTACCTTTAGCAAATGGATGTATCTGCTGCTCGGTCAAGGATGTCGGTGTTGCCGCCATCGAAAACCTGATGGAACAGAGCGGCAATTTCGATTATATTCTACTCGAGACAACTGGACTTGCGGACCCTGGCAACATAGCGCCTCTGTTCTGGCTCGATGATGGCCTGGGAAGCAGCATTTTCTTAGACGGGATCGTCACACTAGTCGATGCGAAGAACGTTCTCAAAAGCCTTGATGAAGGCTTCGGGGATGAACAAAAAGAGGACGAAAAACATGACCATCACGGTCCACTCTTAACAACAGCTCACTTGCAAATTAGCCATGCCGATGTCATTTTGATCAACAAAGCAGACCTTGTCTCTGCAGAGGAACTCGACAAAGTGGTAAACCGGATACGGTCGATCAATGGACTAGCGAAGATAGAGACCACAACGAGAAGCCAGGTCTCGCAGCTTGAAGGCTTGCTACTTGATCTTCATGCTTACGATGCGGTTTCGGATAAGGACTTACAATTTGCAAGCAAAGGGCACAGCCACCTCGACCCGGTACGTACCTCTGTGACACTTCTTATATTTCTGAATTAGCGGCTGAAGGATTTCACCTAGTCCATTTCAACAACGACCATTCATTTTCCAGCTATATCAGAGTCACAAGTAGCGCAATTTGACGAATATCTTCGCACTATTCTATGGGAAGAACAGCTCCCCGGTAGTTTTGCCTACGATCCTTTCGAGATACACCGGTTGAAGGGTCGTGTACCTGTACACGGGGGGAAACCCTTGTTAATCCAGGGCGTTAGGAACATGTACGAAACGACGGAAGGCAAACAGAATGATGGCGATGAGGAAGAGGCAAAACTTGTTCTTATTGGCAAGGGGGTAGGCCAACCAGCTTTCCGGGAGAGTCTTATCGCTATACTTCAAGCATCTTGAGCTTCACCAGTTAATGGAAACTGTTCAACATCTCGACTAAATTCTCCGTGACCTTCTTTGTGCGCTTCTTAATGGCAATCAATCATACCTCGCCTTCTTTCTTCTCGGTCTCGAGCTGCACAGCTTGAGCATTACTCTTGTTGCTCTTCTCCACTGATCGCGTGCTCAGTGCACTCAGGATGGCAACAACACCAAAAGCAATAGCAACAAGATACACAACCTTGAAAGCACCGACGTAAGAAATCTTTATCGCTTGCCTTGCCGCCTGGACAGTCTCTGGGTTAATGCCCGCAACCTTCGCATACGACGCTGGGGTGTTCAAAGCCGTGGCCTTGAGCAAATCTGGGAACGAGCCGCTGAATCCGGTATTTGCTACCATGCGCTTCAATACTCCAGGAATGCTGTTAGCATATCGAGAGGTGTAAATAGAGACGTAGATGCTCGTAGCAACAGCACCACCAATCAACCTGAACGTCGAGATCAAGCCTACTGCGACACCAATGTCTGACTGGTCTTCCAAACCCAAACTGACCATACCGAAACTGAGCGGGCTAGGCGGCAAATTACACGCAGCCACGGTGACAACAGTCGCAATTGCCTGAGCTTTGTCGTTGATACCGATGCTCGCCATTGATCCAATGAGCGCTGTCTGCGCAATGATGAAGAACGTGAGTTGGAGACGTTCGTGGCCGATCCAGGGCATGACGCACATGCAATACCAGCCGGCGATGATGGTTCCGAAGGAAACCATGTTGGCGTATACGCCACGAATGATGGTGTCGTCTGCCGGAACAAAAAGCAGAGCGGATTGACGGGGCCATAGGACGTTCATGCTATAGTAAAGCATACCAGCGACGAAGCATACCACAAGAAGAGAGGTGAACCTAAGTTGCTTAGCTTATATCACCTGAAAGTAAAGGTCTTGACTCACTCGCGCCATTTCTTGAACAGCTTGGGGGGCAAGATTGGATACTTCAAATTCCCATATACTTCCCAAAATCCAAGGCCGACAAAACATACAAAAGCAACCACGATCGGAGCGATGACGTGAGCGCTTGCCCACGGATACGAAACACCTCCCTTTACGACATTAGCATAGGACATGTCGGGTTGATCATAGAAGATTACTAACCCAATTCAATCCGAGAAGTAGCAGGAGACAACCTCCCGTAAACAGCCATAATCCGAAATGATCCATCTCCTTAATCAACTGCCATTTTGTCTTCTGGTCGTCAACGTGCTTGGTCTCAAAGGTTGGTGGGTTATAGAAGAAAAACAGCATGATTGCGGTCGCTGCCTCCCAAGCGAAGCAAAACCAATAGCATGCTCTCCAGCCGATCGGACTATATTTGATGAAGGCGTATGAAATGAGCGGACCAAAGCTGCTAACATGGTTCGCGAAGACCATAGCGCCCAAAGTAGCAAAGCGGTATCGGTTAGGGACCAACTCCTGTGCGCACGCAAAACACATCTCTTGAAAACCGCCACCGAAACCGAAAAGGACACCTGCGACGATCATTTGATTGATTGATTGGCCTGTGGCACCAACGAGGGCCCCGATGGTTGCTGCCGTTGCACCGGTGAGGAGAAACCAACGACGCCCGAAGATGTCGGCGAGACGACCTCCAACTGTGACAATGACTGCGGCACCCAAGTTCCAGGTTACAGTGATCCAAGGATACTTTGGGTCGGGTCCAAGATCGGCATTGATATACGCCAGGACAGCAGCAGGCATAATCAATGTGAAGAGATACGACTCGTACATCATGATCAAGGACTGGGAAAATTTTAGTGGTAGGGATGGTCCAGGGGAAAACGTTCACTTACAAGAAGGGCCATTTTGGTCTTGAAAGTTATCTTTGGGCTGGAGATAGTCGAGCCATCTTCATCTCGCTGGCTTGCCTTTGCATAGCTATCTAGGTCTTGTGTGTTATTGACAGGCTTGACCTCCTGTACACTCTCCTTTCCGGCTGGAGCTGACGCCATATTTGCAGTGGAGCACGCAGAATACAGTCTCAATGACAATGACTATGCACAACCGCCAGGTGAAAAGATAGCAAGGTAGGATACCGAAGGGTTGGTTGACTGTCGATCAGTTATAAGTCCGATCAAATTGTCGGACCTCAAGCTGCTTTGGCCACCGTATATCTCCGCTGCCGTTGGCAACCGAACGCTCAGTAAACCTAGGTTCGGTCTGACATGATGCCATTCTAATATTTTCAGGTCAAAAACGAAATAATTCAATCGTATCGTGATAAGCACGTCGTCAGCTTATCCTAGTTAGGCAGGTAAGACAATGCGGTACGAACTCAATTTTTTTCGCCTGAGTAAGTTATTGCTGCGATGGGTCGTATTAAAGTCTAGATCCATAATAACAACATTGTAATTAGGTGATTCCATAACAAAGATATGGCCATGATGCTGCTTAATTTGCAGTCAAAGTGTTTTGTCGTAGCTATGTTGCCTATAGGTACCTAGGTAGGTAGTAAATGACAGCGCGGGAAGGTATTAGACCCCGCATTCCAATTCAATTGGTAGTTCTAAACAGTTCGGTGGCGCTGGACAATGCCACCAACATCCGAGAAAATTCATTAGCGTGAGAGGACCAACGATCATCAACCACGGCTTGTCAATAACGAAGCGAAGTGAGTTGTCAGGACAATTCCAGTTCAGAGCAAGATTTCGTTCGTAATGTAGGTGCTGAGGTATAATAATGGGGTTCATAATTCCGCTTCGACACACCACAGTTCATTGCTTTCCAGATGACAGTTCTTACAATTTGCCAAAGAGCACGTTTTCGGAGAAACAACAAACCCAACACAACATTAGAGAAATGGCCACATAGCACGGAGTAGAGGTCAATACAGTCTGAGTTCCATTAATGTCATTGTCCATAAAGCAAAAGCCCAGTCGTCTACTTGCCATAACGCACAGTTGTTATCGAGTGAAGTCTAACACAATTGAATGCCTAGGTACACAGTATCTGAGTAGATCCAGGTCTTCTGATTTGCCTCTCCCCCTCTGCATTTTAGGTTGATTATCACCTGAACTCAAAATGCATTAATTGGCTCAAATCTACACAGTAATGTTGCACAAGCCGAAACTTGAAAGCAAAGAAAAACATAGCCTAACCCTCTTTCGGCTTAGTAACCCCCCCCCCCCCTATAAGCCCAACTTGCAGCATAGCAGCTTTGTGTTATACACACTCATCTCTTTAGCATACACAAAGCACTCTACCGTCTCGATTTTTATTGCTAAAACATGGCCACCTCTATTTTCCAGCGTAAACGGGATCTTCTCTACCTGGTCTTCTTTGTAACGCATCTTCCAGTTATGCTTGGTATGTTGCATGGCCTATCTCTATAGCCTAATCCTGAAAAATCAATCGACAACGTCCCAAGATGAACGCTACCAAGACCATCATAGTTTAGTTTATAGCCTTGAGTTGCTAATACGGTTGCCATAGCTTTTGATCTGACAGGTTACTATCCGGTCTCCGTTAAACCCGCATGGATGACCGATATTCGAACGTGGTACGTAGCCACGCATGGCGATCGATTTTTCTACAATCCACCGTAAGTCTGTCTTCTTTCGTTCTGCATACTCCTAGGCTCGATGTTATCACCATATCAATCTTACATGACAACTACACAAAGGTGCAACTGTAATTGACAACTTGCTAGTGCCTGGTTCGGGTTATACACAGCCCTCGAACTTGTTTTCCATCTTCCCTTTACTCTATGGGTCATTCCTGCGCTGGTTCGCAATGATCCGCGCCTTCCATTGGGTCTTCTAGTTTTTGCTTTGGAAACGTCTATCACGACCATCACATGTCTTGCCGAGATGCTTTCGTGGGAAGAATTGTCTGCGGCGCAGCGGGGCCTACAAGGGCTCGGCGGGATGTATGGAGGTTATCTGGCGTTGGGAGTCTTTATGGCTGTCGATGCCTATGCTCGGCTTGATCAGATACTGTCGAAGCAGAAGAAGATCGAGCCGATCACTAAGAAGCAGCTTTGAGGTGACCCGAAATGTGATGCTGGGTGGAAGACGGGAGGGTTTCACATGTTTTCAATGCTTGCTGCGAACAAGGAGTTTGTCTTTTATTCGTAGCATCGGAACACCTTACAAGTATCGTCTGCTACCGGGTATTGCCAGACATGTATTATCTAATGGACAAGTGAACATTGATAACAGGATAGAGGGTTAAATTATATTTGTCGAGTACCTTTGATATACATAGTACAATCAGTGGTTTATCATCGACTCCTAATTATGGTGTATAATTCTGGTCGAAACCGTTGTCCTAAAGCTTGTCTTATTATCTTGGTCTCGGACTGTGCAGTTGAGAGGCTCGGAATGAAGTGGTTCTTTGAGGTCATGATGGAAGGCTGTGGTGGATAATGAATTTAACAAATAGCATCGGACTTGACCGCCAAATGAGAGATGTCTTAGCAAGGGATTTGCGACGTAACAGTACCATACTAGGCAAAGAGCTAAAATGGTGGCTCGTTTCTATGGGTAAAGGGTCCACTCGGGGCGCCGGGGCGACGCGCATGCGGCATCCGCGGGCCCGGACTCGTGATATGCCTTCCTCCTCCTTCCTGGTGCTGTACACTGCAATAACATCAAGCGAAATGTCGACAATTGGCAGCGGAGAGACGGTTCATTCAAGGCGGCAGCGGCTTTCAGGGATACCACGCGCGGTATGCTTCGCCATCCATCCGGCTTGCTCTTTTTCTATTACTGACAATCTTGGAGTGCGAAGCGTGTAGAGTGCGCAAAGTATAGGTGCCTGTATCAATTATATTAGTGACGCGCATAATGATCATTTGCTCCAGATTCGTTGCGATCGCACTACACCATGTTCCAACTGCCTAACATCTGGGATCATATGTCAAGGTTCTAGCCCACCATCCGACAATCGCTCCAAGTCAAATAAGGTCGCTCTGCTGCAAGTTCACACGATCCACTCATAACATTCCATATCTTGACTCATAATGTGTCAGGGAGGAGCGAATAGAGGTTCTCGAGAGCCGCCTTCGCACCGTCGAAAAGACCCTCACGGACCGAAGCACTCCATGTGCATCTAGCACAATCGAGCATGAGCGTGCAACTACCTTTCCGAGTGGCGCCACTAATCTCTATGAGGGAGATTCTGCATTCACTAATGAGTTGCTCCAGGTTAGCCAAGTAGCTCAGAAGACGGCCCATGGGGCGCCTGGTCTAGAGGCATCGTTCGGTGATATCCGAGCTCTGCTTGAGTCCTCGAGCAAGCTTGAGAACCACAAATTTTCTCGCAGTCCGGCGTTACGGTCTGCACCTTCCTTGATACCTTTACCGTTTGCAGTTGTGGCTGCAATCCTACGTCGGATCAAAGGTATGTGCTGTCGATATTCATTCGTCAAAGCTAACCGGTGCAGAACGCACCCCAATATTTTGCTATGGATATTTCCTCACCGACATATCACATATTGAACAGCTTTGTCAGAAGATCTACAGTTTCACGGATTCTGTAACGCTTAGTCATGTCACAAGCGTGCTTGGGATTCTTTATTTCATTTTGAAAGAACTCGTGGCTACCTCAGATCAGCTTTGTGAGGAGCATAGCCTTGATATTCACTTGAAAAATTGCGAGCAGAGCTTGAAGTCTAATATCGAGACATATGAACTCTTGGCTGTGCCCAGTTTCGAGAGTATCCTTGCCCTTGCTTTTGGGGTGAGTAAACATTCCAATCTAAGCCAACCAAGGATGTCAGACTAACTGATCTGTTTGCCTCATTCCCACGATCAGGCTCTCAAAGCACAGGAAGACGCAGAGGCCTTTATTTCATGTACCCTCATATCTGGAGCCGTCAATCAATGCCTTACTTTAGGGTACCATCGTGAAAAAACATACGGGAACTGGCGCGATGGCAATGCTGAGAATGCACGTCGGCTTTTCTGGTCAATTTACATCTCTGATAAAACATTGTCATTGCTACTAGGACGTTCTTCTTACTTGCAGGACCTTGATATCGACGCACTGTACCCAAATATTTCCACGAATCCGCTTCGCAGGCCTTGGGACGAGAACTTCGTAATGGCAATTCGCATAGCCCGTGCTCAAGGCCAGATCTACGATCGACTGTATTCACCTGCCTCTCTGAAAGCACCTATAGAACAGCGAACACAATCTTTAAATGAGTTGGTGGATATTATGTCATGCTGGCGCAATGAGCAAACTAAGGTATTTACCTAACTCTTTAGACATTGGATGCTCGGCTGATGACTTCAGATTGATCCGAGCAGAGCAGCATATTCTGAAATATGGGCTATCTCTAGGCATCACTGGGATGTCATCTATTATTCAACCCTAACAACTCTTTTACGGGCATCAAAAACCCCTAGAGTTGGAACAGAACTTACGGCTCAATGTTTCTACTCTGCGCGCCTTAACTTAGAAAGTCACATGTCTTGCTTTGCTACTTGGGACAAATGTGGTACCTTGTCGGGCAAGGATTATGCAAACTGGTTCGTACATACTACCCTGTATACCTTTAATGATTGTAATAAAGGTTTCCCACTAGGGTGCTACACTACTCGTCTTTCACGAGTTTTGTCGTCATCTTTCTCCACGCCATTTCGGCTGCCAGAATGGAAGACGTACAGCTTCTCGATGACGTAGTAGAGACACTGAACAATGTCCAGCATACATCTAAGCTCTCGGAAAGACTCTATAAAATATGTGCTATTCTCGCGGGACTTTCCAGAGCGCTAATAGGTTTGGGAAATGCTACTATTGGAACATACGATTCAAATGAGGACACGCTACATTTCTCAGAAAACGCCAGTCAGTCACCTGCATTCCTACCAGAAACTCTACAAGACTCGTTATCGGTAGATATGACTGAGTTTTTGGATGACTGGGAGGCCAACGACTTAGGCGTTGTTTTAGCAAATTGGGCGAATGGAGACTCAACTACGCTGGATATGCACTGGGATAGCCGGTGTTGATAATTTATGATATGTAGATAGATCAAATCAACCCTAGTGATGAAAAAAGTTATTCCATACTGCTTGCCGTCATTAGTGATGTCACCCGTGTTCCAGATTGTAATGGGAAGGTCGTATCTACGTCCTCCACAATGAGCTTACTGTAGTGCTTTTTGAGAACTCTTCCGCAAAGTCATATAGAGTATCAAACTCCTCGATGACATGAGTCGAAGGCCCCACTTAATGTTTCCTTGCTGCAGTGTCGTTGCCTATTTTTGTTGTGGCAACACTCTCGGGCTATCGGTGCCGCGGGCCCAGTACGTCTACTTCCTATTAGCGCTCACGAGTAAGCCCATAAAAGAGTGAAATCATTCTTGCAACTCTGGTGCTCGTGGTCAAATAGCTTTCTTGATTTCCTACCTGCAACAGCATATCCCTTACTACGTTGCTCACTGGATTATCAGTCCAGTCTCAGAAGCAACAGTCTATCCCACTCGAGTCGTACATACGAGCCGCATCATTCCGATCCTTACGTTCCCTGGAGTCATAATCATGTCAGTATGTTACTTTCAAGTCTTCTTTGTTCCTTTTATCTTTGTTATGTCCGTATGTAACTGTCAAGCCGTTTTTATTCCCTTGATTTCAAATCACTCTGCTAATAAGCATATTATTATAGATTCCTTCTGGGTTCGTCTACCCTTCATCATTTCACCCTTAAGTAGTGTAGATGTTCCATCCGTACTTACAATTCCGTTACATCCCCAGTATTCGCATTTCAGACGAATGCATCGCTGCAGTCCATGCTCTTCATTCCCCGAAAAGATGCCCCAACAAGCTACGCTTCGTGATCTTTAAAGTGGACGACGACCAACAAAGCGTTGTGGTGGAGGCTTCATCCTCTGAGCCCGACTACGAAACTTTTCGGCAGATGCTTTGTGATGCTAGTGACCATAAAACGACATCACTCGCTCCGCCGCGATATGCTGTCTACGATGTGGACTATGACCTTGGCCAAGAAGGAAAGAGGCAAGTGAAGAATCAGCATTACGAAAATGTGATGAATGAAACGTACATCATGCTGAAAGGCACTTTTAGAACAAAATCAATTTTCATTTCCTGGATCCCTGTACACACACCGTTGAAGGTACGATCATTTATTCGAAGATTATGAACTGTGCTTAACGTTATTACGTAGCTTTGCATGGTTTACGCGAGTACCCGGGAGTACCTACGGAAAGCCCTTAATATCGAGGTTTCAATCCATGCTGATAGTATTGATGAGCTCGAATGGGAGAGTATCTTGGAAAAGGTCAGCAGTGGGAGAGCGTAGAAGCTTAGAATTTGAATTTGGTCCATGTGGTGCAATGACCTCGTACTTGGCCGTTTTTATGATACTATGGAGTGATCTGGGTGGACCTGAGGACGATAGCGGATGTGGTTCTGTTATTTGCTTAGGTATGTAAGAGATATTAGTTAGATCTAAATGGTCGCATTGCCCAAGGATCTTAGATGAAGGATGAAGAAGCAAACAAAAAGCCCGAGCATTATGACTTGAAGCTGGATTGCACATTACATTTGAAACATTGGCATACAAGAATCAAGGAAGGCACATGCAGACTTATGGGAGGCCTCTATAAACTCTCTTGTTCGAAAGCAGTACTACATCAATGATATGCTATAATCTTTTCTCTCTTTTCTCTGTTTAATCGCCTACTAAACATTCGCTCCTTGCTTCTCTGTCTCACATCCATGAAGATTAATCAGTAGATCATCCAGTATCAGCACATATGAAAGAACAGAAATGAGAACTTGTATGCATGGAGAGAAATGTGTACCCATAAGTGTATCTCTCCCAACAATGCTTCATAATGAGCACCCAGCAGGCGTGGAATACCATCCGTGGCTCAAGGCTGGAAAAAGCTCATGCACGGACTGTAAGGAAAGTCTTTGTCTGGAGCAACCCTCGGGATAACTCTGGGAATAGCTTGCAGTACTATGCTCTTACATTAAGCTCATTGTAAAGGCAAGCAATACGACCAGAGGGCACTGTGGCCATTAGACATCCTCTGGCTGGATTTGACAACAAGCATCTAGATGGAAAGCTTGAAGCTTAATCCGTGTATATTCTTAGACTCTAACGGTAACATACTGGGCTAGGTATAGGTGTGTAGGTTCATCTGATTGTTATGGAATCCACTACTCGGCACACCGGATTCCGCGAGCCCGCAGGACCGACACTGCTCACCACTATAAATGACTTACCACAACACCGCACTCGGACTATCCACAGTCTGGTCATATCCTTCAAATCTCAATGGCAATGGAAAATACCGAGACAATCGAGCGGCTTAGTCCGTTTGATTTGCTTATGCCTAGGACCTATGTTAGCGCAGTCTTTGCCTTCCAGACAATCGAGCCGATGATGTCCATTTCGAAAAGACTCCAGCATGGTCTGGATAGTCTCTCGCAGCAGCTACCCTGGCTATGCGGTCTTGTTCTCCCGACCACCGCTACACGAGAGTCACGGGCTAAAATCACGACAGCCGGCCTCGAGATCCGATGGAATGCAAATGTTTCCATACCCACGATCATCGAAAAAGGCACAATAGAAGCATCATATCACAAGCTGGCTGCGGACGGAATGCCTCCTTCTGCTATTCCTGCAGACGTATGGCCGATGCCTAGCATAATTGACGATACCCTTTTTGAATCAGGAGCGCCTGTTTTTGGCGCATCCCTGTTTCAGTTTGCAGACAGTCAAGGGGTGGGGTTATGCGTCTCTCTACATCACAACGTGGTTGATGCAACCGGATTCGCAGAAGTCATAAGACTCTGGGCTCGACATATTGCAGGATTCACAATGCACCAATCTGATCCTGCCCTAAGTAGAGTCGACCGACTCTCTCAGGCACTATCTTTTTATTCTACTAGGACCTCCGTCGAATTGACCGACGATCTCATTGCTTCACATCCGGAACACTCCCGAACGGCCCCAACACTACCAGCAGAGTTCGCGCCGTGCACCACAAAGTTATTCAAGATCCCAATGATTCGCATCAATGCGATCAAGCAACAATTGGGTAATTTCATGCCCACGCTACCTACTACGAACACGCTCATATGTGCGCTCATCTGGTCCTCAATCACTCGGGCCCGTATGCGGCGTTCCTCGGTGGCTGCAGAACAATGTAGCCAGCTAGTAATGGCCGTAAACGGACGACGACATATCAGCACTGAGCTATCATCCCCCGACAATCCTTACTTTGGAAATGTTGTAGTTTTTTCACTAGCCAAGCATCCCATCCATGACTTGAGCAAGTCTGGAGACATGGAGCAACTGGCTGGAATCTGCAATACTATAGCCAGATCTCAATCGCCTACTCGACTCAATACTCGTTACATTGCCGAAGTTTACAATCTTGTGGGCGGCCTGAGCGACTATCGAACCCTTTTCCCAGGTTGGGATCTGTTCAATTCGCGCGATCTTACTATCACAAGCTGGGCTGATCTTGACTTGTATGCAACAGATTTCGGTGCCACGCTTGGAAGGCCTGAGTTTATCAGGGTGCCTTATGTTGAAGCAGATGGCGTTGGTATTATTCTACCAAGGAAAAGAACAGCACGGGAAGAACTTGAAGTTCTCATCATGTTACGCAGTGAGGACATGGAGTGTCTAGACTTCTTTGATGGATAGAATGGAATAAGGATCTATAGTCACATAGGTATGCAACTTCTAGATTGAAGCATCTCAACTCTATTCAAGCTACAAATCGTATAAGAATGACGGCTTCTCAATGTGCTGACGGTGCTTGCGGAAAACATTATTAGCATGCCAGCTGTGCAGTACTAGTTCAATTTTTCAATTTTACACCTTAGCATTATATTTCAACACTTAAAGAGTGACAGCCATTTGCTTTCCACAAGGGAGAAAATGAACGCGAAGAGAGCTGTCGTCTTGGGTTTCTCGCGTCTCCTTTTCCCGCGCTCTGACAAATCTTATACCCAATCTCGCTCTTTCGGCTTTACACTCTAGTACTTGACCAACGGGGGGCGGAGCCTTGGCGTTCCACGGTCCGAAGTCACTAGTCTATATATTGAGGGTGGTAACTGGGGTAACTAGTGAACCCAAAACCTATTTCTATAGAAGGAATCTGGAATGCCGCGATACCTCATAACAGGCGCAACAGGCCAGCAAGGAGGGGGGGTTGTGGAAGCCCTACTCCACGAATCAGGCCACGCAGATATCGAAATTCGAGCCATAACACGCAATCTATCATCAAATAGTGCGAAAGACCTTCAAAATCGGGGCATCGAGGTTGTCAAGGCAGATCTCGGCGACGGCAAATCTCTTGAGGCTGCACTGCGAGGGTGCGAGGCCGCATACTTGGTTACTGATTTTCGAGGGCCGGGGGGAGTAGAGGAAGAGAAGGAGCAGGGAAGAACATTTGTGGATGCTGCAGTGCGAGCTGGTAGGTTCGAGAATCATATCTCTCTCTTGGATCTCGGCGAAAGTAAAGAACTGATGCAACATTGTAGGCGTCAAGCATATTGTGTTCTCCTCTGTATCAGGCTCAGAAGATGAGAGAGTCGAACACTTTCATTCCAAATATCATATCGAGAAGTACATACAGGCATCAGGGCTTAAATGGGCTGTGATTAGACCAGTAGGTTTTATGGATCTGATCCCACCACCTGGTATTGGGCGGGCCTTCTTCCTGGCAGCGATGAAAGCAGCATTTGGAGACGTGAAACAGAAGTGGATTGCGTGTGAAGACATCGGGAAGGGGGCTGCAAAGGCTTTGATGCAGCCGAACCACTTTAATGGGAAGACCTACGAGATCGTGGGAGACGTGGCAACGGTGAATGAAGTAAAGAGCGCCTTGGAAAGAGCAGACAATGGTCGCACGGAATGGAATGTCTGGCTGCCCAAATATCTGGTTATGTTGTTCTCCCCTTATCATTATAGGCAAATGTTCCAAGTAAGTTGTAGACTGGCTGACTGTTGCATGTTCCTGACAAGAGACAGTGGCTTGCGCTGGGTGTTCAGCCCGGAGAGGTACAGAGGACGAAAGAGCTAATTCCTGACGTTATGAATGTCGAATCATGGGCAAGAAAGAAGACTAAGCAAGAGTAAACTATATGGTTAGATATGCAAATTGTTGGATCTCTCTGTTTTGAAATATTTCTACCTGAAGTTCGAAAAGTATCATTTACATCTTTTGGTAATCAAACTAATTACTACTCAGGGTTTGATAGCCCCATCCGTAAGTGTGAAGAACTTCTTACCTAAGGAACACTAACACTATGAATCATTAAGAAGAGGCATTTTTATAGCAATAAAGGTAAAGGGTTCAATAGCATTATTTACGTAATAGTCACAGTACACAGCCTAGTAAAGTTCATCCCGAAAAGGTAAGCATAAAGTCAAGGTTGCTTCTATAGACTATAACTAATGCTGTACATAGATTAAATTACTAACTGTTCTTATGTTCCTCAAGGAAGTACGTTTGAGAACTCTATGGAGTGAAGCAAACGTCTGATGTTCCTTCCTGCGCTGTAACCCTACTGGATAATGGTTGCTACCGTTGCATCATTTCACTAGAAAACCAAACGTCCATCTGGGTCCTATTTGCTTGCAATACGATTTGCAGGGGATTCTACAGTCCCTCGACCGATTCCTGAAGAGCGCGACTAGAAGATAGCACTACCGCCTACGAAAATGTCGCTTTTGAGCGTGAGGTATGAGGAGGTCTAGAAGGTGTGTGTGTATTGGTCGCGCTTGGAAGTAGTGGGCCATTCGTTGGTATTATTAAGGAGGATGGTTGTCCTTTGCAACCATGGCCCTACTAAGAATAGGCTATGTTTTGCCAATAGGAAGCCTTTCTTTTGACTGCTGAGTGATAGAAAACTACAAGTGAATTGTCTAGATTGCAATGGCTTTTTCTCTTACTCAATGTAACAATCCTTCGCTTCTTCTATATCTACTCTTCCTTATCTCCGAATGAATGTTACGTTTCGCCGAAGGAGTCAAGAAATTGGCCGGTATCTTGAATCCAGTATCCCATTTGTGTACCAAGGGGGTCAAGTGCCATTCCCCCAAAGTCGATCCATGGCTGGCTATCCGAGACAGGAGACAAGGTCGATAGATCGAGGACCTCATTGAACGACCCATTGCGACCAGTTCTTGAAGGAACTCGAGTCGGCGTGGACTCGGGCTGCCACTGGCCTCGGGCCTCGTTATAAACCACAGCCACAGTGTAAAGTGCTCGAAAGATCTGAAGTTGCTTTGCACATGAGGTGTACGCCGGCTTGTGTGAGAGAGACTCCAGAGCGTCTACAAGCGCTTTCAAGCTCTCTAGGTCATTCAGATTGCCGGTCTCAATAACACTGAAGAACATTATGTTGAAAGGCAGAAAAGGGAAGAGAATTAGTCCACCGTTGGCCCATAGCTCAAACAAAGCAGAATCATTATGATAGTTGGTGAGTAGTGCAATGCACGAAGCGTGCTCGCGAAGGCTTATACGAGCAGCATCTGTACACTCAGCAGAGGGTAATTTTGATGAGTGGTTTAGTGTGACGCGGTAGATGACCGTTAGAACTAAATAGTCGGTTGCTCTGGTGGCATGTTGAGCGAAATCAACCGGCATAGTATCCCTGATCGTACCACGCGGGTCTTCATGCCACCGTGCCTGGGCGACCCTGTTAGCAAATGCCGACGCGAATGATCAAACTCGGCATACCATATGCTCTTCCCTCGAAGCGATAAGGGCACGCCACTGTGCTGCGATGTCTTGACCGCGAATAATTCGATGTGCTTCAGGCAACTCCAGTGCGCTCGGGCTAAATAAATCGTCGTATACACGACCAAAAATTCTCGACATTTCGACGCCATCTGTTAGACTTTGTCTACTTGAGATGAGGCCTTGTACTGGGGGATAAGCCTCTGGTTTGGGTATCGTGATATGTTGGTCACAAATTGCCGAAGGACGGGCGAGCCTGAGCGCCATGCTTCTCTCAAGGCAATATATCGACCAGAATAAACAGAATCGTCGATTCCGTTCTTCAGAAGCAAGCGCTGATGCTGAGGAAGCCATGTGCAGCCCCAGTGCTTTGGCGAGCATGACCGCTTTGTTAACGAAAGTCCAGCAAGCATATACTTTGCCTTTGTGGAAACAAAATAAAGCCTGTAACCACGGTCAGATAATTATGCGTCTATCTCATTTGCCGGAGAGGTGATGTGGTATGCAAATAAGTTGTTTCTTACCGCTAGATTCATAGCCAGCGCGGCGTCGGCCGTGGTCGGTAACCAGAAATTCAACGTCGACAAGATCACCTCAAGGCTGCTCTGACATACTCTTGCTTGACTTTCGATGTCATTTTTGGCCTCATGCGATGCCCATCTTGCGCATTCAACGAACAACCAATATAGACCGGAAAGGGATATGATGAGCTCGACATCAGTGACGGGTCCAGGAGAACAAACTTTGATGAGAATTAGGGTGAAATCGCCAAATGACTTCGTCTCTCCCAGCCATGGGACGGTTATGACATTGCGGTCTGAGCCATTCGCAAATCAGTTAATTATAGGCCGAGGGAATCATTTGATCATGAACACACCTTGCACCATTCTCAAGCAGGCCATGGCTTTCTCTATAGGTGGTATCGATAAATCTCTAAAGGTCTTGCCAGGCGGCAGTGTCCTTGCAAACGGTGGACCCTCATCGGGGCCAGTGCCGCGCCGGCCTTGCGAGTCTAGGACGGTTTGCAAAGTCTGACGAGACAACCGGATCTCAGCAGTGGCCTGCGAATGATCTCCAGTGATCTGATGATCTAGAGCTGTCTCAAGCAACTTGGCCACCTGAAGTGCATTTACGAAAAGAGACGTATCGATACCCTCATGATAAGTGACAGATGACTGAGTTGGTCGAAATTGCTTTTCAACTTCATATAATTCAATGTTTTTGCCACTAAGCTGAGGCAACCTTCCATCGGGTGGGGTGTCGAGTCGCTTCATGAGGTGAACTAAGTCGTCAATCTTTTGTGTGATGTGCTCAATCCTTCTTTCACTAGGGGTCGTCAAACGTCAGAAATAATCCTAATCTCGAACTAGAACAACGGCCAGCCACATACTACAAGCTCGATATTAACACCCTCTGTCGCCTCGCTCGTTCTTGCGGCTCTGGGAACGAACACCTGGATGACACTCGGAGGCATTGATTACAAGGCTTATGGCGGTCGCATTTAATCTGGAAGCAAACATTTCAGCGCTACAACATAATCAATCGTGTTCGCTTTGGCTCAAGATACTGACTTTACGTCTGCGGCATCGATCGCACTGGTGGTTCAAATTAGCTCACTGATTACTACTTATTACAGACAGATACCTTTCGCAGCTCTAACGTACAGCGACTTTCGAAACATGTGGACCCCCGGAATCATGTGTAGCATCATTATCTTCATCGCTGCAGATTTCCTCATTATCGCGAAGCACGTCCTCATGGCCTGGCTTTACCGACTGTGAAGACATGCTGGCGACAGTGGTCAACTACGCACGGTACAATCGAAGCCTCCAAAGCTGAAGTGATATACTCCGTACGCCAATGTGCCAGTCAGTGACGACTTATTGATGCAATGTTAGAAGGCCAGTGATCCTGAATGATGATGATGCAAGGAGCGGAAGAACGGACGTTCGCGTCGTCACTTTCTTATGTCTGCTAGTGCGGATATGCGGACCGCCAAGGATCCGCACTCCATAGAATAATGTCTTTTTGCACGGCGGCTCACGACACTCCTCTTGTCCGTCAATCCACAAAGAGAACATTAACACGCGTGGTGAGCGGTTTCAGGGGACTCGAGGAGATTTGAGGACCCATACGATTGGTTTCCAGGAGCATGACATCATCATGGGTGCCATATGCACGGCTCGAGACTTAATAAGTAGTACAGTAGCCTCTGGTATTGCTGGGTCTTCTCTTCCCTTCCTGCCATGTACCCCAAAGCAACGTATTTCGCTCCTTTCATTCCTTTAGGCATCCAGGATCCCAAGTCTTGTTCTACTGTCACTACCAAATCCCCCTTTCTTTTCTTATTGCTATCTCTAAGGTCATTCTTTTATAAATGCAGCAGCACGGCGCAAGTCCAGGCCCTACAGCTTCAGATGGTGTGAATTCTGTGGCCGAGGAAAGAACGCCATCTGCATTTGCTTCCTTCTTTGTGAGTGTCCCGCGGCTTAAGACAATGTACTATCTACGCCATCGACACGGTCAATGCTGATCCACATACATCGACAGAGGACCTTCAGCTATGCCACGCCGAGTCAACGCCTTCTGCTTGGAATCTCAATCGCGGCCGCGATTGTTGCGGGTGTCGCTCAGGCCATGGTTAACGTGGTCATGGGCGAGTTCGTCCGATTACTTGGGAGCGTTAACACTGAGGGCTTCTCTAAGAGCTACATGAGTGCGGTAAGCACGACAGCGTACGCTTGATACTATTCTCCTCCAAAACTAGGTTTCTCAATACTGATTATTGGCTCCCTAGTCTATACTTTGTTTACATCGGCATTGTTAGACTGGTTTGCATCTATCTCTATAGCGCTCTCATGACTTATGTTGCATATCACCTAGTAAGGACCATTCAGTACGAGTACCTGCGAGCGGCTCTCCGTCAAGAGGTTAGCTACTATGACCAAGGTGTCTCCGGGTCAATCTCCACACAAGCAACTTCAAATGGCCTCATGATACAGTCTGGCATTTCCGAGAAGCTCGGTTTGTTCGTGCAGTCAGTAGCCACCTTGGTTGCAGCCTTCGTTATTGCCTTCATTGCCCAATGGAAACTCACATTGATCCTGATCTGTATCGTACCAGCTGTTATTCTACTCGTTGGCGGAGTCAGCGCGTACGATGCTGTCAACAATGGCAAAGTGCTTAAGGTCTATTCAGACGCTGCAAGCTACGCTGAGAACATCTTAAGCGGGATACGGACCGTCAACGCGTTCAGTCTGCAGACCAGGATCCTAGCAAGGTACAACGGGTTCCTAGACACGGCTTTGAAGCTCGGAAACCAGCGAAGCAAGTTCTCCGGAATCATATTTGGTGGCCAGTACTTCGTCATCTATGCAGGAATGGGCCTTGCTTTCTTGCAAGGCTTTGGCATGATTACACGCAGCGAAGCCGATCTTGGTTCTGTCTTCTCGTATGCTTCATCCTCTCCATCAGCAATCATTAACCATGTTTAACTTACACACTAACTGATAGTGTACTCTTTTCTGTCATTATTGCCGCATCCACAATCATGCTGACGGGACCCAACTTCATCACTTTTGGGCGAGCAGCGTCTGCTGCGGTCGATTTGTGCAAGCTCATCGATAGAGAGTCTAAGATTGATGCATTTGATGCCTCCGGCGTGCAGCCTACCGCTTTGGTGGGCGATGTTGAGCTCGACTCTGTCAACTTCAGTTACCCGATGCGCCCCAATATCGTCGTCCTGCAAGATTTCTCGCTCAGCATTCCTGCTGGCAAAGTGACCGCTCTTGTGGCAAGTTCTCTGCGTGATTCTCATGGCAACTGCGGAGGCAGCTAATATTTTTCTCAGGGACCCAGCGGCTCCGGCAAGAGTACCATCATTGCTCTTCTCGAGCGTTGGTATAATCCGTCGTCGGGACAGATCAGAATTGACGGCCGGGACACCGAGACCTTAAATTTGAAATGGCTTCGAACACATGTTCGATTAGTCCAGCAGGTAACCACTTCTGCTCGAGCATTTCAAGTTGTAAATTCCGCGGCTGACTGACAGATACAGGAACCGGTGCTTTTCAACGGCACTGTCTTCGATAATATTGTCCACGGCCTCATCGCCACTGAATGGCAGCACGAGCCCCGTGAAAGACAAATGGTTCGCGTCATTGATGCCGCAAAGTTGGCTTTTGCGCACGAATTTATCATGCAGCTCCCCGGCGGGTACGACACCTGTGTTGGCGAAAGAGGTGGCCTGCTATCTGGTGGTCAGAAGCAGAGAATCGCTATTGCTCGCAGTGTGATTTCGGAGCCCCGTATCCTCTTGCTAGATGAAGCTACCAGTGCTCTTGACCCGAACGCCGAAGCCGTTGTGCAGAAGGCTCTTGACAGCGTTTCGCAAGATCGTACGACAATCGTCATCGCACATAAGCTCTCTACTATCCGCAATGCTGACAATATTGTGGTCATGTCCAAAGGCCAAATAACCGAGCAAGGTACGCATGCGCAGCTCAGCTACTCGACAATGATGGCATTTACGCCAGATTAGTCAAGGCCCAGAGCCTATCGCTTTCATCCCAGCACCTGGAAGACTTTGGGCACCAGAAGTTCAAAAGTGAGAAAGACTGCGATATTTCTGTGGAAAAGCTCGTCTCCTTTGAAAGACCGCTCAGTGCGGAGGAAAATCATCTCAATATGGTAAGGGGAAAGGAAGATATCCAAGCACCCAAAGAGATTGGATTGCTTCACTGTATTTGGAGGCTGGCACGATCAACTCCTGAACTACATCTGTGGTACATATTGGCCGGAACTGCTTGCGTAGCAGGAGGTATGTAATTGCTCCCGGCGGGGCTTCGTATAACGCGAGCGTCGCTAACGATACGACAGCTGCTGTTAATCCAGGGCAAACCTTGCTACTAGGCAAGCTTGTGGATATAGTTGGAGTCGACGACCCTACCGAAGACGCCAACAAACTTGCTCTGATGCTGCTTGTTCTTTCTCTGGGTTGCCTGTTGTGCTACTACACTCTGGGCTGGGCCATGAATGTAATTGCAAATGTAGGTATCCACTTCGGATCCGGAGTCATTCGCATCAACCACTGACCGTGTGACATACCAGACATTGAGCACTAGAGTACGTTCTGATATGATGAGATCCTTCCTCCGCCAGGACCAACGCTTCTTTGACCGTCCAGAAAACACTGTTGGTGCTATGGCCGCTAGGCTTGATTCCAATCCACATGCTATACTCGAGCTGATGGGGATCAACATATCCTTCTCCATTATTTCTATCATCAGCGTTGTCGCATGCTGTATAATTTCGCTCGTTGTGGCCTGGAAAGTTGGACTACTCGGCATCTTCGTCGGCCTGCCACCTCTCCTGCTGTCTGGATGGTTGCGGATTAAATTGGAGATGCGCTTAAACACGATCATCAACAAATCCTTCAGTCAAAGCGCGTCATTGGCATCGGAAGCAATCCTCGCCATTCGGACTGTGTCTTCGCTCGCTATCGAGGTGAACGTTTTACAAAGATATACAAAGGAGCTCGATGCTGCTATCCACAATTGCACGCCTCAGTTGTTCCACGTCATGATATGGTTTTCATTCACGCAAGCCGTTGAGCAGTTTGTCCTTGGTCTAGGCTTCTGGTACGTCTTCGTGTGGCTTTTAACATCTAGCAATCAAAGACTAACGCTCAGCAGGTGGGGATCAAAATTGGTTACCAATGGCGAGATCAGCTTCTACCAATTTATAGTCTCATTCATGGCCATATTTTTCTCTGGCACGTCCGCTGGAACCTTTTTCAGCTTTGCTGGTAGTAAGTCTACTGAACCGGTCGCCATACAAAGACTCGTCCCAATATTCCTTGTGTAGGTTTTACCAAGGATCACCAGGCGGCGAAATACTTTTTCTGGCTTTCTGAGCTGCAACCGACCATAATTGAGACCGATACGAATAAAGAAATCGGGCCGGGGCAGGGCTATAAGACCTACGAACTAAATGATTTGCGATTCTCCTACCCACTTGCTCCAGACATTCAGGTTTTGAAAGGTATTTCGATGACAGTAAGTACTCCTTGCAATATTGAAGAATATTAAGACAAAAGGAAGGACTAAACTGTGACAGATTCGACAAGGCGAGTTCGTCGCATTCGTTGGCGCGTCAGGGTGCGGCAAGAGTACCATGATCGCCTTACTCGAGCGTTTCTACGACCCGACAAGTGGCAGCATTGTCATTGACTCGCGACCTCTACAGGTCATGAGTCCAACAAGATACCGTCATAAGGTATCCCTTGTTCAACAGGAACCGTCCTTATTCCCTGGAACAGTACGCGAAAACATTATGTATGGCACCGATGCCACTGAAGTGCCTGATACTGAGCTTGAGGTGGTGTGTCGAGCGGCGAATATCTGGGACTTTGTTTCCTCACTCCCTGAAGGCCTGGACACGCCTTGTGGTGTGAGGGGCAGTCAATTCTCTGGTGGCCAGAGGCAGCGCATCGCCATCGCTAGGGCTCTTATTCGTCAGCCAAACGTACTTCTGTTGGATGAGGCGACTAGTGCTTTAGACACTGAGTCGGAGCGTGTGATGCAAGCAGCTCTGATGGAAGCTGCCAGCAGCAACAGAATCACCGTTGCGGTCGCTCATCGTTTGTCGACCGTGCGCGAGGCCAATCGCATCTTTGTATTCCTCGATGGTCGGATTGTCGAGGCTGGGGCTCACGAAGAACTTATCCTACAAAACGGCATGTATACTAAGATGTGCGAAGCTCAGAGCCTCGACAGTGATACAGCAATTCCGTAGAGGTAATCTTCAGGTGGCTCAAACGAATGTCCAGCTGCCCTCTTACAAAGCCTGTAAAGGGCCAACATTCTTCTCAAGCGTCAGCCTCGACAATTACCTATTTCTGGAAGAACTACTCCCTTATTTCTAGTATCGTTTATAATGGTTGGTCTTTGTGCAATTTGCATATAAAGTAATCCTTCTTCTAGAGTAGGCTAATCAATTTCTAATAGCTAGTACACTTCAACGGTGCATAGCAAACCAGAGGTTCAATTTACCTATCTGGTCCCATGTTTTGCGAGCACAACATCTGCCAAGCATCATTCGTCAAAGTCTCCAGGCTTTATGTACCTTGAGATTATATAAATTAAGTATCTAGCTTAGTATATAGAATTTTACTCTTTTCTAATTGCCTGTAATATTAGGAAAGCTCCTAACAGCTCCTAGGTATTACAATCTGCTGCAACTATCCTACTAGATGCCTTTATTTGTAGAGAGGTTAGGCTGTATGCACGACCTCTAGAACAGTATATATATCTCTAATCCTACAAATCTTTTGTCCCTTAGGGATTTGTCTCTATTTACTGCTGATTATATACTATAACTGCTCACGCTCCTCTCATGCTCCTCTCACGCAATTGTGCCTGATTTCCCCCAGTAAATACGTCTCACACCAGGCCAGGAAAATGGACTCTGAAACCTCGACAGCTGGAATGAGTTTCAGACAGAGGACCGACATCAACTTCTTCTCGTCCAGCTCCAGGAAAAACTGGAATCGAGATCGACGCCTGCAACCCCTTAGCGCGAGAGGAGCGTCTTTGAATCAATCTAGCGGCGTTCCAGAGCTCAACTAGGGAGGCCTTACCAGGGGCGGGGCGGGGCATGCTAGGGGCAGAGAGTATTCCTTGCCGAGCTCTTCTCGCAACAAATCCATAATAGGTTACGTTGAATACATTCTAAATTATGAGCAACATGTCGTTACTAACGCGATATGGAGAGCCTGCGTCTTTCGAGATCCTCCCATTGGTGTGCAGACGCGACTCAGATGGCGATCTAGTAGATGCGGAACGTCTCGTATTCGGGCCGTTTGGATGGTGAATGCAGATCCCAGGCCTCTACATCCCATCATCTTACCTTATTCGTGATCTAACCACGTGTTACGGCAAACCTTAATGGTGTTAACAGGCAAAGCCTGTCCAAAATTCTTCTGGTTTTCGCCTTCTTACCCACCTAGGCTCTGAGGGTGTAAACCGGGCGGGGCTAGGTGGGGTACAGGATAGGGGAATGAATATCATTTATGAGCATGGCTGCTCTTTATTCAAGGAGATTTCACGAATTGTCCCCGTGTTCTTTCATTTGCTGTTTGCTTGCAATTGTCTCCTCGGCTATACGAGAGTCGGCTTCGCAATTGGATTTACCATGTCGCGAGACGATAGATCTAGCGAATTCACCGGCGTACTTGGATTCTTCCTTGCTATATGCACTATTCTAGTTTCATTACGGTGTTATTGCAAGATAGTTCTTGTCAAGTCTTTCGCGGCTGATGATTACCTTTCTGTTCTGACGCTAGTACGTTCAATCCATCATCAGCAATTCACACTTAGCTACCTGCTTTTTCTGACCCTTTGCCTTCAGATTTCGTTTGCTATGTTCTGTACACTGGCTTTGCTGGGTCTCGCTAATGGCACTGGCAAAAAGCAATATCTCATTCCTACCGAACGCTATCCTGATGGCATGAAGGTAATTTCAAATCAAACACCTTCCTACATGCTGCATCCCAGTACTAATAGTCGCATTCCAGTGGTGGTGGGCTTGCGAGCCAACTTACGTGATATGCGGCATCTTTCTGAAACTCAGTATCGGTATCTTTCTACTCAGGATCGCCGTTGATCGGGTACATCGACTAGCTCTTTGGGTTTGTCTCATCACTGTCGAGGTCTACAGTGTATTCTTTTTGATGCTTTTCGTCTTTCAGTGCACACCTATCAGCTTCTTTTGGGAGCGATTTCGTGGTGCCAATGGTCGCTGTGTCAATTCCGATATCGTGGTTGGCTCGTTTTATGGATACTCGGCAATAAGTTGCATTACGGACTGGGCGTTCAGCATTATACCTATCTTCATTGTGCGGAAGCTGCAAATGAGTTCTCAAAAGAAGATTACTGTCGCGATCATCCTTGGATTCTGTGCTATGTAAGTCACTAACCAAACTACATCCAAACCCTACTTATGGAAGACACTAACAGACCGTCGTAGTGGTTCTACCGCAACTATCGTCCGCTTACCCTACATCAGCGGGATGAACGATACAGCTGAATTTTTGTATTCAACCACCGACGTGGCGATTTGGTCTACCTGCGAAACAGGCATTGGTCTTGCGACATCTGCAGCCGCAACTCTACGCCCTCTCCTTCGTCAAGTCTTTGGCGAGCTATCCACCACTGGTGAAAGCGCATCGCGCAAGCAGTCCAGAAATTGGGGCGGTAACAACCCATCACGCTCTGGTTACATAGCACATTCTAGTGGAAAAGATGGGGGTGCAATTCAACTGAAAAGTCACGATTCGAAATTCGCACAGACTCATTTGACCGCGAACGGAGATGCGCTCAGTCAAACAAGTAGTACAGTACGGTTGACAGAGGATGAGCAGAAAGGCAAAAGGTCGGATGAGGAACAAATTGGTGGGATCAGGAAGACTGTAAAGATTACACAAACGTAAATAACAATAAATAGTACCTGGGCCTAAATCTATTTAGAAGTATATAATAAATAAGTAAACTTATGTAAAAGTAGTAATAAACCAAATAATAAGAAAATAGTTCGAGCTGCCTACTAATTACCGTTCATTTCAGGTTATCATTGGAAGTAGTTGAAATCTCACAACACTACTCAGTGTCAAATCAGTTCAATCTGTTGAATATCGCTGTTGTTGATGTGTGTAGTTGAACAAGGTTATTGCCGGTGTATCTCACGCGTTCAAATGGGAAAGTAAGATAGGGCAAACTATGGTGGCTGAGATCACAAGTATTTTGCGTGGTTGGTCATGCACCTAAATGTTCACAAATTCTGTCTATATTTAAACATGTACAGATGACTCTTCAATTCTTCAGCCAAACAGCTCCACAGGAAACGGCAGTACCACCAGTCCACTGGAGAAGCTCCCAAAAGGGCAAACTCTACGATGCAATTGTAAGAGTGGCTCCATACAAAGCCCCTGGTCTAGAAAGGCTACCAGCAATTGCATGGAAAATGCTATGGCTGGACGCAATAACGTGACCATATCTTTATCGTATTATGGTGCAAGATGGGGCCAACGCTGATTCTGGCGAGTGCGATATTACAAGCACTTGTGTACAATATTCTACGAGTAGCTGCTGCGCCATGGTGATATCGGAAGACCGCGGGAAGAAAAGTGGGACTGAGATTGAAGTTGGCCCGACTTTCATCCACGTGACTCTTCCACCTTACCAGAGCTCAATGCAAACAAACTGCCTCGTCCCTTCGTCCTCAAGATCACATACCCGGACAATCGACATGGCGACGAGGCGGCCCCACACGAAGTCACGTCTTGGTTGCGAGCAGTGCAAAACCCGCAGAGTAAAAGTACGTAAAGTTCCTGGAACATTCACGCTTGCTCGTTAACAGTGATAAAGTGCGATTTAGCTGCTCCGAAATGTTCGCATTGTTGACGGCGAGACCAAGAGTGCTCGCTCACTGGAGTCCATATTTATCTTGCAAATTCTAGAAGTATCAACAATCTGTCTCTAGGGATCACGTCGGGGTATACATTCTCAAGCACCAATACATTCGACGACGGAAGAAACTCATCTGCACTGGTAGAAATAAATTGACGCATTTCTACACCAGCGAAACTTCGAGCAGTATCATGATCTTGCCTCAAGCCACTCATCTGTGGAAGAAAGAAATGTTCCAACTTAGCCTCGAGCACCCTATCCTTCTTGACACACTCCTTACAACTGCTGCTATGCACAAATTGGTCCTACAGCCAACAAGTATTCGGACTGCCCCTACTAACTATGTCCCTTATTACATACGACATCATTGGTGCTCGCCGACTCATGCTTATCTGTTGCATCCAATACCAATGTCAATGTTGCCCTGCTAGGCAGCAATCTTTACAATAATCATCCTAAACAGTACTGATCATCATACAGCGCATTACAGCAGCCTTTATGCATATACGTCCCGCTCGATTCTACTGCAGTCTCAATCATTGTACAAATCTTGACCAAAGCTCATGAACCATTAGCAATCAAATCAGGTAGTCATGACCCGATTGCTGCATGGAAAGCCATTACTGGTGGTCCACTCATTGCTATGGAGTTGATCAATTAGCACAATTTATGAACCACATTTTAACTCAGTGACGATTGAACCAGGACAAAGGTGTCAGGATGTCCAAAAGTTCTTGATCCGCAGAATGTGACCGAAGTTGGTGGGCGACAGGGAGCTGTTGGCGTAGGTGGGCTGCTGCTGCTACAAGGTATATAGAGTATCCCACCGCCACAATCAGATGTTGATCTCATAAATCTACGCGGCTTTAAGTTCCTTGCGACACAGCACGGCTGGGCGGCGAACAACATCATCGAATATGAGCTTATCCTACCCAATAGCACCGTAGTCAATGTTACAGAGTTCAGGTATCTAAGTCTCTAGAAAGCGACCAAAGGCAGCGGTAGTATCTTCGGAATAGTTTCACGTATAAAACTCAAGGCATATCCGATTATAAAGGTATGATCCTATCTTTAACAGTATTGATATGTTCTAGCACTCGGCTTGCAGAGGTCTTCACAGGCAGTTATTCCTATAGCAGTGACTGTAACAGGATAGATTATAAAGGATTATATGAGTATACTTTCTAATTACTATCTATAGAAAATCTCTTTACTGTTATATAAAGCCCTGATATACTGCTTTCAATCTTGCCTAGTTAGTACTAAACCTTAACAGCCTGGAAAGTTATAATCTTACTTGTTCATTCAATATTCTCCTCTGTGTCACCTGCAATGAAGCAGCTGACAGCTTCATCAAGCTGCTGGAGAGAGTTCGTCGAATTCATGGATCCACGCATCGACGCAAGCGATCCGCTATCGGATCGTGGATGTGGGGGATTGGGTGGGCGGATAACGTTGCTCAACCGCGTTGCCCATTTTTCGTCGTCTTCCTCAGTCTCGTCAATAGACCTGTCCTGGCCTATGCGGATATGTGAACCTTGGTTGCTGTGTTTGACGCTTTCATCACCTGATCTACGAATACTATTTCTAGCCTGGAGATTCTGTCGTTTCGTAGCTACAGGATGTGGTGTCAGAACAGGTGTGGCCGGTTGGGAGGCTATCGTGGCCAGTTAGCTCATTAACGAAACATCACGGATGACACTGACTGGTTTTCCTAAGTAGTTCTTCTTCACAAAGAGAGCGTGGAAACCCACTGATCGGGAATCCATTTCGAAGCTCAGGCTTCATCGCATCATCCGTAAGGTGAAGATCAATAGTGATAAGAGCCGATTCCGAAGCCACAGGTATCACAATAGGCTCGATCCGAAACTCGAGTATCTCAATCATGTCCTCTAGCACATTACGATTGAGCTTGATATCTTGAGCATTTTCTGCATCGGCGACGTCATGTATGCGGAAGAACGGCTGGAAGTTGCGTCTCTTGAATTTGCTTTTGATGTGTTCACCAAGATAACGTATGTTCTCGGATTCGGCTGCAAATCTACACCTGATAATGCCTAGAGACTGTTAGAAACTTTAGAAGCCTGAGATAGAATTTGACTTCGAACCTTTGTAAGCCCAAGATCCTGCGTGCTCCACGAGCGGGCCCGTTTTGTCGAAATAGAATGAGCTCGAGATAAGGCGGTGCGCGATTTTCTCGATCACGCCCTTCATCTCGTTAGAGGTGAGATTATTCTTTACATGATTGCGGAGTATCCAGATGTTATCTTTTGCGTCCATTTTCGGTACAGGAGCTGTCAATTTCGGGTTAATGCGCACATAGCGCTGTGCGGCTATGGGAGAGGAAGTGCCCACGACATCATTACGGAAAGCGGTCCACGCCAGTTCTGCATTCAGACAGTTCTTGATTTGTCGTTTGAATAAATGATACCACGACCTTGGTTCGCTGTAAGGCTTGTACGCATTCTCTTTTCGTTTTTCATCCCTATTTGCCTTATTGTACGCGGTGCCAAGCGAAAGGAGAATGTCTGGATGACTGCCTTTTGTTTCTGGCCATATCAGCATGCTCTCATAGTTTGCAATACGAACCGGATTGTTGTAATACAACGCTCCATCTATGAAGACTTCTTTGGTACGTGGATTGACGAAAGGTTTGAAGTATGTTGGCGCAGCAGAGGTTGCACGAGCTCTATGAACGTATTAGGCATCAGCGCGATCGTATCTGGGTCACTCAAACATACGCCTCGTGGATCTTCAGCCCATTTTCTGGATTATCATGCTGTGAAAGTTTATAGCCCACTTGAAACGTCAGCGATGTAAAAGTTGGCTCACGGTATCTGTAACACTTCATACTTTCAGAATCATGTTTGCGGTTGTAATTAGCAAATATTACCGCTTTTTCCCCGGTCTCTGTCACGGCCGTGACGGCTACCTTTCGTGCAGGTCCAGGAGCGCTATCAGGAATGCTTCCTGCGAACATAGCATCGTCTCCAAAGGTTCCAGTCAGAGTTGTGACCAGTGGTTTCGTCTGGTATTTGCTTTTCCCAATTCTACGTGGAAACCTTTTAGTGAACGCTGCATTCATGAGCCACGAAAGACTTCATGCAATCCTCTACGTGCAAGTTTTTGATGCCCAGAGCTAGATATATGATGCCACCAGCGCTAAACTATCATTAGTATTTATAGTATCGGGATAATAGTTGACTTCACACAAAGAGGTTGTACACACCTAGTGCCCACAATAAGGTCAAAAAAGTCTTGAATTGGTATTCTGCCACCCAATTCCTGTTGAATTCTTGTCAAAATCTCAAGTAAAACGGCACCTCTGGCTCCTCCGCTGTTGTCTTTAGTCAGTTGAGCAGTACTTTCTACTTTACTAGACACTTACCCATCTAAAGACAACACACGAACACCTGCAAGAGGGGGTTTGAAAAATATCGGCCAGTGAGAGGAAAAAACAGTATGTGCTTGATGTAGAGGACAGGAGGTCATCGCATAGGAGTAGAGCAAGTTCGGATGGGGTCTGCCATAGCTCTTGATGCAAGGAGTACACAATACATGCCCACAAGGTAGGGGATGTTCTGCAAGTTCACGAAGACATGAAAAACATGTCTGGTGACTAATGAATCCCTGTGCTCCGTCAAGCTTCTTGTAAAACAGCTCCATATTCGTATGGTGAAGCTTTTTGACTACCGTGACCTCACTCAGCGAAGGAGGTTGCATAAGTCGTGCACTCAGATCGTGTTGCATCTTAGTAAGATGCAGTTGGAGATATTGAAGCCATGCGTCTCCGAACTGCTCGAACGTAAAATCGGACATGTATTCACCGGGACGCATGACATTGCCTTTTGAATTTTGATGACCTTTGCTATGGCTCCCTGGGACGTTTACGCAGGGCTCTCCGTTTTTACCCCTGTATTTGCACGGCCAGTAGCTCGCACAGAAGTTCTCCAGAGCGGTATCACAATGCAGCAAGTAGTGTTTCTCGAAAACCTCTTGCGGTGGGCCTAGCAAAAATTGCTGTCAGTAACGACTCAGAGCGGGTTTGCTGACCTAAAGCCCTTACCTCTTATGTTTTGGCGAACACAGTCAAGAAGAATGCACGATGCTACCATGAAACTTAGCTCCTGGAAAAGCCTACAAGCATCAGTAAAAAGACGCTTCATAGCCACAGCGAGCTTGAGAATGTTTCCGCCAAAGTCCAATGGTATTGGATTGATCTGAAACGATACGTCCATGAAGTTGAAAGGTACGTCTAAGTCAGTGGAGAAATGCTCAAAAGCGGACTGCAGGTAGACGTTGAGCGTGTCAGAGGTAGACAGCATTCTTGACCTTCGTTTAGAGTTGGATGATTCCTTACAGCGTCTAGACACAGCATCATGAAGAGTCTGAACCTGGCTGTTGATCATCATGTAACGCCCCTCCCCTGGTATCCGGACAACGGTGATGGAAGAGTAGTAGCAGAGCAGCAAGTCTTGCATCGTATTTATTTTCTTGCCTTTCTCAACCCAGAAGGTTTTGAGATCTTTGTACGTAGGATCTCGTTCAATAGCCCCGGCCACGTCCGACATTAAAGCATGAGTCGCATAGTCTGGATCCCATGACTTCTCATCAATCTTTGTGTCTGAAACATTGAGGGCTATTACCACGTGAGGCAATGTTGGTTGATTCAATGACTTTTCGATCGAAGATCTTGCCCAGTTGATGATGGTGGACAGTACGGTAGACTCGAATGTTCTATCAACAGAGTCAGTAAGTCACACGACATTTTTGGATTATTTGGACTGCCGAAGCAAGAAGAAAGTTTTACGAGAATATCCTAGTGCGTCTCTATACTTCGAGCGATATGATCAGATATTACGATACCGTCCTGAGGAACTGTATGAGGAACTTGAGGCGATGAACACATAGCATTGCGGAGTACAAAGACAATGACGTCTGAGAATGTGTACAATAATCGAGGGTAGAGCTCAGTGACTGAGTATTGGCGCTTCTTTTGTGCCGGAGAGATTGCCCACTTCAATTCGTGGCGCGTGGAGGTCAGTCTCTTTGTTAATCGTTGCGTTTTCGATGCTTTCTCCTTAGACTTCTTCTCGCCTGTGGCCAGATATTTTTCACGCATCTGCTCGCTGATAGGGATGTTCTCGCCTCCTTCTAAGCCCTCACAGTCGGCTAGAAGAATTGGGTATTCAGAAGTACAAGTGCTAGGATCACTGTATAAGTGAACGTCTCCGGAAGTAGGGATATTTCCATTGGAAATTGACCCCACCACGGGTGTTGGGAATTTGGCCCAAACCTCGAGTTGTCTTGTTGCTGTTCGATAAGCATTCTTATCAAGGTACTCTTTCCCGCTCCAGTTTGTCTAATGAACGAGACAAGCTGTGGAAATCTTGCTTCGTGTTCACCGGTGTTGCTTCCTGCCATGATTGCCGCATAGCGACCATAGTCTTGGAGGAAGGGCTTGTTATCCTAGTCTCGAGCAAGCCTAAACCAAGTCGTATCCTCGTCTTCTCTGTGCAGTATCTCTTGAGCTTGTCTCTCTCTCGGGGGGGTGAGTATATCTTTGAATCTTCGTACGATAGAAGGATTTGCTTTCTCATGTGGTAGACCATCAGGTCCAACCCTTCCTGGCTTGTGCTGGGCCTGTCTCAACCAACAAGGGTCGCAGAAGTCCATCCCGCAATATGAGCAGTTCCAGATGTGAGTCACAAACTGTTCACAGTCTTCGCATGCCTTGTGATCGTTGACCCTAGTTTGGGTTGCATCTTGAGAGAAAGAATGAAGAGACCCTATAAGTGCATTTGTGGGCAGCCGATGGTTCAACATTAGTCCCTTCAGACTCCTACTGACAGGTATATCCGGTCTAGCAGAAACATTCAAATTCGAAGAGACCAGTTCTGTGGAACGTCGTCGAGGATTGTTCGACATAAGTACTTGAAAAAGGGTACAAATAAAAACATAAACCTTGGCGGCAATGCGAACCGCGCAGGAAGTGCAGATTGAGAGCGAATATTCGAAGGGGGATCGACATAGGTGCCAACAGGAAAATCACTTCAGCTTCATCAGGCTGGCTTTTATATTAGCATACTGCTACCGCTTGGATGCAAAGACGGCGCAGCCAAGGTTGGGGGGACAGCCTGATCATGGTAATCCGTACGTGCTGAAGTTACCATTTGCTGGTCATGTATGACTGACATGCTCTAGATTTGCCTTCAATATACGAGCTTCCAATCATATCTGTTGTTTATGCCATGTCGGCACAAGGCTGCGCCTTCGTTTTCCTGGTGGTGTCTTGTATCAGGCTGAGTGGACAAGGAGTATGAAGTTCCAAGCTTACATCTCATGAGATCGATATCAAATCAGAAAGGGCTGTCTCCGTATTTGTAAACTAGGAACAATCTAGGTCCTCTAGTCTTTAGTCTGTAATACCTTGGTGTCGGCGTATCATGGGCGGATTGGCGAGAGAATCGTCCTCTATCTTATTACCCTCCCGAATTCTTTTCGTCAATGCAACAGCTCCCTTGGTGATACAAGCCGATAGGGGCAGGAAATGCTTGACCCCTCTTTACTATTTCAACTGGCATGTCTTGAGCATTGCGGGTGTAGCTGCGACAAACTATGCAATGCCTCCTACAGACCAGACAATACCTTGCCTCGTGTGCAATTCCGTTAGTATACTTACTACTTACTGTACGGTTACTAATTAC